CGTCCTTACCCGAAGAAGCTCTGTCCCTTTCTGGTCTATTCGGCACCCCATGGGATGTCGTACTATACCGCAGGTGCCGCCACTTACTGCAACTATGCTACTGCGGCTGCTGGTTGCCACATGGACAGAACCTCGGCAGTTAAATTAAATGGGTGGCGCCGGCGGGACTCTGCACGTCCCTCTCGCGCCGAGATCCGTTGACAACGAGCTCTAGGACGCCAATTCCCAGGTAGTGTTGTGCACGTACATGCACGCATCCTAAGGCAGCGCTGCCTTCTAGCGCAAAAACGCTGGAAGTGCGGCTGGAAGCTGGCCGGCCACTTGCAGCGCAAGTCAAGGTGAATCACCTCCCACTCCGCAACCGCCTGCGTACCTGTCCCGTCTTCGCCCATCTCCCTCTCAGGCGTTGCTGCCCGGCTCGCAGCCTCCATTTATCGTATCTGTTGATATCCCCAGCGGGTGGCATGTCGAGCAGGGGCCCCCCGGGGGTCCGGCAGCGGAGGAGGAGGGAACAGCTCTGCAGCCCGACATGTTGGTCTCGCTCACTGCGCCGAAGCTGTGCGCCCGTTACTTCAAGGCAGGGTTACAAGAGGAGGGAGGGAGGCAGGGAGGGAGGTTGGGAGGTGGGTTTTAGGGTTTTAAGGTTGACGTTTGGGGAGGTGAAGGAGGATGGAGGGACGGGGGTGATGGGGGTGGGCATGCCGTAGAGACGACGCAAAAGGTTATTGCAGTTAAGGTTGAGGTTAACTTTGCAGGGGTGCGGTGGCTGTAGTGATACGGAATGCGCGCTAGAGGGGGATGAATTGCCAGCGCCGGACCCACCTTCCCCGGCAACATCCCGCGGGAACGACGACCGACCCCGCAGGCCCATTGCACGCCATTCCACGCCATGCCTTGTCATTCCACGTCATGTCATGTCCCACGTCACCTAACATCCTGCACCTCTTCACCGCACACCCCACCATCCTGTGCATCCTACATGTTTGTGTGTATACTTATACATATTTATATATTTGTTTTACACTTATGTGTACATAACTTTTTTATTGCCACAGAATTCCGCAACCGGGATTATAAAAGTGCTGTAAATCAACACCATGTTGCGCGACCTCTATCCTGCTATTGCCACCAGGGCGCCCACCATTATTTGGGGGGCCGTTTCGTACCGCCTGCCATCCGCGACCGCTTCCAGCTCCGCCTGCCGCCGTACCCGGGTACGGCCGCGTGTGTGCGCATCGGGGGCGGGGCAGCGGAATCCGCCGCCGCCGCCACTGCCGCCACCGCCGCCAAGGCCGTGGTTGCGGCTGCGGCAGCCACCGTTGCCGTACAGGCAAAGGTACGTGATTTACGACTCGTAAATCATCTTTGCTTAGCTAATAGTCTATGTGCGTGTATGTGTTTATGTGTAGAGAGAGTATTGCCTGCTTGGAAAAAATATCGTGTTGCCACTGCAGACCGGGTGGTGAGTGGGTGGCGTGGTCCACTGCAGCCACCCGCGGTCGGCAGCGTGCAGCCGCGGATGCAGCCGCAACTGGTGTTCAGATCACCTGGGCGGAACTGCGCCTCCTCAGCACGTCCTGAGGGTGGTTGGTTGGTTGGTTGGTTGGTTGGTTGGTTAGTTGGTTGGTTGGTTATGAGAGGGCCTCCGTGAGAAAGCCACTGTGCGCTTTTTCATCATCTCGTCTGCACGAGGTCGAGACACGGGGTCGCTGGGGTCCCTAGGTAGAGCAGGAGGGGAAAGACGAACCACGTGAACGAGTGAAGCTGCTGCAAAGGAAAGAGTGTACAAGAAGCAGAACTGACCGGGGAGGGGAGGGGAGGGGACTGCGGCGTGCGCGCCCCAACTTCCATCTCTCAGTCTTCCTCACTATTTATATAGCTCCTAGAGCAGCTGCGAAGATCAATCACGCTTCGGCGGCTACAGATCGGAGAACACTGGACGAACAACAAAAACTTCCAATCTCTCAGTTGACCATCAGGTACATCGGGGGAAAACGTCAGAAGCTCCTAGTCAGCACCTCTGGAAGACCCCAACATGTACGATAATCGTACAGCGATATCGTCCCTGTGCCCCACTCTGCGGTGTCATAATTATGGGCCTCCACATGTTGTACTGCTTTGCCGTACATTGTACGGTGTCACCTGTGGGGTTCTGTTGTTTGTGTTCCTGGCTGGCAGGTTGCCGATATGCGCATCAGCTACGAGCGAGGGGGCCTTCAGGAAGCGGACTTTGCGGGTCGAGACCCGCTTGGGGTGTTTGACGAGTGGTTCAAAGCGGCGGTGTCCGGCAAGGTGCGAGGTTACCCTTGGTGTGAGTGTGTGCCCGTATGTTTGTCTGTATGTGTGTGTTGAGTCTGTATGTGTGTGTTGAGTTGTGTTTCGATACCCCCCCACACACACGTACAGAAGTGAGTCGTTCTGGACGTGCATTCCCGTGTAATCTTATGCCGTTACGCCTTCGTCCTCACTCCTTCCTCTCTTTCTCCCTTTCTGTCTCGGCCGCTTTCCTTCATATGCCATATGCTATATGCTGCTCACTGTCTAGGTGTGTGAGGAGCCTAACGCCATCAGCCTGGCGACCTGTGATGCCCAGGGGCGGCCTAGTGTGCGGGTGGTGCTGCTGAAGGGCTACGATGAGCGCGGTACGTGTTGTTATATCGCGACTTTTTCAGAAAAAAAAGAACCGATCGGTGGATGCAGATACACACCGGGCGATGTATCCGAGATACTTGATACGTGTAGAGCACATGCGGTGCGGCTCTGCGGGTTGCGGCGCGCGTTCAGCCTTTTCTTTTATTTTGTTAAGTATGAAAAGTTTTTTTATCGGATTTAAATAGTTATCCTGGAATTTCTGGCAGGTTGCAGCATGTAAAGAATGTTTTTTAATTAGCATCCTGCGGAAATGGTTCGCGGTCCAGGTTTCATCTTCTACACCAACTATGCAAGCCGAAAGGGTGGCGAGCTGGCCACGGGCTTCGCTGCGTTTTCGCTCTACTGGGAAAAGCTGCAGCGGCAAATCAGGTGAGACGTGAGAGACGCTTTTTTGGCGTAACGGAACCAAACTTGGAGTGCTGCTACGCTGACTACTTCCTGGCTGTCATTATCACCACCGTTGCAGCTGCATCCCCACCCCCGGCCCCGCCCCCCCTTTTTACATGAACTGACTCAAACCTTCATAAGGAATTACGGGATTTAACATGTTTTTTTTGCATATTTACCTCAAAAATCGCTGAAAACCCCGTAAATTCCCCTGCCGTCGTTATGAGAAGGCGGAAGTCAAAAGATTAGAAATCATTATTGGACCCCGTAGCTGACGGGACTTGGAGTTGTTGACGCTCGGGCAAGAACAAGTGAATCTTCTAGAAGCACGGTAACTAAGCAGCTAAGCACAATGCTAAACTTCAGTGTTCATGCTCTACAGTACCCCTCGGCGTGCGGTGCGGTGCGGTTTTGCTGTTCGGCGCTGTTGCAGGGTTGAGGGTGAGGTGGAGAAGGTCTCTGATCTGGAGAGCACCGAGTACTTCCACAGTCGACCCCGTGGCAGCCAGATTGGGGCGTGGGTCAGCAACCAGAGCCAGCCCTGCAGGGACCGCAGCGAGCTGGAGGCCAGGTGGGATCAAAGGGTGTAAGGGGCTATAGCTAGTGAGGGGGGGGCCTAGCTAGCCCCTTACACCCTTACTAGCTATAGGTAGTAAGGGGGGGGAGTAGGAACCGCGCTGCATGGTCTCCTAACACCAGATAGGCCCCGGCTGGCATCCACCCAGGCAACCGTGTGCGCAATCCTGATGGACTAACGTTGTCGTTTGTATTGTTAAGTGTGTGAAAAGTTAGTTGCGTGTGCGACATGCCCAGCACTTCCTCACCGCCGCATCTCGGTTACGTGTATATATATAATGTTTTAGACACAATAAACAATCCTTCTGTGTGTGTGAGTGTGTGTGTATGTGCTCGCGCATGTGTGTGCGTGCGTATGTGTGTGCGTGTGTGTGTATGTGTGTGAACGTGCCAGCATCTGATCGGGCGTGTGTGTGTGCGTGTGTCCCCGCAGGAACACGGAGCTGCAGCAGCGCTACTCGGACGAATCTCAGCCGGTGCCCAAGCCGCCGCACTGGGGAGGTTACCTGATTCGACCCACCGGCATCGAGTTCTGGCAGGGCCGACCCAGCCGGCTGCACGATCGGATCCGGTTTCGCCGGGCCACACCAAGTGACAGCGACCCATGGGTCATGGAGCGCCTCCAGCCTTAAGGGAAAAGACGGCTTTAACCCACATTGGGCTCCCGCCGGCACGGCCCATTTGCTTCTTCCATATACAAATTTCCTGCACGGCACCTAAAGCGATACCCGTAAGGGGAGTAGCCCGCGAACAGAAAGGAAAAACACCGCAGGCTGCTCTGGTCATCTGGTGGAGGTCCAAGGACTTCCGTCCATTGGGAGCCTATTGGCAAATGCCCCAGTGGTTGTTCCTTTCTTCTGTCTAGGTGGCTTGCGTTGGCTGGTCTGGGTGGCTGTCTTTGTTTGCCGTAGTAATGCACGGCCCGCTGGCTCTACTCTTCACGAGTCTGGAGCCCACTGTAACAACCACACATACACACATATTTCTGAAACCGCGTCCAATAGCAAGTGGGGTCCATTGCTCATGCAGTTTTACGGCAGGAGATAACTGATGCTCTGACCAGCCCGGAATGGGAGGGTTGGGGAACCTCAATGTTACGACTGTTTTCCTTCTTGGAGTGCAATATTTGGAGCGGAATACCGCAAGAAGTCATGGGGGTAAAGGAGCGTGTTGACTAGTTGTTGAGTAGGCCTCTACCCGAAGGAGCGATGATAACGGCACTAAGAGAGCGTTTGATGAGCGGCTGGGACCATACGCGTCTGACTGTCTTGCCAGAAGAGTACCCATCAGATGGGAAGTAACCGGGAGTGCAAATGGCGGAGTATAAGCACTAGATGGGGCTCTGCCCTTTTCGGGAGCCGCAGCCGTCATGTGGCCAACACGTGCTAAGGTTTTCATTCCTCGTTTATCACATCGTAAGCTAATGCAGTTTCGTTTATGTTGCTGGGCTCTGGAGGCAAACAGAGCATGAAGGGGCAAGTACCATGTCCCCAGGGGGCAGCGGTTTTGCCGCTGTTGTGGTACTGATAGCCGAATCGAGGATGAAAAACACGTGTTATTGGAATGCCCAGCCTATAATGATATTCGTGCTGAAGAGGGATTCGATCATCAGAGCATGTTGGAGGCCATGAAATAAAAACCAGTACGTCGGGCGAGGATGTTGGAACGTATGTGGGCTCACCGAAACTCAGTTACCCCTTTTGGACGCTAGTCTGGCTGATGTGCGGTGTTTCCTGTTCTCCGTGGCTTTTAGGCGTATAGATATTGCCCTTGGGCCTTCGGCTCATATGGGTAGTTTCACAGGTATGGGGTCACGCACCCCCAACCATGTAACACACATACACACACAGACACACACCACGGTCACTGCAAAAGCCGCCGTTTGTAGGTTTCTCAGAGACGCCATTTCTCAAAGAGAGGAAGAGAGGGGAATAGGCGTCCCACAGCGTGTTAAGGTCCAAGCCTTCGCCGACTACCGTGCACCTTGCCCGCGCCCTCGCCATGCAAACACACATTGCAACACACATTGCAACACACACATTGCAACACACGCACACACACATTGCAACACACATTGCAACATCCACAAATGGCTGGGGAGACTGGAGCTTAGGTCGCCGGAAATCGCGTGATCAGCCCTTGCCTGCGTCAGCGATGGCAGCAGCGACCGCTTGCACCCTTGACGATCCGCTAAAAGGGCTAAATGGGTGTGGAAATCAAGCTGGCGGTGTTGTGCTCATGCCAATGCTGTTAACTTAGGGTTGGGTGTGTGCATGTGTGTCTGTGTGTTCGACAGAAGGTCACGGTTTCCCGGTGGGATTGCCGGTTATGGAGCTGGACGAGCCCGCTGGGAGCCGCTGGATGAAGAGACATCAGTGTATTGTACATTGTGTGTGCGGTGTGTATGTGTGTCTATTGTGTGGAAGATGGTCTGAAGGGGTGTAGGGGTCGGTCCCGGACGGCTGGCGACAGCCGCATGGCCACGGGAGAAGGCTACGGGCTCCTCACTGGTCACTAAGTGGTCTCGGAGCTGCCTATCTGCGGCTGTACAACTCAGCAGTCTATGTATTTGCACTAGAGGCACGCACGTCCTCCTTGTAATTGCTGCTTGCTCACCCCTGCCCCTGCCCCTGCCCAAGGAACTAAACATGCCGGGTGCCGGATGCTCTTTACCTCCTCCCTTTCCTGGGCCGACATTGGTGTTGTGTCGTCCATCCCGTTGCTTTGTCGTCCATATGTGCGGCATTCCCGCACCAGCATCCAGCTCTTATTAGGTCAAATGAAAGCACAGGGCGGCCGCGCGTGAGCTAGCGGGAAGACAACGCCGAGTTGGCGGTGAGCTCACAACCTGCAGACCACGCTCCTCTCCCCCTCCGCTAGGTTGAAACATGCGCTTTGGCTATGATGGAGGCAGGGTTAGATTGGAAAGCGTGGGGAAATGAAAGTGCTCGGGGGCCAGCCATACATCTCCTAAGGCACGTGATACAACATGCGGGTTACTGGCTTTCAGCTCGTTAGCTTTGGGGAAGTTAATTGTAGAGGGGTCCCGTAGGGAAGGAGGGAGGGGCCGGGTTCCTTGCCAAGCTTGTCAGGGTCTGGTCCGTACATGAGGTCACAACGCCACCTCAGGGAATAGAAAGGCTTTAATTGCTGCAATCAAGTCCAAATGCCGAATGATACTTGCGGCGGAACAAACCTAGGATCTAAATGATGGTTGCTGCAGCCTGGGTCCCAGGTGACCTAAGGACATTTCACACATGCACAAAGTTTGGAAAGCCAGAGCAAGCCAATTTTGTGTAGGCGCGGAAAGCTGAACTGATGACTGCAACCTTAGCAGCAAACTTGGGTGGGTTAAACGACCGAAAAGACCTATTAATGCGCGCTGAGTAATTCAGTAAACAGGATCAATTACAACCTGTTAACTGTGCAGCGTTTGTCTCGGAAAAAGCAACAGCGTGCGCTTTCCGTTGACCTAAAGTCGCGCGCCAAGATACGTCCTCAACCTAAATTCACCAAGCAACCCAAACAAAGGAGGCTAAAACTACATACCTACGTCTCTTATGTTTGCCTTTATAACGGTCAGCATTGCACAGCTTATTGCGTCCTGCGAGGGCATGCTTTCTCCAGTTCAGGTTAGTGACCTTTTACATTTCGGTTACCTGTCGGAAGTAAAATTTTTTCGGCACAGACGCAGTCTACATCAACTTGTCTGAAGAAGGTTTCCAGTGCTAACTGCGCAACAGGGGCCTCATTGTGGTACGATTGATGTGGTACGCTGACGTCGGATGGAGTCGACCCTATGATCACACTTGCACCCCTTAGCTTTGTTTTTGGTGATAGGGATACCTAAACGCTGATAGTTTTGTTAGGAAGCGAACCGACAACTTCCTCACTATTCATATAGTTCCTAGAGCAGCTGCGAAGACCAATCACGCTTCGGCGGCTACAGATCGGAGAACACTGGACGAACAACCCATCACACACGTCTCATATCAACAGATAACGCCCGTTGAAGTATGCGGGGCTCAAACGGAGGACCATGCTGCCACTGCGGAACCTTGCAAACACCATGCTGGCGACGTGGACCGCCTGAGAAGCCCACACTTTGCAATGCATGTGGCAGTCGCTATCTGGTGAAGGGCTCCTTGGCTGGATACTTTCCTGGAGCGCGCCGTTCCGCAGTGAACGCCACCCGAAGCGAGGTGGTCTCCCACCAGGTCGTGGTCACCAAAGGCCCGCGGAAGGCAGCGCTTGCGACCACTGCTGGAGCTAAGCGGAAGTCGCAAGAGCTGTGCGGGTGAGAGTGGGCTCGGGGTGCTTTGTTGTCCGATCGAATCGGGCGCCTTCCTGTCTCTTTGGCGGTTAGGCTGAAATTGCGGATGGGTTTCTTTTCTTGCAGCTTCGAAGGCCAAGCTCAGCGCATCTACAACGAGTACGAAGCCCTAGAAGCCTTGCGCTACTCTTATTTCTGCCGCGGCCCGTCCATCGGGCAAGGCGACGGCCTCGGTGCGACAGTCTCTGACTCTTCCGCGGAAGCTCAACACGATGAGGACTGCTTTCGGAAGGAGGCCCACTACCTGGACGCATCTTCCGATGAGTACCAGGTGGGTCCGCTGCAAGAGAGCCGTCGCAGATTACTGTTGGTCGCATTCGTTAAAGCGAGCTGTGAGGGGCAGCTAAGGGGTTTGCTTTACATTCGCCCATGTCTAGATGCAGTTAGCGTAAATTTGCAACGGGAATGACTTCCTCGGAAGGACGGGACTCTACGGGTCAAGAATGAAGCATCAATCTGTCGTTGGTCCCAAGTCATGTGTGCAGTTTCTTACCCATAGAATCATTTGTCGGAAGCCTAAGTATATAACTGCCAGGTTAAACATCTACTTTGAGTTCGTCTGTGCTTACAGAGCGACGGTTGCACTTGGGAGATTGAAACTCAGGCTAGGTATTGTCAGGTCCTTTTGTTGCGCGTTTTGTGGAGGACAATGAATCCTTTAGCCTTAGAATAACCGTTTTGTCTGAAGGTTCCTGTCTGCTGTCCGCGACCTTCATGTTAATTGACCAGCAGGAGCCGGGACAGGGGACGCCAATTCATCATACGCTGGGCGCAACCACGGCAACCGGTGTTGCAGGGCCCCAGCAAGTAATGTTTCATCGGCGACCGCGGAAACAGTTGCGGCCAGTGGCCTGCTCTTGCTGAGGTTGGTCGCTTTGGAGGATAGATTAGGTTGGACAAACCGTCGGATTGCTCGATATGCATTTGTGCGTGTGCGTGATGCATAAGGGTACCTCTGATGCTCACAAGGGGAAGCGATCCCCAAGCAGATGCACTGCGGTAATAAGGTCCCTCCACGCGCTGCATCTAATAGGGTGTGGGGGTGGTCTTTTTTGGATTTTTGTTAGCGGGGCCGTGCGGGCACGACACGTTGTCTGCCCCGGCCCACAGCCTTGATTGCCGTTGTTATCTTGCCTGGCGTTGGGGCTGCCCTGTTGTGTCCTCCGACAGTCCGGTCAGTGCTCGTTGCGATACCGGGCCAGGCTGGGTTGCAGGCGTTGAGGGCCTTGCGGGTAGCCATGCCAAGTTGTGTTTTGATTGTGTCGTTGATTTGCTGTACTAGCTTAGCGCTTAGTTTAACGTTGCTTAGTTATGTTGCTTTGCGGGCGTGATGAGAAGTATGGGGTGGGAACGAGTGTATATATCGTAGCTGAGGGCTTGAAGGAAGGCTAGCGACTTTGCAGGGCGGCTGAGGCGCACCTCCTGCCGTGAAGAAAAGGAAGATGCCACTACCCAACGAAGTTCGCACAGCGAAGAGTTGATTTGTTAACGTGCAATTCTCGCGAATCGCAGTTGGCTGTTTTGGCTGCGCCTCTCCCGGAGGTGCCGGCCGTCGCGGGTCTATATCGCACCTTTTTGTGCTGCTCGTCTATTCGGTGATGTGTCTTGGTTCTCTAATTGTGTGTACGTGGAGTTTCCAAGGAACTGTGCTGCGGGACCTCGTTGAAGGGCCCCTTGTCCGGCAGGGTTGCCCCCGAGTTGAGGAACACTTCCTTATTCGCGGGTAAGTTGTGGTGCCCTATCACCGCGGGCTCTCCTTTGGGTTCAGCCAACCAAAACGGCACTGCGGTTGAGATAGCTACGTATGTTTGCCTTATTTTTGACTTCTTGCGTGCTTTGGATCGCTAGTTCGTTTTGAGTATGTATGTATGTACGTATGTCTGGTCCTGCTGTGGTTGGGACGATTTTTTCTGGGTCTGTGTTACCCTTGCGCTTGTCCCCACATACACTTGCGCTGTCACATGCTCCGATATGTCGGTTAATATCTGTGTCGCGTATGTAGTAGTCCCGAACAAACTCGTCGCAGCTCTGTGCATTGCGTGTGAATGGTGTGTGGTTCGAGCTCTTTACAGCCCCCATTCAAGAGACATGCAACAACAGCCTGCCTGCCACCAAGTTTGACGCAATAGATAAACGTCTAAACTGGGTCGGGCGGGCACCCAGTGGCAGGTATTGTTTGTGAGGCGAGTTTTATGCATTTATGGTGACGCGGGTGGTGCTATAGGAGTTTACCCCTCCCTAGGCACCGCGCGCGCCCGGCACAAGGCTGATAACCAACCGGCTCCAGCCAGCTCCGTGTTGCTGGGGATTAAGGGGTTAGTCTGTCGGAACAAAATGCTATTTTCGTGGCACAGGAGTGGCGCATTGTGTCCACCCAACCACGTTTCTTGTCATTTCTTTATGTACATTAAATAGTTGAAAGGGAAGTGTTTTTGAGGGTGAGGTGAACAAGCGATGTCCACCATCTAACGACGAGTAATTTCGTGCAGGACACGCTGTACCCATTTTGGCGCGAGGGCAGCAGGCAGCACACGAATATGATGAAGAACATTTTCCTGTATGCTTCTGTGCATAGAAACGGCCATTTTGTGTGCTTGATGGCAAGAGTGCTTGATGGCGGCGACTAAGTGAGCGGCGGGCCGTGCATGATGTACCGTAACATGCGAGCCCAACGGAAGAATGGTGTACACAAGGGAACATAAAAACCATCATGATCATATCTCATAATAATAGCACTGTAAGTGAATTGACTGATGATGATGATGATGATGATGATGATGGGCTTACAGTTACTTTGGTGTATCGAATACCCTGGCATCTGGCACCTGCATGAGCAAAAACGCACTTACATAGGAGCACGGACAGAGCGACAGATGCAGATTTTTTCGACACCCGCCTCATCAGCCTTCCCGCAGATCCCGACGGATTTCCCGAAACAGGAACGGGCCTCTCAGCATTTACCACATACCACTAAACCACATATTGACTTTGTAAACCCTCTGGAAGGCAAGCCAAACCCAGCTTTTTCACACGCAATGGGACATGCCACCACCGCCCGCGCACCCTAAAAACTGCGCCTGACCCCGGGGCCTGTCGTGCAGTACGTCGCAGGGCAGCCTTACCTTCAAGCGGCAGCACGTAGCCCACCTTTCAAAAAGAGACACCGTCACCCAATCAACGCCCCAACACAGTCTTGCATTAACGGCCCGGTGCAGCTACGTAACGCTCCTCGACAACCATGTTTGGATAGCTCATAGCTCAACTACTTCTCCCTTAACCATATCTCGCAAGGTGGACACCTCTCCAACCCTGCTGGCGAGGGTTCTCCTTACTGTTCACACGACCGCCAATCTGCCCCGTGCCACAATAACTCCCATGAACACCCAGGCCAGAGGCCTCACACTGTCTTCCAACAGCACCGCCACCCAAAGCAACTCCCTGCATCGCAGCCGCCGCCAACGCCGCCCTAGCGCTGCGCTGATTAAGACAGGCCCAGCTAAGCGGTCGGTCTTAACCATGTGAAGGTCTTCTCTGCCTTGGCGTCCCCCTCCTGAATCTAGGCCGAGGATGCGGTCGGCAGGTGATCATCCTCCACGATGAACTCCGTATTGCTGTGCCGCCGGTAGTCATGTGTGTTATGGTCCGTAACGTTCGTATCCGCGAGCTCAAGGTTGTAGAAGTCCATGGCGCCGGGCTCCGAAAACAAGGGACCTGCAGAGCCAGCCGACCACCGCGAGCTCAGCGCCCATTTCCTTCTTTGTTAGTTCTCCGAAACCGTGTACGGCACGGGGTTGTCACTTGCCATGCCCCGTACTTGCCGCAACCCACCCATATTCCCCCGTGTACCCTAACCTATCGTACCCAGCCCTACCCTACCCTGCCCTAATCCACCCAGCCCTACCCTACCCTGCCCTAATCCACCCAGCCCTACCCTACCCTGCCCTAATCCACCCAGCCCTACCCTACCCTGCCCTAATCCACCCAGCCCTACCCTACCCTGCCCTAATCCACCCAGCCCTACCCTACCCTGCCCTAATCCACCCAGCCCTACCCTACCCTGCCCTAATCCACCCAGCCCTACCTACCCTACCCTGCCCTAATCCACCCAGCCCTACCCTACCCTGCCCTAATCCACCCAGCCCTACCCTACCCTGCCCTAATCCACCCAGCCCTACCCTACCCTGCCAACTCAAGGGTATCTCACCTGCATGCCAGGTGCCGACTTCTAACTTGATAAAGCTGCCAAAGGGGATTCGAAACACACGAATATCTTCGGGTTGTGGGTATCGCTCCAAGCTGCCCGAGGGAGCTGCAAGGGCCATATACCTGCATGTCGGGAATTTAAAAGGTGTAACGTTAAAGCGGGTAGATAGATTGGATGTCTTTGATATTGGGGTAAGCGGTTCGAACTGTTTGGGTCACTTCGCCGGGAGGGCACCGTACGGGATATGTATGGCACACCTAATCGGGTATCGGGATGCGGGTGGCGGGTACAGGTGCAACATCCAAAAATCCGACAGGCAGCGCAGGGCCCGAAAGGGAGCGCAGCAAGACGCGGTGCATGCGCGCGGCGATGCAGTGGTTCCGTTGCCGTACCAGGAATGCGGCGGCGTAAGGCCCCCTAAGCACTGCGTCACTCTGCCATGGTAGGTGATGCGATGGAAGCGAAGTCCCCGGGCGGGGAGGCGCATGATGTAGAACCTGTGCGGATTGACACGGGGCCGGTGGGCAACAGTGAGTTGCGGAGAGTCCTAGGATTTAATAATAGTATAAATTGACGGGATTGCGAGGGAAGCGCCTTGGCGTTGGCCGCAAGCGAACTGTGCGCTGTGTCAGTTTGGGCTTTTGCATCTTCGATCTCCCTGCCGCAGTAGCAGGTACAGACGTGGAGGACATTAACGTGGTTTCCCTAAGGATGAGTTTACGAGGAGAAGTACGAATACGAGAAGAGTAGCTCCCAGAAGAGCCAGAATTTTTTGCCGTGTGTGCAAAGGCTGTGCGGTGCAGGGCGAGATGTTGGGACATGCGTCCCCACCTGGGTGTCCCCTGGTTCAATACCAGCTGTGCGTCATCCTGATCGAAAAGCTTGCCATCCTCAGAGCTGGAGATGATCTGCAGGTGCCATGATGGCGGCTAAGATATAGCACACGGCCAAAACGAATGCCGAGCACGCCATGAGTGTTGCACCTGACCGAAAGGCTTAATATTCTCCGGTGTCAGTGGTGTCACTTTAAGCGTAATTTGGTTGATCTGCGTTGCATTGCTACCAGCATTCATTTGTGCGCTTGCTGAAATAGACCTCCGTCGTCGTGTATCGACCCGGCGAAGAAGAACGCGGTTGCTGCAGGTAAGCATTTCTTATTATCACCGTTGTGTTGCGGTGCATAGCTGAAGGCTTGGAGCTGGTATTTTATCCTTATTAAAAGGTCAGGCCCTGGGGTCGTCGTGCACAGGAAGTTCTGATTATTCCCCCATGCTAGTTCACAGCACAGAAAACGAAATAGAATTGTTTATCTTCCTTGCGATATTCTATTAATCTGCATCGTTCCTTTCCCTGAAACCGTTTGCAACGTACTCGAGAAATGTTATGTCAAGCAGTGCGTAGCATAAGCAGAGCGACACCCGCCGGCTTTGCCGGATTATGGAACCTGTCTGATTCTCTTCAAATGCTAGGCTTATATAAAGGCGATGCCCATGCAGAAGGTCCGCAACACCACCTTGCGTTGCCGAGCTCGTCCAACTCGCAAGCGGACCTTTCCCCCCACTCCCGCATTCTGCCCACTCCTTCCCCCTCCTGCTTTTCCTCCTCTGGTCCCCAATGTTTCCAATGTTCACCTCCTACAGTCTACGCCATCGACCCTCGAACGGTTCTCCGACCGTCAGAGCTTGAGGTGCGCCACATCCTTCATCCTGCACGTCCCCAGCGTCCTGCCTCACCGGCATTTCGCGTTGCCACTTCCCACCCCACATTCCCTTATCTTCCTCTCACCTCCCCGTGCCCTTTCCCCACGACGTATTTTGCCCTCCGCCTATTTCCCATCGCCCCATTGGTCAGCTGCCCTCTACGATGTCCGGCTCGTGTCCCAACCAGATTTCCTTGTCACTTTTTTCCCTTGCACTTATCCCATTCTGTACGCGTCTTGCTCACGTATGGTTCTCCTTTTTTCACTGTCATACCCAAATCCCCTAACCCACTGGATAACCCTAATCTCACTGGGCTTTGCCTCGATTCAAGCTTCCTCTCCACCTCTCCTTTCGGCCCCCTCCCCGTCCTCTTCTCCCGCCGCAACAGGGCGCGCAGCTAGACAAGGTGGCGGCCCTCATCCGCGTTCCTGTGGAATCGGTGTCGAAACTGTCAAAGGTAAAGGATGTTGGTTGGGTCCTTGCTGCGTATCTGCATGTAGCCATGCTGGCTAAAGCCCGACGGGCAACTGAGTGATGATGTGCTTGTTGGGCACATTAACCAGCTGGGCACGCCAACTCAGTTAGCTAGTCAGCTCGGCTACCCTTGGGATGTGGGGAGGAGACGTGGGGAGGAGACGTGGGGAGGAGACGTGGGGAGGAGAGGAGACGTGGGGAGGAGACGTGGGGAGGAGAGGAGACGTGGGGAGGAGACGTGGGGAGGAGACGTGGGGAAGCTGTGGTCAGGTGGCGGGTTTCAGGGTTTTACCCACGGGTGATGGATAGGGCATGGGGCGGCCTGGCTTGCGTGGGCCCCATAGGCGACCAGTGCCGCGTCTTACACTCTACCTCACCTTAATCGGTTTGGTGGCGCCAACGCACAGCTGGAATCAGCAGCGGCGATGGCGATGGCGGCCGCGGCGGCGGCGGCGGCGGCTGCCGCTGCTGCTGCCATTGCTGCTGTGGCACAGCGGGTGCTGCTGTCACTCTGCCACTTGATGCTTCCGCCGCTGAGTGCGCTGCTTGCCTTGCAACTTGTCACATCATTTTAGACAAACCCCCGACGGTTTCGCGGCCCGGTGGCTGTGGCGGTGTGTAGTACAGTGAGCCCCGGACCCGATGGTGGCCGCAGGGTGTTTCGGAGCTGGCGGATATGGACGAGGTAGGTGGCTGGTAAGAGATGATAGATAATGTGTAGATGATCCAAGTCCAGTTGAGGCCAGGCGTCACGGTGACAACAGAAACACAATGTGCTGAAAAACGATGTGGTGGTCGCCGGCTTTGTTATCAAGCGCAGCGAGAGCCGCCGGCATAGGTTCCTCGTCCTCTCTGGGAGGAGGAGGGCTGGGTAAGCAGAGAATCGGACAATTACAAGGAAGGAAGAAATGCTCAGGCCGGTAAGGCGCTGAAGGCGGCACTGCAAAGTCCGGGGGTTTTGGACTGGACGGGACGTACTACTGTTGTTGCGCCGCTTGAATGAACCCAAGGTCTCAATTCTGGCCATCCAGTTTGCCCTCCTTACGTTCAAACGCTGTGGGCCCATCAAGTAGTGGCATTCCACGTGCAGTCAGTAAGATGTACACACATATAGCGGATTTGTTGGATTTCGGGTAATTTACCGAATAGACTGTTGAATTGAGCTGCGAGGAGGACGTCAGAACGATGTGCTCAGTGTTGGCCGTGAGCTGATCAATCACCCCTCTAAGTGGGGTCTGAGGAGACTCACACCCTCCGTCTCACCCTCCTGTATTTCGCCTCCGCTCCGGCAGCCTGGCAATGCTTGGTACTTTGGCCAGCGAGCCGAGATCTTTGACTACAAGCTGGTCGGCGAGTTCCCCACGAAATCAGGTGTGTGCGTGTGCTGCAAAACACTGTTAGGACTGCCGAAACGTGGTGGGGACCACAGCAGAGACCGGGTCACGAGGAGGGCATGTCGAAACGCGCTATGCCGGCATAGCGCCATGTTGTGGAGCTCTGTCGATGGAGGGGTGGGGTTAAAGAGCTGACGCGGTGACTGTCAGGACCCGATATCCGTGGATATACCACCTCGGCGTTGCGTTTTCTTAATATTCTTTGCCGTTGCGGTGCAGGTCTGCTTTTTGATTGATTTGATCCCTGGAAAAGGGATTGGTTCACACCCAGCCCTTGCCGCTTCGCTCACATAGTGACAAAGTAGCGTAGGAAGGGTTTCTGCGGGGGTGTTAAGGACGACGGTCCGTCCAGATCATCAGGCCAGGGCTCCAACCTAGCCGACGCAGCCCCCTCATTGAAAAAGTGCGCTATCCGATAAGTGTTTGTGTGTTACATGGTCGTGGGTTGCGTTCCCCGTGCCTGCAAAACGCCCAATACACGCCGAGGGGTCAAGGGCTTATCCGATGGGTGTTGTACACACTTGCGGTCCGGACAGGTTGTAGTGTCATTTTTCATGCAGTCTCTCTTCTGCCAAATGAAGCTTACTGGATCAAATCCGAGATGTTTCAATATTTCCCTTAATGTTGATTCCTGCAAGCTGACTCGTACTTTGGCCGTCATGTGTCACGTGTGAGCCGATGAAAACACGCGCCCCGTTCTGCATTCAGACAAAAGACATGTGTTGTATGTACACACATACGTGGGTCTCTGCAACATCATGCCCGTTGCTCTGCACATAAAAGAAGAAACCCCTCTCTACCCTTCCTCACGTCTTCCTAAGCTAAAAAAGCTTGGCTACCTCGTTTAGCCCTAATGACCAATGACACATCTACCTTCTTTCATCTTTCCAATCAACGAATCGCCAAAAAAAACGTCGTTTCATTAAACAAACAAAGAGGAGAAGCACGGAGCTGCCAAAGGGGTTCCTCCATGGATCGCCTTCTGCGGTCACACACGCATATACCCCCGCTGCCACGCCGCGCCACCTGCACAAGGCTATAACGCCGTCATGATTCCCCGTCTTGAGACCCTGTGCTGTGACCCTTCAGGCTTCGCAGCGTTCATCTACCGGGAAGTACTGGAGAAGATTCGGCAGGGCGAGGCGACAAACAAGAAGCTCCCAACCTGGGAGGAATTCCTGGCGCTGACAAGCGACCAGGTCACCTGGCCGCACAGGAAGACGCCCTTCCTCTTCGCAGGTGCGCCATGATTTGTGCAACGCAAGCCAGCGCACACGCACACGCACGCGCACATGCACACACAGACGCGATTCCCCGCTGCCCGTCACGCGCGAACCAGGAATAACACTCTACACATTACAATAAACTGCACTCTGCAGTAACCGAGTACGTGACATAAGCAGATAAGCTTGATACAAAACGACGACAGGGGACACAAAGGGAAGCACGCATGCGCAGGGCAGGTGTTCGGTTGACGCCACTGAGTACCAGCTGCCATGGAAACCAGTACAGAGCGGCTTGTGACGCAACTCGCTGCCGGAACCCTGACGTTTAAAGTTGTGCCCTGTACCACGTCCCAGGTTGGGACACGCTCGTAGCGGCGAGGGCCAGTTACTTTCCCCCAGGCCACCCCTATGACTTTCCCCACCCCTGCGTCCTCATGGTGGCCAGCTATTTCGCCAGACCGCCCCTTTACCCAACACTGCAGGCCGTATGGTGGAGGCTTCGATGGCTGCGCTGTATACACTGGAGAAGGATGGACGCGTCACTGGCGTGCTCATATCCAGCGAGTCTTCCGGAGACGTCGAATAACGCCTGATAGCGACCGCTGTTTTATGCTTCCTTCTTCGCCTTAGCAGCAGCTAGCCTGTGATCCACGGACAACGCAAGGACTGAAGTGCGCGAAGGCCATCTGCATCAGGGGAAGATGGAATGCCGTATACTTACTTCTCCATAAAGCTGGTGTACTTGTACTCATCATATACCATGAACCAAACAGGGAACAAGAACACGCCCGTAAGCACCAGCGTCCGGAAGAAGAGAGAGCCCATTGGCATAGGCTCGAACTGCGCATTATGAAGTGGAACAAAAAGAATTGTATTTATCTTGCCATATCGCATGTGCTAAATCAATCGTCTGGTGTTTGGCCGCTTAATGCATACGTTGTAAGTGAGTTTGTTGCTGCTATCGCCGAAGACATGGTCCAAGCTTGTATCCACTTTCGGCTTGGCATAGTCAGCAAAGCTCTTGCGCAATGGCTGCTGCGAACGCTGTGCTAACTGAAGATTCAGCCGCAAGGCTTGAAAGCCAAGCCCACGCAATGCACCCGACATCCTTGATAGCAACTGTTTAAGGCAGTGGTAGTAGAAGCAACAACAAGCCACATATGCTACACATCCCAAATCGCTTGTCAACTTTACGACACTATATGGTCGTACACGTGCTGTTGGACAGTTGGAAAAAATCCCATTCCTACATCCTTTATGCTAAGCAAAACCTTATGGCCATCTCATAAAACAACCCAGGTGCCTCTGTGAATCTTTTCAAGGGAAAGGTTGGAGGCTGCAGGGTCACCTTTCAACTCCCTTCACTTGTACCAAGGGCCCCACCTCTGCCAGGCGGCCATTGACTATCCGCCCCTGTCCCCCTTCATAAAACCGTTCAAAGCCACGTGATTACTCAGTTCGCAAACCCTTCTTTCTAAAAGGCTTCAGCCTTTTAGAGTTACGGATTTCTGCCAAACCGTCAGTACAGGTCAGGGCTTCAGTAGCGATGCTCAGGACAAGGACGTGACCACACCATACTGTCATACGATGCTCTCAGACGTCCCGCGCTTGAGACTTGCATCATGGCTTGAAGGCGGAAGACGCTTTGCTCCGAGGGGATTTTTCCGGAAATCTGTGTCTGAGTTTTCATGCCTTCGCAGTTGCTCGCCCATCTGCTTTTGCCTTAACCCCGAGAGAGATAAATAAAGGTCGCCATTTGTGACATACTTGCTGCACAGGGATCTGTTTCCATCTGTTTGCCTTTCTCCGAAACTCACACGGGGTTTACAGCTGAAGGGTTTTTCAGCGTATGCTGTGGTGTGACGGGATCCTCAGGGAACAGCATGGCTAGGATTAATCCCCAAACCCCAAACTTTGGGTTCCTCTTCTTGTCCCAATCCATCCACCCAGGTCCATTCATTCCCGTCCTACCGTATCTTGAATGGGTCTTGAATGGATCTTGTTACAACGGATCCGAGTTATCCGAACAAATCATCCCGTGCATTCCGCTTCAAGCCGCGCTGCACCGCATCCCGAGGTCCGACCGAGTATACGTCCATTCAATGCACAGCCCAAGAGTTCGCCCGTTCGCCTCGTCCTGCACGATAACATCAAAAGACATTACCATAGCCATAGGATAGGAAGGCGTCGTTGGCTCGTTGGCAGCAGTTCCTGGAAACGCATCACTCAGGAGGAATTAGCCGCGGGCCGGATGCTTCCCTCAGCCACAACGGGTCTTTGCGCAGCCAAGCCCAGCAAAACAATCTCCCAGCTCCTGACTGTACACTGTACAGAAGTCCATAAACTGACAGCCGAGATGGATACGCTCGTGGGGAAAATGGGTTGGCCGCATCCCGGGCCAAATCGCGAGCGTGGATATGTGCTGTATGTGCTGAGGAAGGCCATTCCCGGCCCCTGGCTGTGACAGACTCCATCGGTATGTGCCAAACACTTGCTCCACGGGTTCCCCTTCTTTGACGGAGCCCTCCGCACTTTTGTGGACACTGTAACTGTAATTGCGAACAAGAAGACGACTGTGTCGCCCTTTCATAACCCATATGTGCATTAGCTTTGCATCCCACTCCTCGTTTTCCCCAACGCTTGGTTCGCAGGTAGTGAAAAGGAATGTGTGTAATGAGGTTACTGCTGAAGACCCTAAGAGATCACCGATTGGTGCTGTGCGCACACAATCCATGAACAACTGCGGTGTGAAGTGACTCCGGCTGTCCATCAGGCTGTTTACGTCCCGGACGGAGGTGTGCAAACCTTGCCAATCGGTCTGCTTACTTGTTTTTTGTTCTTTTGCGAGCTTCACGTCGCCCCTCAAGCTAAGCCCGTAGATTTCTAACCACACACAGTAAGACGGTAATTGTGAGATGTCTAGTGGAAAAAGGAAGCTGTTTTCCCGAACCGACTAACGAAACTGGTATTGGCGGAGGACGCCCGGACGCCCCCCATGCTTTTTAACAAGTGATATGCCTGCCTTGTGTGTAACCACTCGAGGCGTGTCCGCCTCGCGTCCTGGGAACTCTACTGAAGTAAAGGAGTCCGCTTCGGATCGCGATGCGTACGATCTGGTCGAATGACGAGCAGAACCGAGTCCAGCAGGCAGCAGGCCATTCAGTCCGGTCTGGTAGCCCGTGACCACGTACTACATTTCCTGATGGTCTTTTATTACCCGGCGGCTCCTTTGGTGGCCCTTCAACATCGGTTGGCCTTATGCGCCACATGAGGATCCGAACGAAAAGCTTTAGGAGTCGCTCTAAAGAAGGGAATCGCTTCGGAGGACGGACGTCCAAAATGCCAGCAGGAGCTCTTAGCTCTGGGTCTTAGCAAGTCAACCAGGCGCCCGGTCCTCGCTACACGACAAGGCAATATGCAGAGTTGCATACCAAGCCAGGCCGTGCGTCGCTGTCCGTCGTGGACCCCTGGGGTATGGCGGCTTTCTGAGTTTCGTTCTGTTCGTTCTTCGGCGTCTAGATCGTCCAGATCGTCTAGATCGTCTAGGTCGTCTAGACCGGAGCTTTATTTTTATTTCATCTTATCCTCACATTCCACGAACCCCTATCCGGGCTACCGCGCTTCGCCTCTGACTGGCAGCACAGGTCAGAAGCGAAGCACATCATTAGTTAAGACTTCGCTTTGGCCTTCATTTATTGCCACAGTCATAGTCGTCTTTCAGTATCTCGCGCAGCGGACGGTCCTCCCCCAAGGAAGGGGTATCCTGGAAGGGGTTCACCTTCGCCCCGGGGAAGGCAGTCCCTACGCTGGAAAAGTATATGAGGATTAGCGATACCCAGACGAAGAGCAGGTGCATGAAGTCCGCTTTCCTCCTTTGTTTTTCGTATGTTTGACAGTTTAGCGTTCGTGCATCAATCGAAGTCCTTGGAAAGCGGTCTTTTTTCTTGTGGTGAATGATCTGAGCCCTGCGATGGAAGCTGCTGGATCTGGCAAGGACCTCGCTTGTGGAGCACAGCAAGGCAATAATGCGCGCGTACTGGGCATTTACATGGAATTTCGGTTTGATGCGCGCTGAGACATGCGCCTTTTTAATTCCGGTCCAGCGCACGTCGCTGGCATTTTCCGCGCTAGGGAAAACAGTCAGAAGAATGCCTGGAAGAGGCCTTGCGACAGGAGCGGCCAACACATACGCCCATAATTGCGCCGCGTCGCCACGGGAGTTAAATATTTAAACGTCTTCCTTTCGGACCCACAAGTTCAACAACTCGCAGCTTGGCGGATCTGGCACAGTGCGAAGCTGTAAGCGAGCCCCTAGCTCACTATGCAAGGAAGCATGCATCACCCCCGATGCTGCGCGCAGACCGATTAGCCCCTGCAGTGACTTTTGAAACAAATAGTGGCCAAGCGCAATGCCTTGGAGACCCGACGGAGTTGGCCTGCATTTTTGTGAGGACAGGGAGGTGAAGAGGCCGCCGACCACAGCGCGACGAGCTACGCGGGCATCGCGTTCTGGGCAATGCGGTCTCTGATTCGAGGTACCGAGATTCTATTAGGGTCATGACGCGCGGAGAGAGGCCCGCGAATGGGATTAGTACGCAAGGGACACCACTTCTGGTACCATCCGTATCAATACCTGGGACCTTCCCACATCGGCAGGCCCAGATTTGTTAATCAATAATTGTACAAGCCTCACTGCCCTTAAGCGTTAGCATTTTACGGACATTGAGCGGAGGAGCAGCCACAACGCGAGGAAACCACTTTCCCTAATATCACTTTCTACGCCGCGGCCCTGTCATAGGACAGATACCAGCTGTGCATGTCTCTGTATGGATTCAAAAGTTTGTTAGGTAATTGACTCCGAAGGCCAGCTGACCAGCAAGTCAGAAGCGAGGCATGGCTACCTTAAACGAGGCCCTGGGCTTAATTGATGACGTTGCTCAAGAACTCAAATTCTATGATGCTGGTATCTACAAGCAACTTCAAGAGCAGACCAGCATTCATCGGTGTCGAGATATCCTGGAAAGGGTCAAAACGGCTATCATGGCTAGGGACGCAGACGGCAACATCAGAGCGGACAGTCTCGCTACGGATGACTGGCGGAAGATTGCAAACCTAGTGGCCCCGTTGGCGCGTTGCTTCACGGTGTCTTCTCCGCCAGTCACGCCAAGTTCCAAGACACGCCACAGCAGCGCGGTGGCCGTGGCCGCACTTGCACTTCTTTCCAGCTGCGGCCAGAAATCGAAGATTATTGTCAACAGCGCTCTGGAGTCCGGAGTTGTGGATGCATTTGTTAATACGCTGCGGACCAGCCTGCGCAACCCCGTATCCGACAGAGTCATCAAAGCTATGCTCTACAAGGTGAATATGTCTCTTCGATACAGAGACTTCCAACGCCGTGCTCCAAGTTGGCAAAACGGCGGAGACGCTCACAGCCTTGCCCACGCCATCCGTCACCGCTATGCCCTCCTGCCTTGTGCTTGCGCGTCTCCTACCTTCCTCCTACCCCCCGTCGGCCCCCACGCCTTGTGTCCCAACCGTGTCGGAATATGGAATCGTAGAACCCTGGCTCCTATCCCCCACTCTCCCTTCCCTTGCTGTTTTCGCCCAATTTCATTTCCTTTTTCTTCTCTTTTATCACCGTGCTTTCCAAATAATAAACACACATTATCCCCCTTTCCTTCGCTAAGAATCCTCCCCGTTAAAATCACACCAATTTTTCACTCCGCGCCTCCCAAACCCTGCCGTACAACTTTTGTGTTGTGTTTAGATCATTGAGGCGCTCTGGGGCTTCAGCCTTTACGCTAACACGCAACTGCAACAAGAGCTTGTCGCACACGACGTCGTCAACATTTGTCTAGACCTGATCACTTCTTCCAGCGTTGAGGTTGAGAGCAAGATCAACGCCAACAAGACGTTGTACAATTTTCTTAACGGCTCCAACGGCCGTGTCGTGACAGAGCTGCGCTCCAGCAAGATCGCCGCGCTCAACGGTCTGCTGCAACAGCAGGCATCGCAGGTTCCGGAGCCGGCGGCGGCAGGTGCCCTGGCGCTGGCGGGCGGCACTTCTGGCAAGGTTGCCATCACTATGCCGGCGCTGCTGCCGCATATTATGTCTTGGATCTGGTGAGCCAGGGTGGGCAGTGGTGTGACGGGCGAGTCAGGCAGACATATAAACAAGACAGACAGACTGACTGACTGACTGACAGATGAGCAGGTAGACAGCTAATTCAAGAAGCCCACCGCCAGTATCGCTTTTTGGTAAAAGCGCACTTCCTCTCTCCCGTTTGCCTTCGGGGCTGGAGTTATGGCCCGGACCCCGGCATTGACGGACCCATGGGTCAGTCCTGCAACTCCCTCCGTGTTCCTTTTCGTCCCACCCTCTCTCTCTCTCTCTCTCTCCCCGTTGCTCTGGAATCACGCCGCATTTGTTGTGTGTTGCTACGGGCCTGGCGGCTAGGACACCTCACAGGCTATTATATTATTGCCGTCGTGCTTTTCCGGATTTCCCCCTCCCTTTTTCGCCTCTGGAAGAATGACCTCTCACCCTCTCCCTCACCCTCTCCCTCCCTTCCCCATCCCCCCGCCCCCCTCAGGTTCCTTCCCCATTACATCCTCGACCACCTGATGCAGTCCCTCGCGGGCCTGATGCACAAGTTGGTGGTGCTGGTGTGGCCGGAGGGCTGTCCGGGGCTGCCGCTACTTCCAAGCGTCCCTGCCACCAACGGCCCCAACCGCCAACCGCCACCACCACCACAACCACAACAACAACAACTGGGTAGTCCCAAGCCGCGAATGCCCTCCCAGCAGCAGCAGGCAAACATCTCCTCGCCATCGTCTTCTGCTGTTGGCCCGCTTCAAGTCGCCCAGGTCTCCTTGCCCAATCGAACGTTCCAGAAGCTCCTGCAGGCGGTGTTCCGAACCATCTCTTCGGGTCTTGCGGACGCGCGCCTTGTTGCCCTGCTGAGAGGGACGTCGTGCCTGGCGGCGGCGGCGGGGGGGCCTGACAGCGGCAGTGGAGCCGACACGCACTCAGACATCGACATGCTGGACGCCGACGGCGGTGCTGCTGCTGCTGCTGGCGGGGGAGGTAGCGGCGGCGAGGGTGATGAGGATGTGCACGGAATGGCGCTGTCGTATGGCGGCAGCAGACGAAGGCGGCAGGGGCAGCAGCAGGGGGTGGTGCAGCCGACGGCGCTACCTGCGCGGCTCGTGCGTGTGGTTCGGGAGGGCCGGTCGGATGGCATGGAGACGCGGGTGGCGCTGGAGATCCTGGACGAGCTCTTTGCGTGCGACGCCAAGGGCGAGCATCCAGAGTTGGCGGATGATGCGTTGGCGGCTGGGTTGCTGAAGTCTATGTCGGAAATGGGGGTGCTGCAGTCGCTGAATACGGAGGGTGGCATGGCGGCCGTGTCCGCGTATGTCAGGTATGTGCCGGGGGAGGGGGGAAGGGAGAGAGGGAGGGGAGGGGGGAAGGGAGGGGAGGGGGGAAGGGAGGGGAAAGACGAATTACGAACGAGTGAAGCTGCTGCCAGGGCAAGAGTGTACCAGAAGCAGGACTGACCAAAAGGCGTTTTTGAAGGCGGCGACCTCGGGATGAGGGAGGGGAGGGGGGAGGGAGGGGAGGGAGGGAGGGGAGGGAGGGGAGGGGGGGGAGGGAGGGGAGCGGGGGAGGGAGGGGACGTGTCGAGCTGTGTCCTTCTGGGATTGCGGAGAGGTGTGAGGTGAAGTGGGGGACGAAGGGTGGGTGCACTGGTTTGAAGGCCTGGGTGCATGTGTGTGTGCTATGTGTGTATGTCGTACAACACAATGACGAGATGAACTTTTGAACTCGTGACCCTCCCCAGCCTCCTAATCTCTCCCGTACAGCAGTTGGGCACGTAGGCAGTTGCTCCGTGTCTGACTTTTTTCAGCATTATGTAATTCCACACCTCTCCATCCCAAGGACAGCAGATGGTGGTACGGCAAATGTTTTGCAGCTTTTTTGTGTGTGTATAGTTGTTCCGTCCCGTTCCTTGCGTCGCCCGTGCATCCTTGCCTTGTAGGCTGTGCCTGAAGCTGATCCGACGGGTGCCGTACACGCCGGGTCTGGCAAGCTGGCTACACGACAGCGGCGTACCTGCCAGCCTCGCGTACGTGTCGTTTTGGCCCACCAGTCGACTCTGCTTGAAGCTGGATGCTTTGCAGGTGTGGGGGACTGGTTTAGCTGTAAATATGTATGTATGCATGTATGTATGCATGTATGTATGTGTATATGTATGTATGCATGTATGTATGTATGCATGTATGTATGTATGCATGTATGTATGTGTGTGTCAGTCCATGGGGTTTTGGCGTAAGCTTTGCGGGTCGACAGCGGATGGGAAGTGATCTTTATTGATGAACATTATGGTCATCATCATCATGATTCCTAAAAAACCCTAAAACCCTGTCCCGAGCCCCATCCTCCCTCTTCTTCCTCCCCCCCGGTCCGCGGTGTACTGCAGACACTGAACGAGCTCGTACAAGTGGATACGGATATGACCGAGCACGTGGTCACCATCAAAAACTTTCCTGCCGCACTCGCCAACACACTGCTTGGGGGAGATCCCGACAGCAAGAAGTCGGTGGGTAGCTGGGCAGGCAGGCCCAGGTCGATCGGTTTGTTAGTTAGAGTGTAGGATGGGCGGTTGATGGTGGCCTGGTGGTTGGTTGGATCTGGCAGTTGGCTGGATCAAGCTTTTCTATCCATTCATATAGGTTTTTACTCTCAGCTTTAGATGCATCGTGCTGCCCCCGAGCTTTGCCGTACTTTGCCGTACACTTTCTCATCCCCCGGCGCTTCGCATCCTGACCTCCGGGTCACGGTTGAGTTTTACCCCTGGTAGGTCCTTAACCACCAACCGCCAACCCCCATGTACAAACGAACCCTTAAACCCTAAAACCGACAGTCCAAAAAGAGTGGCTGGTATTACCGATCGAAGAAGAAGGGCAGTAGCAGTGCCGCCGCCGTTGCGGCCGCCGCCGCCGCAGCAGCAGCTGCAGCCGATGCAGTGCATGCTTCTGGGATTACCATCCAGGCCAAGAGCCATCGAGATCAGATCCCGGAAGCCGCGTTAAACATTCTGAACACCGTGCTGGATGAGTCCAGAGAGAGTGACAAGGTGGGTGGGTGGGTGGTTGGGTCGACGGGTGGGGCAGGGGAGAGCCCTACAGAAACCCAATAGCTATGCAGATTTTTAAAATATCTCATGGCGAGACGCGAGATTAGATACTGCCAATACTGCAACTCCTGATACTGCCGGCGGTCTTGCCAATACTGATGATACTGCCACTGCCCGGACCAGGTGTGGGAGACGGTTATCGAGTCCGGTATGTTGCCGCGGCTGCTGCAGCACTGCGGCGACTCCAGCATGCCGCCCGGCCTTCTTGTTGAGCTGCTCCTCGCCGTCGGACTGACGTTCAAGGATCACGGAGAAGATGCCGCGACTGTGGGGCCGCTACAGGCGGCCTGTGCGCCACACCTGCTGCCGCTGCTCACCCACGAAAGCGCCGTCGTGGCCTCCACCGCGTCGAGACTCCTTTGCGACATCTTGTTCGACATGGCCAGGTACCGCAGCGGCTCGACTGACGTAGCGGAAGGCGATGACATTCTCAAGGCGCTGGTGGCAGCGGGACCGGCTATAGACACCGCTGATGCCGCGGCGGCGGCGGCGGCGGCGGCCAAAGTCACGGCGGCGGCGCTGCCGACGGCGGCGGCAGCGGCAGCGGCTGCTGCAACGGCGGTTAAAGACGAAGAGGCTGGCGGCGGCGGCCGCCGCGGCGGTGCGTCGCCTGGTGGGTTGCAGCGGCCGGCGCGCCCAGACGTAGACGCGGTTGGGGTTGTGGGCGTTTGTGGTGAGGAGGCGGTGTCGCCGGAAGGGGCGGTGACGGTGCTGGACCCTGGGGCTGTGTCACCTGTTTCAACGGCGGCGGCGGAGTCCCCGGGGGGTTCCGTCCAGGGGGATGGGATGATGGAAGTGGATGCGGCAACCACTACTGCCAACATTACCACAGCCTACTGCACGAACACCGGTACAGCGGCGCCGGCGGCGTCAGCGTCAGCGGCGCCGGCCGATGCTGGTACGGCGGCCGGTGCCGTCGGCAACAGCGGCACGACAGGCAGCGGTGCCGCCACTACGGCAGCCGCTACTGCACTACCCGCCGCCGCGGCGGCGGCGGCGGCGGCCCCCCCAGGACGATCTGGTTTGGAAGGTGTTAACGTCACTTCCCAAGGGCTGTGCCTAATAAGTACGGCCATTCAGACCTGTACACGGGCGGTGTTGCGGAGGGTAGGGGGGACGTCGTCGCCGGCGCTGACGCAGACGGCAGTGACAGTTACGACAACAACGACTGCTGCAGCGTCGCCGTCGGGCAAGGCTAGCGGGCGGGACAAAGCTGCTACTGCCGCCGCGGCGGCAGCGCCGGCGGCTGTGTTGGAGGGCCCTTCGTACAACACCTTGGAAGCGCTTTTGCAGAGCTGTCGGGTGCTTTGTGAAGCCTGCTTGCAAATGCCGGCCCATGGTGCCGTACGGCGGCACATCGCGCGCGCGTTTGCGTATGCCAGGCCGGCAGTGGACGAGCTGGTGGCGGGTTTGACGGCGCTGCCGAACTCCTCGTCGGGCCAGATGTTATTGCGCGAGGCGCGGGAGGTTCTGCAAGTTCTTCGGAGGGTGCCCGTGCTTGACGTAGCTTCTCTGCCTCAGGTACGTGGCGGGGGCGATGATGATGGCGTAATAGTATGTTGGCGGTATGAGGTGCCCGTGGCGGTGATGACGTCATCATTCAGGGATTCACGCCGCGGAATTATAATAATTAATTATGATTAAGTAAATTTTTATTTTTATCAATGTAAATAATTGACATTTATCGAAATATAGTAAAAATATTAACGGAGACGCGGATCCTCCCTGGTCCCCAATTAACGATGTACACGAAAATGTTCATACACGTGTGGAGCCGCCGTTTTAGTGGCGCCTTCTGTCCCTTGTGCCGCTCGCAGCTTCACGTGCCGCCGGCGCCTGCCGTACACTACATCGTCAAGACGGGGGAGGCGCCCGTGCCGGCTTCGGCCACCATCCCGGCGAAGAAAGGACGTAAGTACGTGTACGGTATGCGGTGGTGGAAGGGCACTGCACGGGGCTGGGTAGCTCGGCAGGGCAATGTAGAAGGCTGGAGTGCGGCTGGAGGCGAGCCAAATGATAATGTATGATAGAAATAAAATAGATTGTATTCATGATGATGATAATGGATGATGATGATAATGGATGATGATGATGATAATGGATGATGATGATGATGATGATAATGGATGATGATGATGATGATAATGGATGATGACGGTGATATCAAAGATGATGCATGAACCAAAAATGTTCAAGGAGAAGGAACATTCAAAAGGAGGCCGACTTTTACAATTTCCAGAGAAGGGGAGGATGTGGATTGTGGGTGGGCGGTGTGGATGATGGAATGACCACAAGGGGGGGTGCTGAGGGATGCTGAAGGTCATTCCCTTTGAATAAAACCGTCACCGCCACCACCAGCGCTATGATGCAGTGTTGGGAAAAGGCGTGTATCGATCCTGCGGTGATTCTTTTTCCGGCAGCTCTCCTCTGTACTGTCCTTCTTGCCTTTCTTCTTCCCTGCGCGCGCTCTCCGACATTTTTAGCTTCTTTTTTATCTTTAAAACCGCCGCCTCCTGCTTCTGCTCAGTGTCACCGTCATCCCCATCCTAATCATCATCATAACCATCCGTATCCCCCCGCTCTGTACCCATGCTGCCGCCATACATACTTATATACGTACGTACATACATACGTACACACTCAGGACCTCTTGGGAGTGGCAAGCGAGCCTCGCAGGCAAGACGTACGGCTGGGGGGGACCCCACACAGGCAGCGAACAAACGGCAACGCACGTCGGCCGCTGCTGTAGCCGCTGTCGACGGGCCGGCGGCGCCAGCGGCGGCACCAGCAACCCCGGGGACAACACACAACGCGCCGGCGGCGGCCCCAGTGCCCTTGGAGCGCGCCCGCTCGTCAACCGTCGCCACCGACACCGCTGACGCCGACGCTATCAAGGTGAAACCCGACCGCCCCGGCGGCGGCGTGGCCAAGCGGGCGGATTCCGTTTCAGCTCCGGCCGCTCCAGCGACGGCGGCGGCGGCGGCGGCAGTAGCGACGGCGGCGGCGGCAGTCAAGAGTCCCAACGGCGGCGCAACGCGCCCTTCGGTGCGAAAAGGACAACGGCGGGACGGGGGAGCGACAGAAGTAGCAGCAGCAGCAGATGGACTCACTGGCGGCGATTGCACCGGATCGGTAATAGGTGGCCGACCGAGAAGGGGACAGTCGCGGAGCGTCGTCAGCGCTGCCGCCAAGGAAGGAAGAGGGCTAGCGGACGGAGCAGCGGGTGCTGCTGTATCGTCGGGCGCTTCAGGAGCTGCCGCCGCGTCCGGCGGTCGGGATGCTGACGTGGCAGCGAATCCCGAAAAGACGGATCGGAAGATGGACGAGAGGGACGACATGGCGTTAGTTCGCCCAGGGCTAGTACCTGCTGTGGACGCGTCCACGCAGATGGGCATCTCCACGGCGGCGGCGGCGGCACTTCAAGAATATCCCAGCTGTGTCCCCCTGGAGCTTCGAAACAGCTTTGGCGCCGCCACAGGCTCTCTCGCTGCTCTTGGATCTGTGACCGCGACGACGACGACGATGATGGTGACGACGGCGGCGAAGGTGGAGGCGGGCGTGGGCGCAGGTACCGCGGGACCTGCGGTTGCCGACGATCGCCAAGGTGCCGGTGGTTTCCCTGGCGGTGTCCCCGGCGGTGCCGCCGCCGCCGCCGCCGGTAAATCTCGCGTCAACCCCGCGGAGATCCGCGCGCGGTACCTCGAACTGAAGGCGCAAAACGCCCGGATGGCTGCGGAGTTGGCGGAGCTGCGGCGCGCCAAAGAGGACGTCGAGGCGGTGCAGCAACGCACGGCCGCCACGTTGTCATCTCGGACAGAGGAACTGGCACGAGTGCTACAAGTGCGTTGGTTTTTTAAATTTAAATTGAGTAGTGAGGAATGTTGGAGGAGTTGCTCAAAAGAGAAACCAGAGAAGTGCGCGAAAGTCTAACAGCAAGCATCTGTTAACTAGAACCGCCACCAAGCGCCGCGTGTTACCGATGTTGAGGTTCCGGGGATGTACGGGATTGATGGCTTGCGCTGTTTTGGAGTAAGGGAGGCAGCAAGGGAGGCGCTTTGGATTCGGCATTTACAGTCTTCAGTTAGGAGGAACTCCAAAGCCAAAGTAAAAGTCGAGGACGACGTTTCAATATAGAAGATGTCTAGTTTGAGGTTGTTCTCCTCAGTTCCCGGTAAACCTCTCCACGTGAACGTCCCGCTTTGCGAAACTTCCCCGGTCTGAAACTTCCACGTCCTTGTGCGCTTCCAAACTGTGGTTGCAAAAGCCACTTTGCAGTTTTTGCACACACACTTGACCCAACATTCCAAAAAATTCAAAACTCCCGCGACAACACCTCTCCCTCGTTCTTACACACAAATTCGCACACCTAAATAATACACAGCCTCGATAAACTCCCTCCCCAACCCGCTCCGAAACCGCGCACAGGAGCTTGAGGAGAAGGACCAGGAGCTGGAGGACAAGAGTTCCAAGCTGGATGCAGCGCAGGAACAACTGGCCGAGGTGACCGCGGCGCTCCAGGGGCGCGACACGGAGCTGAAAGACAAGGACCGGGAGCTAGAGGCTGCGGGGCAGCAGCTAGCCCACCTGACTGCCGATCTACAGGAGGCGCAGGGGAAGATTGCCAAGTTGGAGGCGGCGGTAGCGGGGGCAACCGGGGGCCTGCAGCAGCTTAAGTCCGAGAACGCCGACTTGCGGGCGGAGCTGGCGGGTTTCCAAAGCTTAGCTGACCTTGAGTAGTGTACTAGGAGGAGGACGGAGAGGGAGAAGAAGAAGCAGGTGGAGAAGAGGAGGAGGGAGAGGAGGATGCAGAGGGGGAGGAATGCAGATTTGAATAACGGATAATGGATTGGACGGAGGAGACGCGTGACAACTCTCGATGTTGCGTGTGGGGTTTACTCGGGTGCTTTCCACCCCACTCGCCTCCGTTCTGTGCGTCGCTGTTTTGTGTATCTGGGTTAGCTGTGCCTGGGCTGCGGACGTTGCGATCTGTTGTAGGAGTCATCGTTGGACTCCACGACGCGGCCGTTGGTGCGTCCGGGGTTCGGTCGGGGGCTGTGTTTCTTGCCACAATCGTTTTTCAGTGACTATGGGCCGCCAATGCGTTTCCCGTCGGTTGCATGCCTGGGGGTACAAAACTCTCGGCGGCTGGAATTAATCGGCTCAGCAGTTCGGCGCTGCTGCAAAAGTATTTTTGCTTCAGCGGCGCCTGGATGACCTTTCCGCGCTGGTCTTTGCTTGCATGTCAGTTGAGCACGCTGCGCATACGACGCCGTTACGGCTAGGGACTCGATTGTGTACATTTATGTGTGTATGTATGACTGGCGGCAGCATGGGTTTCATAAGGCCCGAAGGTCATCACATGTGTGTGTGTGTGTGTTTCGTACGCACGTTCTGGGGTTGCGTCACTCGCCAAAGGTGTAACGTGGGGGCCCGGACCTGGAGCCCTGAGGGGGCCCACAGGGCCCCGGGGGCCGAAGGCTTCAAAGCTGGATGAGAGATAGATCTGATATGTAATTGGTGTTGGGCCGCCAAGGCTGGATATGGCGGCCACCATGCTGAACCGCCATGCCAAGGCCCAGCGGAGAATTTTACAAGTTCCACACACACACCGGGGGGTGTCCGTAAAAGCGTGGGGGGCCCATGGAGGGTATACTGGTATTGATGCGGGTACACGGGGGGCCATTATCGTCCTCCTTGGTCCGCTTCAAGGGGTGAAGAAGCGCCTTTGCGCAACGTGGGATGGCCTCCCAAACTTCCGAGAGGTAACTGGCCAATGCTGCCAGGGGTGGCGCCTCGGTCAAAATGGTGCGCCTTTAAAAAACGAGGTCGCCGCCGTGCTTAGCCCGTACCTAACCCGGAAAACAGCCAGGTCAGGCGCACCGAGGCCTGGTTAATATTATAGGTATATCTTTCTGCTTCGGCAGTCGAAACTCGACTCGATGACCCGTGCTCGCGTGCAATTCAAAAAAGAAAAACAACGGAAGTTGGAAGAAAAACAACTTTTAGTTATAAGAGTTACAGGTGGGTTCCTGATCAGCATACTGAGATGCCTAATTCTTATAGAAAAGCCGTGGGTCCTTGTTGCTTGAGCTTGAAGCTTCGGTTCAAGGTAATCGCGAACGTACACAGACGTACACAAGAGTTACAAGTTACAAGTTCCGCACACAAGTGCGGGTGTGTCCGTAAAAGCCGGGGGGGCCATGGACAAGAGGAGCTGCGCAAAGTAGCGGCAGCAGCCGCAGCAGGGGATCGGATGAAGGCCACGCGTAGCGGCGGGTGTGGTTTGACTGAGCATTAGCGATAGTTGAGGATGCAGATGGAGGGATTGAAATGATGCAGGTGCGGGAAAAGCGTGATGTGGCATTACATGGGAGGGTCACGACACTGCTTGGCATGCAGCATAGGATGACCGCCAGGACGAAGATTCCATGTGTGCTGTATTTAGGGCTGACGTGGCCCTGCGCCTGTGTGTTGAGCGGTGTTATGTCTTATTTCTGTTCATCGCTTGAGGACTGCGTTTTGCGCTTTGTCGGGAACATGGCATGTCTACTTGGGCCTAGGCTGGCAGCTACACACTGCGACTTTGAAACAGTTATCCACGTTTGTAAGCGCATAGTATTTATCAAAGTGTTGTGCATAAGTCTTATCGTATTGCAGGAGCACCTGTTTTCGCCATCTGCCGCAGCCATCTGCTTTAAACTCTCTCCGTTTGCATTTACAACGACTGCGTGCTGCCCGCCACGTGATAGACATGAGCTATAGTTGAGATACAATGCTCCTACGGGGCGATAGGTGCAGGAATACGTGCTCATTTGGAGGCATCCTATGGTGGTCGTTACGCAGCCTTCTTGTTTTGTGCGTGCATGTCCTTTGCAGTGTCTGCATCATTGCAAAATCAAATCTTCCTTGACAGTAAAATGAGGAAGCATTTCTCGATTATGCCAATGGTGGGTCCACCCGGCCCACTGGTGCTGGGGACGCTCGCGAGAAGGCGTTTCCAGTCTATACGCAAGTCGTAATAGGAATGCCATCAAGCATACTCCATTTTCTAAGGAATGCCTATCTGGACAATTTTGTTTCGCATGGTTACGGAAAAGGTCACTTTTACCGACATCGAACCACATTCCACCGACGACTTTGTTTAATGCTGGAATATTAACTCACTGTATCACGTTGTCGGTTATGCCAGCAAGGTCCGGAACGAGAGGATCCCAGCGAAAGAGCTCAGTGACGACAAGCGCCGCTTCATTGAAAGGGCCGGGAGGCCTGTTCCAGATTCTGTGCTCAACTAATATACATAAAGAAAACAGTTATTTATTTTACAAACAATTGAACTGTCGCCCATTATAATTTAGGCCTGTCTGTTAAACCCTCGAAAGTATTCTGCACTTGTGCAAGCCAATTAAGTTAACGATCATCCACATTTGACACGATGCATCAGCTGAGAGGACTATGCCATGGCCGAATTCCCAAAGGGGCGGCGCATATGGCAGTTGTGAGGCATCATCACAGTAGATTTCGTCTCGCACCGCAACAATTGTCTGCATCAGTTGGTTGTGAGGACGCTACTCGCTTTTCAGCTAGGTCATCTCTCACCGCTGGTAAGTTTCAAAACTAGGGCGTCGTGATTCCTCCACGACTCAGCAAGCCGGAATGCACAACCAAAGCGTTATGTGTGGGAAACTTGCAGATCAACAAACGTCAGCCTTAACGAACGGAAATTCCGCATCGCCGTCAACACCTTCTGTCTTCTCTTTCGGAAACTTGAATGTCGAGGAGGTCAGGCGGGGATGCGTCAATAGGGATGCTATCTCATGAAAGGATTGCCAGGTTTCATCAAGTATCCTTTAACTGTGGTTCAGGCATATGACCTTGAGCGCAATGACTGGGATGCAACGTCGCTCAGCGTGGTTGTGGTCGGCGCATCCGGCGACCTCGCCAAGAAGAAAATCTTCCCTGCCCTATTCGCTTTGTATTACGAGGGACTGCTGCCACCGGTGAGCGGCAACGGGGCGGTATCAGGGTTTTGGCCGTGTGTAGCGGCCTCTCTGCTCTCCAGGGCTCCTCGTCCTTGCCGATAAACAGTCGCGCGCGGGGAAAAGCGGATTAGCGTCGCAGCCCGGATTTCCCTGCCTGATATCCTGATTTCCTGTCCTCTCCTGCTGCCGCACACATGTACAGGAGTTTCATGTGTATGGGTTTGCTCGGAGCAAAATGACCGATGCGGAATTTCGGGACGTCATTGCCTCAACCCTCAGCTGCCGAGTTTCAGCTAGGTATGGGGCCCTTATATATAGGAGACTTTATGTAAAGACCTTAGTTTCTTAAAAAAGCATGCGATTGTCAGTGCGAGGTCGCTGAAGGAGTTTCCCGGTTAGTACTGAGGTCTGGCTTGCTGTATCGGTTGCCCGAAAACAGGTATTTGCACCCCTTCGCTGGGAGTGATCATGTTCATTATCCTGGGGACACCGGCGTTTGCGATGGGACGCCTGGGAAAACTAGGTCGCGCAAAAGCACCTGGTCAGCGCCAAGTCAACGGCAAGCCGCTCTCAACCACCAGTCCCATGCATTTTGCTTATACCTTCTGCCTCCCGAATGCACATCCACATCCAATCTACTAACATGTTGGCTTTACACCACTGTTTGATGTACGCAATCGAATCCTTTTGAGATATCTATCCCCTTGGTCGACTACCTACCTGCCGTGTTGTTGCTGTTTGTTGTTGTGTTAGGGAGAAGTGTCAGGAGAAGCAAGAAGACTTCCTGCGTCGCTGCTTCTACAGCGCGGTACGTGGGGCTCAGGTGTCGGCATCTTGCTGGTTGCTGCTGGGATGGCAGGAAGTGGGATTTAGCCGGTGTGTGACACCACAGGCCTGTGTGCGTGTAGTTCTACGGAGGTTGCGAAATCAGCCTACAAGAATGCACCGCGACCCAGATCAAAAAACAAAACAAAATTTCCAGATGCAAATGTGCACCTGGCACGGACGAGATTTGCGCGGGATTCGCTTATTTCATAACCGAGCCACCAGCGGAATGCGCTGAGGTGCATGAGGTAAAGGTAGAATTTAATGCGCTGTTGGCCAGCCATGAAGGAATGAGGATGATGAATTGAGGCACTGGAAGGGAGGCTTCGCCCGGCCTGCCCTCGTCTGGTGGCACGCGGGGGGCTCCGGAACCGTTCGTAGCGAGCCCATGGTGGCCTTTGGTCGGGGTGGTCTAACCCGCTGGCGTCGTGGCGGGGCTACTGATCCCATCTGGGCCAATTGTGTTGTACATAATTTAGTTAGTTAGTTAGTTGGTTACATGAAGGGCGCTCATCAGGGAGAGCTCTAGACCAGGCTCTAGGCCAGTCCGATTCGGGGGGGCGAAGCCGAAGCCGAAGGTGGAAGCCCCAAATAAATCTGATGTGTTGCGATCTGGGTCGATCAATTGTCATGTCATTTCTTTCTCCTACCTGCCATATGCCTTCTCTATGTTTTTTATTTTTAATCCTTCTAGATACGTACCTGCCACTTATGCCTCCTCAATTCGTACCGCCAATACTAGCCTTGCCTGCCTTGTCTTTGTGTATCTTGCAAAACGCCGCCAGGGGTGCCGTAACCTTTCCCCAACTTACAGTCCTAGCTCTCGAATGCACCCCGCAGGGCCAGTACGACAACGCGGACTCGTTTCGGGAGCTGAACCGGCGCATGAGCGAGGTTGAGGCGTCCTGCGGCAAGCAGCGAGCCAACCGCATGTTTTTTCTGTCCATTCCACCCAACGTGTTTATCGCGGCTGCGGGCGGTGCGGCGGACTACTGCTCCACCAGGTGAGCACCGCGATGGGATGGGGGGAGGGGCATGGGTGCTCTGGCGCAGGAGGGGGGAATAGGTATGCAGTGAAAGGGGTTTGGTCGGATCGAAGACGGGAAGACGGGAAGGTGCTGTTGGGTGTTTTTGCAGTGGCTTTTGGGATGTGATGGGAGGGCACGGGAGGGTGTGTGCCTTCGACTGAGATCCCACATAGGAGTCAAGTCAAGCCAATTAAAGTCTCTGTCTCTAAGCGCCTTGTTGAAAGCTTTGGAAAAAGCGTAATTCGCACTGCATAAGATGCTTTGAGATCATCATGTCCTTTTTACCTTGCGTAGTGCGCTCCAGCCCTTTTTTCCTTTACGTGGTGTTTCGTATTCCCCTGTCGATCTGTCGTCGTGTCTGTTGGTTTAGCGCACTGCTCTCACGCTCTCGCCCCCCTCCTGTGTGTGTTTCAGAACCGGCTGGACGCGGGTGATTGTGGAGAAGCCATTTGGCCGGGACAGCGCCAGTAGTGCCGCGTTGGGAAGGGGGCTGGCGGCTCATCTTCGCGAGGACCAGATCTACCGCATCGACCACTACCTGGGCAAGGAGCTCATAGAGAACCTCACGGTGTGGTTCGTTACGGGGCTGGGAAAATTGTACCCTAATTGCGAGTAGCAAAGAAACAACGGCTGTGTGGTGTTGGGAGAGGTTTCGATTGTTGTCTTGTAGGGGTTCTGCCCAGGTCTGGAAGTATGTTTCGGATTTGGATTTTGTGTGCGTCGGTTTGTAAGCGGGGATATAGGCACGGGGAATTGCAACGCTGACCGCATCATTCGACTCACAAAACGAACGCAGAAGAACACCCGGTTTGGGTGCTAGGTACCAGGGCCAGGGGGCTGCGGGCCGCCTGCACCCGCGTCCCAATGCGCCTCGTGCCTCCAGCGCGCGAGACCGCCTTTCGTCTCCTTCATCGCTGCGGTTGAGGCCCTCTTTAGGGCCAGGTCCTGCCGAGGGCTGGCTGGCTGGCTGGCTGGCCCGGGATTTAACCGGGGATCACCTGGTAGCTTGCTTCCGTACACCTCATGACGTTTCCATCCTGCCTGCCCTGACCTGTCTGACCTGACCCGGCCAATGGTCTGATGTGATGTGATGTGATGTCCGCAGGTACTCCGCTTCAGCAACCTGGTGTTCGAGCCGCTGTGGTCACGGCAGTACATTCGAAATGTGCAGGTGGGGAGAATGGGGTGGAGGAGGGGTAGGGCGGGCAGGGGAGGCGGTGAGCGGTAGGGAAGAGATGGGTGTAGAGGGTGTCGAGACGGTACAGGGGCCCCGTGTATTAGGTACCGTATGTTTGGGTAGAGGTTAGGAAGGGTTGGTACTGGATATATGGTTTCGAAATTGCTTATATGCGAGCTATTGCGTGTATGCGTGTTTGAACTCCTGATACTGCATATGCCATCGTCATCATCATTACTGCAACCAAACCGCCTCTGCCCTAACACCGTCTACTGAACGCCCAACCCGGTCACGGAATTCCAATCTGATACGTTGTGCTAACAGATTGTGTTCAGCGAGAACTTTGGCACGGAGGGGCGTGGTGGCTACTTTGACCAGTACGGCATCATGCGTGACGTCATCCAAAACCACCTGCTACAGATTCTGGCGCTATTCGCCATGGAGCCACCGGTGGGTGGGAACGGATGAAGGTTGGACGGTAGCGCGTGGGTGGGAAACGGGGTTCTGAATGGAGTTTGGGATGAGGTTTGGAGGCCTCAGCCGGGCGCCGCCGCTCTCTCATGCCCCGAGTTATCCTTTACAACGCCCTCCTGCTCGTCCTCCAGGATGTCCGCTACTCACTAGTATTCTCATCCCCTCCTGGTTCGTAACTTTACTTCTTATCACAATTTTTCCTGAAATATCCCTGTCTATATATTCCTGGAGTACCTTTCTATCTCTGGTATCAGCATCGTTCGTGTGTGAATTGTCTTCCGCTCCGTTCACATTCTTTCCGTTTTCTTAAGCCCTTCCTTCTGCCTCGGCCTTCTCCCTCCGCCTTCTCCCACCTCTCCCCCTCTCTCTCACTCCCCCTCTCTCTCCCAATGCACCACAGGTAAGTCTGGCCGCGGAGGACATCCGCAACGAGAAGGTCAAGGTGCTTCGCTCCATGCGGCCGGTACAGCTAGATGACACGGTGCTGGGGCAGTACCGATCGCGGCAACACGGGGGCCGTACACTGCCCGGCTACCTAGATGACAAGACGGTGCCGCCGGTGGGTCTGCCCCCGTGGCTGTGATCCGCTGGCAAGAAGAAAGGAATTCGCGAGGAAGAAAGATTAACTTTCCCCTTTGTTGTTAGTGCCTTGACGTCACTCCTCTTCGTCTACATTTTTATCTCATACAATCTCCTTGGGTGCAGTCTCTTTGACCTTCTTCTCTTCTCCTCTCTCGATGGTCACTTTTCTCTCCGTGCCCCGCGCTGCAGGGCAGCCTCACTCCCACCTTCGCCGCCTGCGCCATGTTCATCAACAACGCGCGGTGGGACGGCGTGCCCTTCCTGCTCAAGGCCGGCAAGGCGCTACACACGCGGCGAGCGGAGATCCGCGTGCAGTTCAGGTGGCTGGCTGGGCGAGTGGCGGGAGGATGTGTTGGGTGTTCGAACAAGATGGCCTGGGCCGCGGAGGGGAATGGGCACTAGGAGGATGGCACTGGCGTGACGAGTCTAAAAAAGATGTGTGCGGGAGCGGACGATGCGACGATTTGTCAACCCGTGCAAAGCACTACAAGACCTAGGTGCCCTAGGCTAAGGCAAAGCGAAGTACGGCGGCATACGGTGATTTTGGGAGCCCTATGCGATCTTGCCCTGCTACCGAGCCCCCTTGTTTCTGGCGCATGTTCTTTTGAATGTTTACTGGCACTTTATACTTACCTGATATTTTGCCTATCCGCCAAAAGCTGGGTAGAGACTTTTTCCGGCGTCCGAAACACGGTAGTCCGTCCGGCCACACACACCCCTTCTTCGTAGCCAACTCCCATCATGATCGCTTACGTTCCGTACCCCTCACGTGGCCCTGCCTAATAAGGCACGTACCCGGCAACTTGTACAAGCACAAGTTTGGTCCCGATCTTGACAGCGCCACCAACGAGTTGGTCATCCGCATCCAGCCCAAGGAGGCCATCTACCTCAAGGTCAACAACAAGGTGCGTGCGACATTGCGGACTGCGTACTTTGTATAGGATGATGGAGAAACGAAGTAAATAACGGACATATCAAGATAATTTGTATGTGTGTATCTGTTAACCTGGATTCAAAGTTGAGAGCGGACCTTTTTTTGAAAGCCGAAGCACGGAGCTGTATTATGCGGGAAAGGGCTTCGACTTTCTCCTTTGTCGTCCCGGTACATGTTGTAGGAGGCATCGCTACTTTTTAAGGCGCCTGCGTTGATTTTGGGGTACTTCTTTTTTTTACTGCCATGTACTGCAGGTGCCTGGCCTGGGTCTGCGGCTGGATACCACCCGTCTGGACTTGCAGTACCAGAGCGCCTTCAGTCAGAAGGAGTTACCGGATGCGTACGAGCGGCTTTTGCTTGACGTTGTCAACGGTGGGTTCAAATGGAAATGGTACCTGCTGTGCCGTACTCCTTATCTGCGGCATCCTGAGATGACACCACACCCTGATTTTTGGAAATGTGCATGTAAAGCGTATGAAAACACTGAGTTGACGGGGCTTGGCAGGAGAGATTGGCCTAGCTGTCGCCGCCGTTGCACGACTTTTGCCTCTGGAGTCGATGCCGCGCTTACCTGTCGCTTCTGTGTCATTTTCCTGCCTGCTAGGCGACAAGCGGTTGTTCATCCGGTACGATGAGCTCGAGGCCGCCTGGGAGTTGTTCACACCGCTGTTGCATGAGATTGAGAGCCGAAAGGTGGGGGCCATATGTCTACGCAACCAAATGCGAAAGGGGGACATGTGCAAAATGGTGTTTGTCGCAGCAGGTCAGGACCAGGTGTAGCTGTCTGCCATTTTACTTGCAACGCCACCGAGTGAATGAGGGCGAACATTTTTTCTCTTGCCTCTCATTAATCATGCACCCTGTGGATTCGAATGAGGTCGCATTGGATCCGAACAGATTTCTGGCGCTGTCCGCGCATATAAAACCAAAACACAATGTATTTGTCATGGAAAGTGTTTCCAACGGGAAGTCGTGTTTTTTGAAAACATGGGGATACACCCGTAGCTGCTTCCGTCGGATTAATTGTATCTAAGTTATGCACGCAACCTTCCACCACCACCGCAGGTTGCACCGGAGCTATATCCGTACGGCAGCCGTGGGCCGGTCGGCGCGCACTACCTCGCCGCCAAGTATAACGTCAGATGGGGCGACCTGGCGAATGATGAGCCGGACGAGTAATGCATGGGCCTGGTCTTCTGACTCAGACAAAAGAAGCTTGGCGAGGTGGTTGATCTGGTCCTTGCCATACGGGTCCCTGCGGTTTGGAGGCGTTAAGTGTGGTGGTGCAGTCGTGGTGGGAAAAATGGATAAAGGCGTAGGACAAGGATGGGTACTGGATATTTGGCCGTTGATTTATTTGGCCGTGTATTACTATGCCCGTTCTTCTGTGTGTTAAAAAGCAGGCATCTGCATTTGTGATTACGGCTAAGTGGTTTCATGGCGTAACGCTGGGCATGCATTAGGGAAAGTAGCGTATATCTGACAAGAGTGCGTGTTTCGTGTGTTGTTCTGATCGATAGGTTTGGTTATGCAGCCCTTTGCGTCATCTGACAAAAGCCTCGTATACGCACGAGGGCACCGACATGTGTGAAGGCGGTGTGCGGGGCCGGAGTGTGTATTATTCCTTTTTTAACCGCGCGGTGTTGAATGGTGCCAATTAGCAAACTAGTATTCAGTAACATGGCTGATGGCTCGTATTCTTTAGTACCACTCCGCATTTATAGCCCCGGCTGTCGCAGCTGTGCCATGTATTTGACGTGGCTCAATGCCACGGAAATGGCAGATGTCCGGATCGCAAGCGTACGATTACGCATTATCCGGTCGGGTTGATCGCGGATATATTTTTTTGCGCATAAACGCTATTTCTCTAAACACATGCTTTAACATCGCAGTGACTGGTACAGTTGTCACTTCCTGTCTAAGACAGGTAGTTGTCACTGGAAAATAACACAGTATAACTCAATGTAATCATTCCAAACTCCTCCTCGATGGAAAAAACCTGTCGCAACTCTTTTTATCGACATTATTACATGATAGAAACATGCCGCAATATGCATGCATCACACCGCTGCTGCATGTAACAACCATTTAACGCAGGCGCATCTTGTACCTCTCGTACAGCAGAGCAGGCTGAGCGAGTGAGTGAATAACATCCAATCGAATAGCGTTCATAACGGCAGCCCTCCAGGCGTGCCGACTGCAGCGTCATGGACAGGAGTCGCCAACTCCTAACCATCCTCAAGCACAGACCAATCCGAAAGCAACGCGTTGCATTGCAATCTATTACAAGCATTGCCCTGCATTGCCCAATGAAAAGCCTTAGTCATGGTCTGGGACAGTTCATATTGCAAGTCCACCGGCGTTCAGCATCGGCATCTAGCGTATGAACAGTCCGGGTAAACATAGATCACCTCATTCGCTCGAAATGGCGGTCAACACAAGCTAAACGGTTCCAGCAACTAGCCTCTTCTTTAGTTGCGTCCGCGGCCACCACGGCCTCCGCCATTGGGAACGCCCGTGGCGTGGGGCCTCAACCCACGACCGCCGCCACTGCCACCGTCGCGGCCTCCGCCCTGCATTGGCAGCAGTTAAGCCTGATAAGCTAGGACAGCGCTAAAAACGCAAAGCTGGAATAGACAAGTAAAATGGCAGACGCGGCGCTGGATTGCAATTATCCGCATAAGTACGAGGAGGGCAGTTGGTAAATGCCTTGCACAGGTTTACGGGAACATGCCACAACACAAACCACCCCACCGGCACATTATGTTTGACCCTCTTACCCGGCCGCCAGCATCGCCCCGGCCCCGGCCCCGGCCGCTCCGGCCGCGCCCTCCATAGTTGTAGTTGTGCCGCAGGCCACCAAGACCTCCAAAGGTCTCCATGTCCAGCCGCCGGGCATCAGCCGCACGCTGCCGGCCGTCACCGCGGCCATCCACGCGGCCGCCACCGCCCGCACTGCCACCCGCTCCAGCCCCGCTATCGATGTTCAGACGCTCAAGCGTCTCGCATGAGATAGCATCGAAGAAGTCGTCCCGAACATAAGCCCCACGCGGCTTCACGGCCTCCGCAATCTCCTGTGGGCCAAGGCAAATCATGTCTTAGCATGCCACGACGCTGCTCTCAACCCATAAGAGCACAACATGTATGAACAATAAGGTAAAACGGGACCTTTGATTAAACGTGTCCATTGCATCACTCTGTCACATGCAGCCGTAAATGTATCACAGCGTCCGGTCCACCTTCCCATACCAGATCTAACGGTCCATACCTTCGCGACCTCCTCCTTCTTGAACTTCGCGTTCTGCTCCTCAAAGTTGAAGTCCTCCGCGGGGACTGGCAAGGGCATAGGCGAGGATGCCGCGGCTGATGCCGGCGCTGGAACCGCCACGGGCGCAGCAGACGGTCGAGGAGCTGGTGCCGCGGCGGGACCACGGCCTCCCGGAGCCGGTCCACCCCTGCCCCCGTTCACCTGGTAGGGTGCCTGCGGCCCGTTGCGCCCACCGCCCCGGCCCCCGGGCGCAGGACCCACGGCAGGGCCCCGGCCCCCAACGCCACCGCGCCCGACTGCACGCATGCACACAGCAAAGGAATCGTTGCAGACCCACCAGGAGCATACCTTAATAAATACAGCATGACGCCTGGCTATCTTTAGCAAAATCGTCGGTTATACTGCGAGTATATATGTTTGTCGCAAACTAGCTTAATAGAGTGGTCGATTCCCCGCACATACCGGCAGCAGCCTGTGCATAGTTTGACGGCTTTGGGGGCGCCTGCTGCGGGGGGGGAGGTGCACGCGGTGCTGCCGGCGCAACCTGCACCTGCGGTGCGACCTTCTGTGCAGAAGCCGGCGCCACAGGTGGGGCGGATGCCCTGCGAAAGGGGTCAACAGGCAACGTGAGCACCTATATTCCACCGTATCCTATAGCAAGGGACTCACACGAGGAGTTGCAGCACCCAGCAACAACCTACACTAACTCCGGGCCTCCTCACCATGGCCATTAACCGTGAGCAGCAACTTACGTGTAAGCAGGCTGCGGTGGCGGTGGAGGCGCCTGAGGCTGCGGTGGTGGCTGCTGCGGAGCAGCAGGGGCCCACTGATCCGCTCCTGTACAGCGCCAAATGTTGAGCGGCGAAGGTGCATGAGCTTTGATAATAGGGTTCGTGCACCCGTTTAAGCCCCCTGTGTGTGTGGCCGGGTTCGCACTTACCGTACACCGGCGCAGCGTAGGGTTGTGCCGTCGGAACCGCCGACGGAGCCCACGGGTTCTGTCATGGGTTAGAAAACTAGAGTCAAGTCGCCTTGCAGACTCTTGGGGAAGTCACCAGAAGCTTTCGCGACATGCCAACCGTTGGTCAACGTCGGGTAAGGAACCCTAAATGTAAATAACGCTATTATAATAATTAGCGTCCCCATAATGTTTGTCTAGACTTACTGACTGGATAGGGTCGCTCGGCGGGGGTGGGGCTGGCGCGGGAGGAGGAGGAGGAGCAGCTGGCGCAGTCCCCGGAACTGTTCCAGGAGGACCCAAGACAGTAAGGTCCTTGATGTCATCACCTGCAAAAAGATCATAGCCATATAACCGTGGGACTGCCTATCTGGGCAGATCGCATCCAAAAGAGCAAAGACTGCCTTAGCTCCTTCGTTATAGATGAGCCCACCCTTGAAAATGATATAATCGTAGACCTCGTTGCTGGGAGGAACTTGCGGCCCGCCGACTCGCCGTCCTTCCGTCCCGAAAGACCTCACTGCAAAGAAGCATGAGAAAGGTCGGTGTCCCGCTAACTAGCGCGCCATCTACACCACTTCCCCTCCTATTGTCACCTTGAGACAGCGCGATGCTGCTCTCATCCATGTTGATATTGTACAGAATGCCCTCATAGCGAATGTCACTTTTGGAAACAAGACTAATCAGCGAGTTGAGATAGTTCTCCCCCATCTTGCCCTAATTGGAGGGACGACTATCCCCAAGCCAGTGAAAACAATCACGTAGGAGTCCTCGACCCGGACAACTAGACCGTCATGCCCGCCGTACGGCAGCGTACAGAAAAAGCAAAGACTTCATGCCTGTCAAGGGTTTCCCAGAATCTAGCTTCAGGGCCCTTGTCTATGAGAGGGTCTTTGGAGGGCGACAGCCAGCTGGTGTGCACGCATTGCTTCTCGACCTTTTTTGTCATAAGCGGGTTGCTGCAGAAACGATAATGGCATTCATTCTCGAATACCTTTCTTATGCCTGGAACAAGAACAATGATGATGCTGCCTCGTACAAGGAGTGGACTGAGTTCCTTGATGTCGCGGAAAAGGACCGCAGGCGCGAGTAAGCAATTGTGCTGTGGGCCTTAGTTATTGCATCAGTAAACATTAGCTGAAAATAGACTGTCCTGGCAGTACTTCCCCCTGTTGAGCCACGCTCTTCGTGCTGTCGCAGTCGCATCATCGCTTGGCGCGAGCGCGTTATGTACGATGACTATGCGGTGAATTCCGAGGAGCCGATTGTGTACAAGCGTACAGCCGGGTATGTGCTGGAATATAGCGGATCGGTGCCTGGATGCACGGGTTTCGCACCGCCACCACCACGTACGGTGCCCCTTGGATGCAGGTTCGTTTGGCGTGAAGTGGACCACACCGGAAAGCACAAGAATCGCAACCACACGGTGAGTCCCCTTCCTCCCACTCTTCAACGTTATTATACCTGGCATGTCAAGCATCGCTGCGGGTGGAGCCTTTAGCTTAGAAACACGTGGCCGGCTGCTAATTGCCCAAGTCACGAGGCAACCCCCTTTCCTTAAAACTACCTCCCAACGCCCTTTCCCTTTCCTCAGTACCTGTACAACCTTCACTCATTTGGTCACCGGGTCTACACTCGACGCGACCCAGCGGAGATTGCGGCAGCTGCGAAGTCTGTCGAGGATCGTGTCAGCCAAGGGGAGCTAGGCGGACTCTCCCCGTTGGCATGAACGACTTTTTGTCTGAACGACTCATCTGCCATCTGGCTCCCAGGCTGGCTTCTGGGGAAACCATCTGAGCACGTGCTCTAGCCGATGGCTGTCTGATGGTGACCAGGTGTGCAGTAGTGGCTAGTGCCAGACTTCGCCAAATCCCTGCCCCATGGCGCTCTAATGCAAGGTTCATTCTTCCTGCCTGGCGGCTATCAAACCGCGGGCCACAGGCCATTGGACATTGAAAACCTAATATGGCAGATGTGGCCGTACATTTACCCGTTTGCAATGCTTTGCTGTCCGAAATGCTGTTGGATGGATTGATGGGAGCTGACTGGCGAAGTAGCGCCCAGTGTGGAGGTTGCCAGTCCGTTTCAGGGGCAGATTGGCCAGTAGGCCTACTGGCGAAGCAAGGTCAGGGGAGAACGCTTCGCTCTTTCTGGTTAGCTAGCTGCTTATCCACCATATATATGCGTGTGGATTTAATATCCTTCACGGAAAAAAAGGACTGCTGTCGAAAAGGCGTTGCTATCTGGGTACTGTAAAGTGGAGCGTGAAACCGTTTCCTGTCCCATAACTCTAAATGCTTGTCAACCACACGCTCACCTTACAGCAAACCTGGCAATGTCTCGTGTGCCTCATATGTGTATGTATGCGTATTTTGGGTGTTTTGTTACGCCGTTGTGGCATCCGTCAACTCCCTGGAATGCGACCGCTGCACGGGGCCCTTGTGGTTTCACGTGGATAGCCATTTCCCGGCTCCTAAGCGAATTTAGTCGGTGCCACGGGACACGTGGTCAAGACTACATGCTAATGGACCCAAGCCTGCCTTCACAACATTCTGGAATTTACGTGCTTCAAATCAGGAGCTGGCGATGTGGACAGCCATGTCGCTGGTATCACCGCTGGCAGCGCAGTAGCCGCCGTTGCTCGCAACCCATGGCACTTAAACAATATAGCTTTATTGTGGATAAAAAGTAAAGCGTTAGGCGTGGTATGTAAGGACCGAGCACCCGACGCGTACGGCCTGTACGTCGTTTACGACAACCCACATGCAACTGTATCCATACGCCATGACGTACTGAACAAAGGTCACAGTGGACACAGTTAAAGATCGTCGTCGCTCCATAAACCTCACTACGCGCCGCAGTATCGGCTTGTGCCCAATAGGAACCGGACGCACATCGCTGTGTTTACCGAAAGCAGAATTAATCGCTATCGCCAGTACAAGAAAGCTGCCTGGACTCAGCGTGCGAGACAATGGGAGCCCCTCTTCCAGCCCTTTCACAGACCCTTCATTGCGGGGCGGATACGGGCGCAGATTGGATAGCACGCAACTCTTCCTCCACCTCCTCCGGGCTGATCTGTGCATGCACCTGCAAGCAACGGAGCAGGGGGCTTGCATAAGTTGAAGAGCAACACGTTACGGTGCCGGATAACCACGCCGTTTGCCGCGATGTCCACCGTTACACAAGGCTTTACCACAAGACAAGTCATGAGCCCTTGGCACAGAGACTATCTGGACCGTAGGGAAACGGGTGTCCATCTGCTCGAATTTGCGTTAATGCTACTGCGTCTTCAACGGCCATTGGGTGTCTGTAGTGCCCGTAGTTGCAGATAGGCGCCGAAGCTCACCCGGTTCGATAGCGCACACCACTCCAGGGCTCTTCTCATGGGGTCGCTTGGACCAGGTGTTACGTCGTGCGACCACAACGTGAGGGAGCTAAACGCTGAAGAAGCCGCCCAGTGGCGCTGGCATTCATCTGAGCTGATCTGGGAGCCGCTAGAGCGGACCAAGAGCCCCCTGTAACCCTCGGGCAGCGGCACCGTTGCGCCTGGTTGCCACGGGATTGCGGGGTATTAGCGGTTGAAGCTCTACATGGTTGCTGCAATTGTTGTATAGCTAGCGGCAGCGTACCGTACCTCGCAGCAACCGTCCTCGCAGGAAAGCTTGCTGTGTATCTGCATCTCCATCTGCGGGCAACCATGCCGTTGTGTGGAGTGGCAGGACCCGTGAGAGGTTTGCCGGCAGCTTTGCCGTCTCCTGCCGCACCTTGTATCCATTGGTCCTTAAGCTGTGCCGCAGTCGCATTGCTTGTAATCTTCACCGGGAGATTATGGAGCGATTCGTCGCGTATCGTGGCCGGAATTGCCACTACGCTGGTCGCTGCCATTTGGCTCCCTCCTTGTCGATTATACCTGTAAGATTACACCTAAAGCAATGCAGAAGCGTTCCCCTTGACTCACAACGCTGGGCCTCACAACGCTGCTTCTGGCTCTCCCGCCAAGGCCCCAACCAGTAATGTGGACTTTTCGAATCAAAGCTCTATAATAAGCAAGGACGTTTTAAGTGAACTTCACCGAGGACCGTGATACCGACTGCGCCCTTGATGCAAGGATTATGTGAGTTGGATGATGGCTTCAGCAACGAAGACACGGGTACACAGCAACATAAAGTTACTTTTCAGAGCGACAGCGCAGTCTTCTGCATATGTATTACGTATGTAAGGAGGAGCATATCTGCCTGAATGGCTTCGGTCACTCGTAAACTTGATCCGTTACTTCCGTTTACTGTTAGGATTCACAATACAAGGACAGCTGCGAGTTGCGAGCTTGCGAGCTGCGATATTGCTTATGCTTCAGGTCTTCATAATGGCAACAACTAAACAGCCATTATGCATGCATCCGACCGGAGCAGTGGCCGTCGCTATAGGCGATCACTGTACGCGACATTGGCCAGGTTCATCTGCAACGTCGGTATTGCTAATGTGTAATTTCCGTCGGGTAAGGCAACTGCACCAGTTGGCGCACAGTTGCAATCCTGCTAATGCGACACTGCACTAAGTAGCACACTTCCTCAAGTGTATGCAAGCGGAAATCGCGCGATTCCTTGCATGCGTTGGCGCAACTTGAGCCGGAAGCTAGCCGGAGGTGGAGGCACTCTCATCGTGCTGCACTGGCAACCCGCATTCAACAACCTAGCCAATTACAACAAGAACGGGTGCAAAACGACAGCACTCGCAAATTAACTAGCACTCGCAAATCTGTTGCAACTCCACTCCTAAGGCTGATGATGATACCGTGCAGCCGCTCCCTTGCTCCGTAGCCCGCGGAAGCCCTAACAGGATCGCGGCCATAGCAACACTCTAATCTTAAGTGTAACATTTATAGAGTCGAGGTGCACGACCGTCACGTATGATATATCAGTCCCAGTACATTCAGAAAATCGAACGCCAGAGAGGGGCGGCATATGAACGGAATGAATAGGGTTGGCAAAATCTTTAGATGGAAAAAGTATCTAATTAGAAATCTAATTAGATACCTAATCTAATTAGGTAAATCTTTAGATGGCCAAACGGAAAACTGCCTAAACGGTGGAATTTTGATCTGAAATTTTGCACACGATGCGGCTTTATCTTTTCCTGGATTTTCCAATAATTTTTTGGGCCGCTCGACACTGGGAACACGGCGAACCCCTATGGGCGCTCTACAGACGCGTGTCGGATGGCGCCACGGGGTGTAAAAAGAGAAGGTCCGAACTGGCCCCTCCTCCGCGCGCGAGCGCTTCGTGCTGTTGGTTGTGGGCGCCCCGGACTGCTCGCTTCCGACCGCGCTGGCGACGTCCTTCTGGTGCTTCGCATAGTGATCCGGGCAGACAGCTGACGGGTTCTTCGCGCTATAGGACTTGTTGCAAACGGTGCAGACGAGGTTCACAACGCCTTTTACGAGCAACACGTCGAAGATGGACCAGTACGCTGCGGCTTTGATGCTGCGCTTGGCTTCGCAGAGCTTAGCTGCGTACTGTGGCGCGTCGAAAGTCTGGTGGCTGTATTTGTATGTGATCGGCTTTTGGGGTCCTGGTTCTGCCATTCTGTATTTTTACGTCTATTTGTGTATGTAATAGAGCGGAGCAAGGATATGACACTAAAATTACCTTCAACATAGCTGTTTCGCGTGCCATGACTCACGTTTAAACGGTCTGGATCCGGTCACCGGCCTTTAGATAGGCATTAGATGGACTAGATACGTTTAGATGCCCACCTAAACGGTTTAGATGGCCTCATCTAAAATCTATATAGAAATCTAATTAGATGGCATCTAAATTATTTTCTAAATCTAAACTTCCGGCCAACCCTAGGAATGAATGATCGGACAAAGGACGTCCACAGAAGATCTGGCCGGACAACCAGCAGCAAGCCATATCGAGTGCGTGCAACCAAATAGGACTTCATGTACAATGCGTGTGGCAAACTGGCAAACAAAGTGGGAAAGAAGCGACGATGGATATTACACGGCGGCATGCATACTTCCTTCTCATATCATCTTCATGGTATTTTGCAACTCAGCGCTTAAAAGATAAATGTACAATACAGGAATACAGCACCTCAACCCGTAAGACCCTTGGGATCCAAATATTGATGTACAGCCCACTCACATGCTAAAAACTGCGCTCAACCCTAGGACTTCGGCATTAATACTACTTTTCGATGCCACTTGCAAGCAACACCTGGCCGGAAAAGCCCCGGCGTATTGGGTTACATGCACACCCCTTTTCCACGCACGTATAATACCCCTGGACCAGGAAAGAGGAAACACAAACCAAATGGTACAAGACTAATCTTAATCCATATACAGAAGGGAAAACCCAAGCTAGACGTGATAGTATGGGTTACGTGTGGCAAAGCTTTAAATTATGTTCAGTGCTCACGTCCCCACAAAACCCACAAGGCGCTACATGCTCGATGCAAAAAGAAACATGCAGGTAGGTGCCGCCAACGGCGTGACAATAATGGAGCAAAAGAATGCCACGCACGTACCACGGCAAAAAAAAGGCGCACCCCCCGGCGTCACAACACAACATCAGTGCAACACAGCATCAACTTAAACATGACCAGTGTGTACAACAACCAGCAGTGGCGGCGGCGCAGCACTGGGGCACAGCGCCAGGGCTCCAATGCGCCATCTCCTCCAAAATACTGAAAACACCGCCACGCATGCAGGCCGTCCACAACACCACATTAAAGCCCCCCCACACGGTATAAGCACACCAAAGGCAAAAATGATGTACGATGTGTGAACATCGACGTAGTACGTCCACAAGAAGACGAATGCTCAATAGGGAGGTCTCATCTCTAACAAGGGTAGGAGTATAAGAGCAGTAACAGTCCATAATTCCTACGCGGAAGCGCCTGCCTGGACATGTTGCCTCCGCGCCTAAAACTTCCTGTAACCCCCACACCTGCCCAGACTTTATTTCACCTCCTATACCTGCACCAATACGGGCATGAGAGAGCAGAGAGCAGCCTGGGCAATGAGATACAAACATCTCGATGCACATTTGAAACTCGAATTAGTGGTACAATGGAGTAGGGTCATAGCCACATGACACCGCCTTCATCTGGGCTGCCGGGCGTTGCCCTTGGGCTTAATCCGCGTTGAATGCGAAGGCTAATGTGAAGACCGGCATCGGAAGGAGGGGCGACGACCTCAGGAAGCGCGGCCTATTGAGCCTTGACACGAGACGCACAGCTAAGGTTCAGCAGCCCGACAAAGCGCACAGGGTGCCTGGGCTTAGGCTGTTACCCCAAGCAGCAAGACTGGCGTCACAGAGGCGTCACCAGTTGCCCTCCTACAGCCAAAACGTGAACAAAGTAGCTAAGGCGCCGTTTTTTTTCGGCACGGCTGGCGTACCGACGCGTCCATAGCATGGGCACGAGCAAGTCAAGTCTTCAGGAGCATTACCTTCATGACCTTAGCTTTTTCGATGATGTATTTGCCCTCCTTGTATTTCTGGCTTTCCTCGAAGGCGTGCTCCTGCAACCCCGCCTGCTGTTTAGCTTACAATTTTCGCAACACCAGGACGAACTAGCACTGCTACTCACATACTTCCAGCCGAGTACAGTGTTACAGGAGGTGCAGTAGATATCGGCCACCGTGTGAAGACCGGTGATGAGAACTCGCTCCTCCCTTGGTCCCAATGATACATTCACCCTACGAGGGGCGAAGCACTTCAAAACGCCGCTGCTCAGGGCTATCCTTGCTATCGCACACCTTCACACATACTCACGCGTTGTTAATTAAATAAGCACGGCCGTGGCGTCCCTGGAACGCCTGCGCACAGGAAACAAGGGTGTCGATAACTAGCAAACTGGAGTCGCCAAGAGTGCACGCGCTACCTTGCTAATGATGTCATCATGGTCCGCTGCATGAGCTCTGCAGGTAGCGCAGCTGTAGATGCGCGGGCCAGACAGGTACTGCTTGAAAGGCCGGCCCATTCTCGGCAAGGGCTATTAGCAGGAAAAGGCAGCACAAGCTGTGCAGGCACGAGCGTTATCGCAAATCATGGATACGTTTCTATATCTTACCCATTTGTAACGAGGGAGACAAATAAACGTTACGCGTCCCTAATCGAAGCTCCGAGACCGCTTCGGTTCACTGTTTGAACAATACAATTCTTATGCTACAAATATTTGTAAGTCATGCGTAAAAATCTTGCTTTGTAACTAAGTGAAAATATTCCTCTAAGTAAGCATTTGCTACCAAAGTCAACCGCTACTAGCTTACCAATCAACAGAGTGCACACTATCATGCGCCACTTTCGTTCAAGTTGAAAGGTTTTAAACATGTTCATTAATAAAGTTTGATCACAAGAAATGCAGTTGCGGCACCACGCGGCGCTCAAACTGTCGTGACATCATGGGCACTTCCGGGAGGTGCTATAAAATAGGCGAAAGGCATGAGAAGCGCATTTCCACACAATCACTCCATCGAATTCCAAGTCTACGGAACCTATAAGAAACGTATAAAGGAGACACATTAACCATTGGTGAAGAGATGGACACCAGCACTCACTACAACCTCACGGACGGCCGCCATGTTTGGACGCGCCACTTGGAAGGTGTCGAAGATGCCGCCAACGACGTCAAGGCCCATGTTTACGACGGACATCTGCTCATGTCCGTTAAGGGACAGCAAATCGAGTAAGGAAGCCTTGCTGCGCAACGTCTCGTGACTCCGGGCCGCACTGACCCGTGGGTCACAGCGCTTCCAGTTAACCTCCAAGTCGACGAAATGAAATCATACGTGCGCAGCAATCACATCCTGGCGATTAAAAGGGCAAAGGGAAACCAGAAATGTTTGCACCACGCAGGATGGTACCGAATCTGTAGTTCCGGAAGTTTCTGGGCAGCTAGGTATGCCCTTGATTTCAATGATTGGCTTGGCTGCGATTGCGTATCTTTTATTTATAACAGCTCTTTGCCCTTCATTACAAGATTTGAAAAAAAATAGATCTCCATGAACGGTTCTAGATTTTCGTTCTTGCCGAAAAGTTCTCTTGGTTGCGGCATTTTGGATTGCGCTCTTCGTCTTCGTCTTCGTCTCCCTCTCCGTCTTTGCACAAAATCACTCTTCATTACACATCAAACTATGATTTTCTCTAGGGACATAACATAAAGGCTAAAAAGATTAATTTATATGAGGCCTCTCGAGCGCAAATTCATATCTACGCTTGCTTTTTGTTTGCACCAACCCGCCATCACGCACCACCTTCCCCCTTTATGTCACAGGGACATCGCTCTGCCGCCCACCGCCTACACCGGCGATGCATGCGCCTCCTACCAGCGCGGTACGCTGCGTGTCGACATGGCCGCCAAGGACCCCGCTGCGCCCGCCATGGTGGAGAAGGCGGCTCGCGACCCGGACCGGCCCACCCCGCGGGAGCTGCCCCTCAGCCTGCCGGGTCAGCGCCACCGCGCTCCGGGTCACCCCCCCGGGAGAGGTCCCGTGGTGAACACGGGGATACCGATGAGGGACGACCCCACGGGGTGAGTGGTCAGTGGGGAGGTAGGGGGAAAAAGGGGGGAAAAGGGGGGAAAGATGGGCGAGGGGGGTTGTTATAGAGGGTTTTAAGAGCAGAAAAAGGGCCGGGTTGGGGGATTTGAGACTGGGGACCCCGGAGTTATGGCGTGTGTAGCTTGCACAGGGTTTCATGGATGGTTTCAGACAGAGGTTTTTATATTTTACTCCCATGAGGAGGGTTTTTGTTTGTCGCTGATCGGGGGCCGCTCCAAGGGGACACCCGCGGCGCGTGTGATAAGTGGTGACCAACCCGATACTGGAATCCTCTTTCGCTTTCATGGCTTTTTAGTGTTTTAGGTGCTAACGCTGCAACCCTTTGGGGCTCCTGTCCTTAATGCGTGTGTATGTATGTCAGTCGCGGCGCGCAGACGCCTGCACAGGCTGAGTACGGCGAGCGCAACGACGAGCTGTTTGGGCGTCCTGGTGTGAATGCTGTGATGCCGCAAGCTAACTTGGCTTCGACAGTGGTCACCGACATGCCCATCATCACAAATCCGGTGGGTTGGGAAAGAAGAGGAGTGCGTGTGTGCGTGCGTGCGTGTGTGTATCCTTGGTAATCAACTGAGCAGCGTGCATGAGTGCGGCTGGGGCTTGGATCCGTTTTGGATCCATTTTGAAACCGTTTTGAAACCGTTTTGAAACGCAGGATCAGCCCGCGCCTCTGGACCACGCTGTTTCAGTTGCCATAAACTATCACAACGAAGTACAACCACCACAACCAACTGTAACTGCGATGAGTTATTCCCGTACATTTTTCCCCCAACTCCTTCCCTTGGCAGGGCGCTGCCGTGGAGGCGGCTGCCGACAACGGTGAGACAGTTGTAGTGGACCCCAAGTCCTCCGAAACCAGGATCTTCATTCCCAAAGTCGACCAGGTAAATGAGTTGAGATCTTCCGTAGCCCGAGGCCGGATCAAAACTAAAACGGCGCTTCAGAATGGCGGGTTTTTTTGGACTCCGCGTGCAAGTGACGAGTGCGATAATATGTACATGGAAATAAATGTTTTTCTGCCGGTGTTCCCTAGGGTGTCCTAATAAGGCATCCTGGCTAGCCGGCTGCCGGTTCGTGGGGACGGGGGGTTGTCCGGCACTGGGGCCCGGTGGATATGGCCCTAGCGGGCGTGGAAGCGGGGAAGTGCATGAGAGAGGATTTCTCCCTGCGCCAGGCTTGCGGGGTTGCGTTGCACCACATCTTGATGGCCTTCTTTTGTCTTAGCCGCTCGTTTTTGACCTGATTTTTACTTTTTCTTAAAAAAAGAGGTTTCTGCTTTTGGATATTACATATGGGATATTGTCTTTGTATGGAAAATATCTCTAAACCCTAAGTAAAATACCTGAAATTAAGTTTGTTATAATCTTTTGCGCTTTGATGCGTTTCCTTTCATCGCAAAGCACGCTCCTCAGGATTACCCCGCTAAACCACTTTTATGTCTTACCGAAATCTATTTACTAAATACCTAAATTTTCCAAATCAATTAACTAAATTGTTCAGTTGGCTGAGCGGCTGGGTCGTGCTGAGCTGGCGCCAGCGGGCACCACAGTTATCCAGGGTGTTCGGGACAGGGTGGTTGAGGCCGAGTACGACCAGTCCGGCCTTGGCGGCGGAGGCAAAGACACACACGGCGACCAGTACACTCGCAAGACGTGAGTTGCGTATGTTCTGTACTTTGTACGCCACTCCGTACGGCACTCTGTACGCCCTGTGCGTTCTGTACGGTAGTGTATTTGGTTCAACCTTAAAAAAAAGGCATAAAGGGGATGATGTTCCCCCTTCGGGGATGTCTTCCTACAGGGCTTAGTCGCCTGTGTAAGAATGCAGTTCTTTTAATTATTGAGGTTGTAATGGTGTGATTGGCCAGGACAGCAACCTAGGAAGGGCAGGACAAGTGTTTTTGTTTGCTGCTAAGTTAAGTCGCCGGCACGAGGAGCTGTACGGCTGCTACCGCGCACCGCCGCGCTGCTGCTGTGGACGGTGCTGTCTCCCTTCTGTGTTGCTTACCTTGTGCCATTACGCAGTGCCCCTGTCCCCCCTCCTTCTCAACAAGGTCAGTTCTACGTCTTGCCCTGGCAGCAGCTTCACTCGTTCGTGGTTCGTCTTTCCCCCTCCTCCCCCTCCGCCCTCGTTGTCCCCCTCCCCCTCCTCCCCCTCCCCCTCCTCCCCCTCCCCCTCCTCCCCCTCCCCCTCCCCCTCCCCCTCCTCCTCCCTCGTTCTCTTCAATGCTTTTTGNACGCCGGCGGTTGGGCTCCGTTGATGTGATTCGCATGTGATTCGTATCTCAATCGCTGCTCGTATTTAAATTAGCACTCGGCAAATGAAATTGCACATAGGCTCTTTTTCCCCCCCTTTCCCATCGCACCCGTATCCCCCCAACCCCACACACACCACATATCACCGACAAAACGTTACCTTGATTACCAAGATTAAGAAAAAAAATGAAAAATTGTTTGGTGGACATGACTGATTAAATGATGCTAATGAAAAGAGGTTTTTTTTTTACTGAATCCATATTTTCATGTATACCCCCGCCATCACCGCCACGGCCGCCAGTGTCGACTACACGGAAGAGAAGGTTGGCCTGGCCACACGTCCCCTGGAAGCTCGGGACTTCTACTCCACGTGCGAATCAACCGTGGAGCCGTACAGCACCGTCAAGGCCCAGGCGGTCAAGGGGGACCCCTCCATGGCGTGCGACATGTGCCGATGTGCGCCCTGCCAGTGTGATAAGATGGCCAAGAACTTTCCGTACGAGGTGCGTGGGGGGCAAGAGGGGGATTCCTTTCCCAGGCTTTTCGGGTGGGTAGGGCAATGGACTGGGGAGCTCGGGTTGGTTGATTGCGGTATTTTTCTTGGATTTTGCCGCTGGGGATTTGGGGGTAAGTTTTGGAGAGTTCAGGAGTGGGGCTTTCCTTTGTGTGTATGGGGGGGAAGAGGAGAATGAAGTAGGGACGGGGGAGTAGGAAGGTTTGGGAGGCGGCTGGCGGCATGAAGGGAAACCGGGGTGGATTTTTCATATGCAAAAAATAGTTTTTTATGACCGGCTTTTATCACTTTTGATGATCGTGGCTCTGCTACTGCTGCTACTGTTTAAGCTGTTATGTTATCGTACGCAGCTGACTCCGCAGGAGCAGAAGCGGTACGGCAAGGCCTCCGTACACGACGCCAGGAAGCCTGTGACCGGCAAGAACACGCACCCCGCACATGACTATAAGGTAAAAATGATGGTGATGGTAGTGGTGGTGCGTAAGGGGGCCTATGGCGGCCATATGTGCATTTGGGTTTCCACCTCTTTTGGGTTCCTTTCGCCGTTAAGACTGAATCCTTTGAGGCATCTTCCTTCTCTGAGTCCTACCCTCGACTCCATGCTTCCCTCCCTTTTTTTGATAAAATAATAATGCGAAACGCGCTTTCGTTTGGGTTTTAGGGTTTTATGTTTTTGTTGGTGTTTTAATCACAACCAAATATTTTTGCCTTCAGCTTCTCAACGAAGCTTTCCCTCCTGATGTTTACCCTCTTGCCGTACGTCATTGCTCCTGCAACTGTATTCGTATATTCTCCTAACCAGATTACCAGAATATAACCGACCGTCTCAGCTCAGAGAAAGGCTTAATCCTGTGATTACCTCTGCCTTCTCTGTCGTACGCCGTTCCACAGCTGCACTCGAAGATTCGCAGCGAGGAGCACGCCCAGGTGGCTTTCCGTACTCGCGAGTTTGAGGGCAACGTCAAGATGCAGGGGGTTGGTAGCCTCGAGGACCTGCCCGCCAAGGAACGGGAGGAGGCGACGAGCCGCATTGTGGGGGGCAGGTACGGCCGCATCAGTGCGTATGGCTTTTTTCCTGTTGTGTTCGGTGCGTGCGTGTGCGTAGGTGTGTGTTTTTTAAGGACACGCGTGCGGTGTTGCTCACCCAAGCCTACCCCCGAGGTCAGTAATTCGGTAATGTAAAAATATATATGTCGCCGCGCCTGTCTGTTACATGAAAGTCGGTCCGCTAGGTGGTTCTGGGAATGCGCGCGGAACGACACGAAGATCGAAACATCGCAAAAATTATGGGCTCATCAAAACCGTGTTTTTTACGGAATCGGGTTTTTCCCCCCTAACCCCCCTTTCCGCCAGGGAGATCGATCCGGAGCTTATTCGAGACCGTACACGTACGGCAGAGGCTGCCCGCCACTTCTTGGGCTGATAATCGCGCGTCGCGTGCTAGTAGTGGCGAAGAAAATGGCGGTACGGCGCACAACACACGCACCCCTAGCAACTCATTTTACCCCCACTCGCAAACGGGTAGGGCAGGGTTTAAGAAAAGCGTAATACGGCCCAAGCGATTTCCCGTCCGAGGAGCTGTTTTGTACTGCAAACGTATATCACGATGTACGAACTGGTGCTAGTGTCGTAGCCTTGCTAAAAATGGTCGTATGCTAGCGCTTATGTAGGAGTGGTGGCGTGGGGTGTGAAGTATGCAGTGAAGCAATCTGCATCTTCCAAGCGTCCCGGAGCGATTTCCATGTCTCTCTACAGCGACATATAGCAGCGGTGTCCAACGGACTGCTTTTAGAAGTCGCGTGCTGCGTGTGCGCGCTTCGTCGCGTTGATACTGGGATGAGGTGCACTACGCGACCGCGCACCGCTAGAAATCTTTTTTCCTCGCATATCGCCGTGCGACGCTGACACACAAATTTTAAAAAATGTGTTTAGGGTGTCTTGTGAGGTGCGAGTTCAGGAATGAGGAAAAATCCGTTTTGGACTATCCGGAGCAGCAGATGATTTGTGCGATGATGTTTATGTTGCATTTGAGGGTTCCTCCGCCTGGGGGCACACGAGAAAGATGTTGCGAACATTTCAATAATTGTTACAATTGTAAGACCAGGGTAGTCAGCTTCTTCGAAGCCGAAAAGGGCTCGGCCCCGGTGCATCAGCCAGCGGTCACCCCGCAGTATTCCGCAAGGGATGCTGTACGGCACTGGGCCGCAAATGGAGGATCGGTGTTGTGTTTGGACTATGCGCGCGTGATTATGGGGATAGCTGCGAGGGCCGGGTGCGGCGGCCGGCGGCGTTAGGAGCCATGTACACCCGTGCTGCTAAGGCGCCCAGGCAAATCCATGGACGGTGACGGTCAACAAGGACGGCTGAGCATTTAGTCGTCTGGAAGCATGCGCGAACACAGCCCATTGCCAGCCGAACTGGAGGATAGGGCGTGTATGAGATGTGCACGAGACGGAGCAGAAGGCAAGGAGGGAAGTGCTGGAGCAGTTGGCATGGATTTGCGGAGTGTGGCGGAGCTGAACCATAACAAATCCAAGGAAGTCCACGGAAATAGCGAGAAGACCGCGCGGCCGCACAGCAGCGTGCGCCGCAGCGTGCAGGCATACCGCACCCCGTATGGCATAAAAGGGTCGATAACCGACCGGTTAGTCATAAACCAACCAGCTTCGGTCGCTTCGGGCTTCGGTAGGGTAACCGACATTTCGAGGTAACGACCAGGTAACCTTACCGGTCGGTTACCCTACCGACCGGCCAGGTACCGAAAGCGACCAGTTATCGACACCGGTTTGTTTGGTAGGGTTGTTACCGAGTGCTGGTGACAAGCAAACGGATAATCCATACAGGCACTAGGCGATGGGAAAAGCGCTAATCCAGCCACTTAACGGCCTTCCGACAGTCTTGACTGCCACTTTACAAATGGTTCTAACAATGCACGGATGCGGGTTCTGCGAATGAAAAACTAAAACTCAAAATGGCATGAGGGTCGTATGGGTATTGCAGTTTTTATTAACAAATTCAGGCGAAAACATGCGTCTCCCCCGGGCCGAATCTGCCAGATATACAGTGTATGATAATGCAAGCTATAGGGCCCACAGTGTTGTGCTGATGCACTCGACCCGGTCGGGGTCCGCTAGCTGTAACAAACCGCATACTGCAGAATGACAGTTCTGCTGCTCGGACATTTTGCCCAGAAGACTGATATACCTAAAATATGTACTATACACCTACCAAGTTCCAACGCGCAAGCTTGTCTTTAGGCACAAGCGGGCGCCATCCTCGTGCAACATGAAGCAACGACTCCGCCACCGCCAAAACAACCCTACAATTCACAACACCAATTAAGACACCAGCGCGATAGCGATAGCCCACACTCCTTCCATCCGCACCCGCACCACTGGTGGCCCCACAGCACCGTAACCAACAATAGAACATGGACACGGAGAAGGAAAAGAATGGCACACCAGCTCACCTCAACTCGGGAAATGCCTCGCTGTCTACGGCACCAACTACGGCAATCTAACTGATAACAGTCTAAGCAAAATGAGAAAACGACAAAGGCCACTGCACAACATGAACTGCCGCCGCCCTGCAAATCAAAATAGAACTGAACCTGGACAATAACTGAGCCGAGAAACATTATTAAAATTACCAGGAAAATCGCAATAAGACACAGATTGAAGAATATCGGTAACACCGCTACACGCAAAAAAGAGGAGACAAAAGGATTACGCACCATTTGCTGCTGGAATGGAGAACATACACTCCTCGCCGTGTGCTCATACATACGCACACCAAACTCTATCGAACATACGGACATCATTCAGTCGTATACATACATACATACATACATACAAACCGATGAGACGAGGAAAAGAGCCCTTCTACAATTTAAAAAAATCTAAAAAAGCAAAAATGCGCTTGAAACGCACGATCCTTCACCACTGCCGCCACCATATCTCCAGGCTGATGGCCATAACAGTCGTACGACGGAAGCAAGGATGGAAGTCGCCTTACACGCGCTCCGACGCGGCTCTCTTTCTCCCCTCCCCTGCGGCACGGAGGTCATCCAGCGCCCCACGCTTTGGCTCTGGACGTGCCCGACACACACACACACACACACACATACACACGCGCGCACACAGGGTAGGGCTCCTATCAATTAAAGACACGCACAAATTCACGTTAGCTAAAGCATACCGGTGCCACAACCAGCACTACGAGCTGCAATACACACACGCAGCTGCACACCCGGCTTTCCCATCACACTGCCGCCCATTTGCACGCGGCTGCAACCGCGGGCGAGAAGGGCCGGGCAAGGCCAGATCAAGGCCCCTTGTGCGTGATGGGCGCCCCCCCCCTGCAGCTGCTGTTGTCCTTGTCCTTGCCGCTGCAGGGCTCTCTGCGATCTTGGCCTGCCGGGCCGGCCGCGGTGTTGTTCCAGGTTATCAAGTTATACAGTACACACAGCAGGAGAGCGCCAGCAACAGCCGCCTTGAAGAGAGAGCGCGAACAACGAGCAGCAGCAGCAGCAGCAGCGATTGCAGGCGCTGCATCTCCCCCTGTCCTCGCACTGCTTCTTCCTCCGTAGCGGCCGTTCCTGGCTACGAGAAAGTCCTGTTGGATGCCCTCTCCCATCCCCCGTCGGGATAAAAGGGGCTCCCGCGCTGGGACCCCTCCTCGGGGTCACGGTTCTTTTTCTTCATCATCTTTCCTTCCCTTTCCTCCCCTTTCCTTGCTCCCTTTCTTCTTGTGAACACCAGCAGCAGCACGTCATATCATCCTGTACATATACACATATGAGCAATCTTTCCAGGTCCTGGCCCGCGTTCGGGTTCAGGTTTCACTTCCTCGCGCGATATGACCATTACACCACCGCCGCCTCATCATCGTCATCATCGCTATCATCATCATCACCGCCACCATCATCAACACACAACTAAAAAGGTCATCATCACCTTCCGAGAAAACACCCAAAGTGCGAGATCATCACCTCCCCACGTAAATGCACATATGTATCCATTTGTACCTATGCGCGCTTCCACCTTTTGCTTCGCATGATCGACATCTCAAACAGCAGCAGCAGCAGCAGTAGCAGCAGAAGCCGGGGTAATAACAGCACGGCACGCCCCATTTCGCGATTGGTGCTCTTTTATCTTCAAGGCCGGTCGCTAACTTGAGAAACAGACAGACACATACACACATACATACAAACGCAAAAAACGCACACTGCGACAAGGTCGCCCTTCTCTCACCCACAAGCACACATTAATAACAACACCAATACACACACGCGCACATCTACTTCCATGCTGCACGACGCAAAGATTCGGACCACTCACATCATCCTCGCCGCGCCTGTCTTCCCGCAGCTCTCATCTCCCAATCCCGACACCACCACTCACGACGTTTTCTCTGCCTCTACTGAATCTGTCCACCACGTTTATCAGCACCACACACCCTCCACGTCAGAGACTCTCTCCCTCTGTCCCGTTTTTCCGTCTGCTTCCCTACGTGAGCGGCACACAACAAAATCCCTCTAAGCTGTCCCCTAAAACCCTACCCCCTTAAAAAACCCACCCAAAAGCCTCTTCTTAGGGTTCAAAAAAAAACAAACCCTTCTAAAACACAGCCGTCACCACCCCGTCCGCCTCCGCCCGGGCTGTCTGCTCCCGCTCCGCCTCCGCGAGGTAGCGCTCGAACTCGGCGGGCCGTCCATGCCGCCCCCACTCCAACAGCAACTCCGCGTGGCGCAGTACGGGGTGACGGCTGTGGTACCGCCGCCACAGCGCCGCCAGCGCCGCGTAAAACCGGCAGTGATACTCGTCCACTACGGATTGCGGAATCGTTACGACACCTGAACTAACGTCACCGTCGCCGCCTCCGCCCGCCTCGCCAGCATGCACTGGCGGCGCCTGTCGCCGGTGTCGCCGCTGCCGTAGCTCCGGTTTGCCGCGGCCGCCGTTGCCATCGCCGCCTGGCGGCGAAGACGATGGAGCCGTATCGCGACATGCCGGCGCCATCTTACGGCAGCGCTCAACCTCCAAGCCCAGCGGCGGAGGTTGTAGGGGCCGGCCGATGACGTAGACAAGCGGGTTTCGGAGCGGCAGGGTGGTGAGGCTCCAGCGGCCCCCCAAGATGAAGGGAACCGGGAAACCAAGTCGCTTGTACGTGATGCGCTGCATCTCGGGAGCGGAAATCAGGTTGCGCAGCTGTGTCGGCCGCGAGGTGGCGGGGAGGCGAAAGGGGGGGGAAGGGGCGCGAAAGGGGGGAGAGGGGCGCGAAAGGGGGAGGAAGGGCGCGGTAAGACGAACCATCGACGTTTGAAGCAGATACCGGATATAGACGGATACTCCAGGATGGGGGGAGCGGAAAGAGGGTTTTAAAAGTATCGAGTTCGTTGGTGATCCTAACGGTGCAACATGTGTGTGTGTGTGCTACGTCTCGGTTGCATTACTCAAGAGAGGTGTAACGAGCGCCCATACGAGCCAGCAGAGGCTCAAGAGCCTTAGAGCCAAAAGCATAGCATAGCACGAAATGAACTGCTTATGTAGGGTAAGAAGCCAAAAGCACCAAGATTGCCGAAGTACAAATCAACCCAACCAGTTCACCATCAAGGTGCAATCTGGAAATGATGAGGCCTTTGGTCCTAAAACGACGCAAAACAACCGCTGTCGAGGAGGTCACATGTTCGATCCCAGAAGAAGCGTTCTGTCGGAGGCTTTACCAGAGGAGGAGGCTTGCCATAGAACTTGCATAACACCTCTTCTCAACGGTTTGCTCACTAAAACCCCCACAAGATCAGCCATTCAGGAGCTTCCCGCACATGTTTCCTGATCAAGCACCATTCCACAAGCCCCTCCCTTCCCCCAACCTGCAAGGTTTCCCCCAGCGCCAGCACAGGAACCAGCCACGCGCCCTCCTCCAACGCAAGTCGTACAAAGCCCTGGTGCCCTGCAAAAATGACGAGCTGGTGCCGCGGCGGCGGCGGCGAAAGCTGACAACTCGGCGAAGCCGCCGGCGCCCCTGCCGTCGGCTGGAGTGCAGCCCTAGGGACAGCTGCTTTTTCAGTACTCCCTGCTCCTGCTGCTCCTGCTGCCCCTGCTGCTGCAACGGTGTTCTCCGCCGTCGCTGCCTCACTGGCTGCCGCCGTCGCTGCCTTTGCCATCTCCACACCAGCAGCAGCAGCAGCAGCAGCAGCAATAGCAGCAGCTGCGACTGTCACCAGTGGCTTCAATCTCGCTCCATCATCATTCTCAGCAGCTGCAGCAGCAGCAGCAGCCGGCGGCTCCGAGGTAGCTCCTTCACCATCACCGGCAGCAGCAGCAGCAGCCGGCGGCCTTGCTGCTGCCTCATCACGGGGAACAGCACCACCCTGGCCATCAGCAGCAGCTGTAGCAGCCGGCGGCTTCACGATCGCGCGGTCCAGGGGAGACCCCTCCTCCGGTTGCTGCGGCGTCGGTGTCAGCGCCGCCGCTGTCGCTGTCGCCGCGCCAGCAGCAAACGCCGCCGCTGCTGCCGCTGCGGGGGAGCCCCTGGGCGGGAAGGCCCTATCTGCATACACCAGCTCTGCCTGCCCCCCGGGGCACAGCAACACGGCGCCCGTGTCCCGGAGGGCTCTCCGGAATGTGGCGCGGGTGACCTTCGGGAGGGACGGAACGGCGTGTATAGGTCGGGGGAAGGGAGCGATATGGAGGGATGGTGGTATGGCGCAATGGCGGTATCGAGGGGGGAACCAGACCGCCAAATGACGCCTGCCCATACATACATACATACATACGTACACGCCACACAGACAGACACCCACCTGGCGAAAGCCCGCCCATCCAGCAATATCACGTAGACCTGGCAAGTAGTGTACGATAGAGGCGGTGAGGGTGACCAACGTAAGGCCCGGGAAGGCCGCCTGCACCGTAGGCATTAGCGGCAGGAAGCCCGCGCCGGTGGGGTAGAGACCGTGAGGGTGGAAGCCTAGCACGTAGCGACGATGACAGCCGCGGGGAAGATCTGCCTGATGCCGCGACCCTGCTGCCCCGGAGCACGGCAGCAACGATACGCTGTTTTGCTCCTGAAACCGCCCCTGCCTCAGGCCCCTCGACCTCTCCTCCTGCGTCTTCGAGTGCTGCTGCAGCTGCTGCTGTGCGTGTTGTTGTTCGCAATGCTGCTCCTCCTGCTTCTGCTGCTGCTGCTGTTGTTGTTGTTCCCGGTGTCTCCTGTCATCCAGCTCGTCCGCGACCTGGTGCGCAGTACCCGGGAAGTCACGAATGACCTCCAGCCGCCCGGCCCACCAGGAGAGACTGCCCTCCACCTCCCGAGCGAACCAGCGACACAGCCACTCCCAACGGCGGCAACCTGATGCCGCCGAAAACAAAATGGGGGGAGGGGTTTTAGGGTTTTAGGGGTTTTGAAAGGTAAGGTAGGTAGGACGGGGATGATGACGATGATGATAATGTTGGGTTGATGGTGCATTTGAAGCCAACCCGATCAGCAGCAGAAGCAACGAGGTCATTAGCAGCAGCAGCAGTAGCTCCGAGGTGAATGACAACATGCGCACCGCCATCACCATCACCACGGCCCACCTCGCTCGGGCCACTCGCACACTCACTCACTCACTCACCGGAATGAGCAGGATGGCCGCGCAACGTGATAACAAAATACGGCACCAGTACGGCAAGTACGACAGCTGCTGCATGTCGCGGCGGCAGCAGTGTGAAAACGGAGGCCATGGAGGAGCAGCTGACGTGGAGGGGCAGGTACATCAGTACGACAGGCATGATGAGACCTGTCGGGAGGGCGGAGGAAGCATGGTGTTAAAAAGGTACGAACAAATAAAACGAATAACCGACAACGGAGGGACGCTTTGTGACAGGCAGGAAATAACCCAGTAGAAACCCTCATCAACTTTCAATTAAAAAAAGGTTTAAGTTAGTTTTGCAGCATGGAAGATGCCCTGCACATTTCCGGCAATTCGCCCGTAAAATACCCTTCAAAAAACATATTTTCCTTCGCTAACAAAAAGAAAACACAGAACAAAATACACACGTGACACTCTGACACTCTCTCCACGGCAAGTCCATGGCTGTCCCACCTGCGGCCCGGGCGAATGACGCCCGAGGGTGGTGCAGCACCGGCTGCAGCAGGTTACGGGCCCGGCTGCGGTTCTCGTAGGTCAAAATGGACACCCCCAGCACCTGAGGCGGCGGCCAAAGAAGAAAAAACACGAAAGATTTCCCCCAAGTAGGCAGGTTCACAAAACAAACGTGCCGGAAGCGCAGCTGGGAATCATCATATGCAGCGAAATCAGAAATAAACTACCGGCGTTCGAAGGGGGCCGCAGGTGGGGAATTCACACAGCCTGCCCACGTCCCCCCCTTCCCCCCACACGCACAATACTCCCACCCACGTCCCCCACGCTCCCTTCCTGCGCCCTCTTTCCCATCCCCAGCTCCCCATATCTCTCGTTCCATCACCCACCCATCCACCCATCTGCCATCCGCCGTACCAGCTGCGTGGCCATCATGAGCGCCCCCACCGCCAGCGCCCAGCAGCGAAGACAGTAACCCACGCCCACCACCAGCTCCTTAGCCAGCAGCAACACCGCCACCACAGTGCTGCTGAACAGAGTCCAGCCAATGGCCTGCCCGAAGGGGGAGGGGAGAAAGACGAACCACGAACGAGTGAAGCTGCTGCCAGGGGGAGGGGAGAAGCATGTGCGCGAGAAAGTGGGAAGTGAACTGCCGGTGTCCAAGAGGTCCGAAACCGCCTAGGGAGTCCTACGCGGTGTGATGTCATCGACCCGTGGTTCCGGAGGAGGGAGGGGAGGGGAGGGACGAACCACGAACGAGTGAAGCTGTGAAGAGTGAGCTGGGAGGGGAAGAGAGGGGGGAGAGAGAAAAACTTGCGAAAAAAGAAAACGAAAAAAATGTATAACCTGCAAATCGCGAATCGCCAGGTCGGATTGTATTGGGCGCAACCTAAGCCAACGGCTCCAAGCCCCTGTGGCGTCGCGACTTGGGAAAAGGGGACGATTCACGCGACGATTTCTCTTGTTGCCTTCCTGCTCGCCTCGTCCCACCCTCTCCCACCCCTCTCTCCACCGTTTGCATCTCCTCAACACGGCCTTCTCCTCCGTCTTGCATGTAATTTCACCTTCCCTCCCTCCGGCCCCTACCTGCGTCGCCACAAATACGGACCCTCCCTGAAATGGTTGGAAAAAGCGCCACGTGGTTGCCACATCAGCCTCCTCCTCCTCCTCTTTGGCAGCGCTGGCGCCACCCACACCGCTGGCACCGTGCATGGCGCCCGCTGCTACCGTCGCCGCCGCCGCCGCTGCGGCGCTGGCGCCGCCACGCAGTACGGCAGCGCCGGCGCTGCTAGCGGCGCCGGCGCAGTGTCGGAGGTAACCGCCAAGACCATGTGTACTGCTGGCGCCAATGAAGACGCATGAAAGCGCTAGACAACAATACAAAACCCTGGGAGGGCATGAAAAAACGGGCATGAAGGAAACGCGGCTCAGGGCCCTTGAGGTGGTGCATGCGGCTGCACGTTTTCCGGCAATCCACACGATCACATGATCCATACGATCCATACACCGAACCAATTTGAAAAAGCCCATGACTGGAAGGTCGTCGGGGATATCGGGATAAGGGCGAGAAGGGCAATCTCGACAAAGGGAGACGCGGGGCCGGGTCGGGTAGGTTTAGTTCGCATCCCCTGGAGGGGTGACACCGGACACCTGATAAGGCTATGGCAGCCGGCAACCCTCGACGCACGCTGAACCCGGACTGCATTCGTGGAGAATTTTTACGTAGCAACGCGAGCTCCGAAACCCGTGCTGCGTTCGTGTTCGGCTCTCCCAGGCTGACCCTAATTCCCACCGAGTTAACTGCAGCTCCTGAGCCCTCCATCCACAGCGCTCAACCGCGGGGGAAGCTAACACGCGACACTCGAAGCACTTAGCGCGTAGCACTTCTCACCCACCCGCACCTGCGCTGATAACTCCCCGGGCTCACCCTGATGAGGTGTCCGGCAGGTGCTCCAGTGCCAGCAGCAACCCAAAGCCCGTCACGGACAGCGCCATGCCCATCAGACACACCAGCAGACTGGCCAGAGGACCCTCCAGGAGCTGATGAGGGGAGGGGGCCGGTTGCCAGGGAGGAAAGGGAATTATACTACATAAAATGCAAACAATCCTGAGGACACCCTGAGCAAACAGTCAATCAAGGAAGGTGTGAAGGTAAGGTATTGTAAGGAGGTAATAAAACGCGGATGGCCGTAGGGAAGCTAAACAACAAAGGAAAAACCAGCAACTGAGCAGGTGCGGGAGAACGAACGGGACCAAAAGGGGGCAGAGGAGGCACTACCAATCCTGGCAAGACGCGGTCATAGGGTGAGCGGGTGATGGATAGGCGAGACGTCACTCTAGAAAGCAGCATGTTGTGTAGAAGTGATACATAAATACAACAACATATGGATATACGCACCTGCGTACGATGGTTGCGACCCTCCCCGTGTTGGTCTATTGCAATACCGTTGGCATGCTTTTCACTGCCGTCGCTGGCCTTCTTGCAGCATTCAATTTGCTGCTGTTGCTGCTGCCGGCCCTTTGTGGCCTTGCGACGACTGTCGTCTTTCCGTCCACCAGAGCTGAGCCGCGTATCGCTTTCAAACACAAGCAATGCCTTCAGCATGAACAGCTCACCCCAGAGACCCGACACCGCAGCCGCGCCAGAAGCGGCATCGACGTGCGTGAGAGGAATGAGAGGCTTCCGCAGACCCAGGAAGCTCAGGAGCATGCTGCACGCGGCAGAGCTCCGGCTGTCATCCACGAGCAGCGATAAGTAGACGGGCAGCGTAATCGCGGCAGAAAGTGTCCACAGGCCCTAAGTGGAAAGCAGGAACAAGGGAGCAACTGCTTATTGGCGATTGCGGTGCATGGTTTAAGCACAGTCAGCAGGGCCAGCAGGCCCCAAGCCCCGCAACACCCGCGCGCTTGTCCTTCATGCGCCACGCCTATAAGGCAGGACGCAAATTTAACAAACAGTATAAATCGTATTTCCTTGCTGCTTACCCATGCAAAGACCTGGAAGACAGCGTGGCGATGCCCGCCCATGAGCGGGAAGAGGAATAGGGACCGGAGCGTGTTCAGTCTTTGGCCCTTCGCCCAGTCGCGACGGTGCCTATACAAATGTGCAGCATACGTGAGACAAAGGCAAAGATGGAGAGCAGATGCCACTACTCGCGAAGCTGCGTTCGCGACCCGAACTAGCTGCACTAATAGCTCCATCTTAGCCGTCACGCGAGAGTTGCATGTGGTCGAAATTCCCTCTACAAACTGGAAAATTCGCTGGAAACGCTGACAGTTCAGGAAAGAGAATAGACAACGCCGCCGTACACAGCACCAGAAAATGCCTGTCCCGACAGTTTTCCTGTTCCTCCTTTGACCTTATGAAATTACAACCATTACAACGTTATTGAACTTGGACAATGTTCGCAAACTCATTGCTTTAAGGGGCCGACCCCAGTTAAGTTAAAACCTGTGTAAATGGACAAAGTAACGATTGTATTTGTTCTTGGAGCACCTGGGTAAGCGAATTTGTTAGAGGGTCAGCTTGTAACGGACTTCTAAGCACACATCCATGGCGCAGGTCCGGCAAAAGGACACAGTGCGAAAAGATTGTAGAGAATTATGGGTGGACTCACTTGTCTACTGGCGACTTGCTGCGGGAGGAAGTGCTGGCTGGCACGGAATTGGTGAGACGTGCCGTTTTGATGCGCAACGGCGCCGTTCACCCGGACGCCTTCTATTAACAAGCAGCATGACCATTGATCCGGGTGAAACGATTCCTTTCTCATGTCGGGGCACCTTGCTTACAGTACACCCGTAATCTGCGCACATGTTGCAATGTCACTCCTTCCAGGTGGTGCGCGCAGTCGCACCCCCATTACCCAATACGTTTGCTATCCCTTCCATGTTTCCTGCAGGGTCAGCAGGTCAACGAGATCATGGCGTCAGGCCAAATGGTGCCAACTGACCTGATCCTCGGTAAGCCGCTAGCGGGCCTGCCACCCCAAAACTTTCGACGACAGCGGGCCGCGGCCACAAGCTCACGCTTCCCAAAATCGCTCCCGAATACGCTCGTTTCCAAACGCGCCATCCTCACCGTTCAGGGCCATTTATACACACCTTACAGCGTCCCAAGGTCCCGGGAGGCGAGGTGCCTCTGCTCTGCCTCCTCCATCGGGGCCTTGTCCAGGCTGTTCCTGTATAGAAACAAAATATAGTACCCTAGTGCCATTTTCCTCACCTTCGCTGAATTCCAAACCCAAGTGCATCTGGGTCTTGTCCCGTCCGGGCATATCTTTCATTTGTCCCATCATCTGGGTTTCAAGTGTCCCCTGTCCCTCCTGTCCCTTACCCTACCAGCTGTCTCTTACCGTAAGCCCAAATTGTAATTCCAGATTTAGACCGTACTAAAACCACCTGTTCCATACTTCACCTAGCGACTCGTCTGGATTTCCCTTTCAGGTTTGCTATCTCCTTGTTACACAATTCCTCCATAGCTTCAGTTTTGAGCATCTGGGTCTCGTTTCCTGGGGCTTGTATTGTTCCTTAAGTTGCCTCTTCAGTTGTCCACCCCCCCCCAAATCCAACTTCCAAGCCAACTCCGGATCGCCATCCCCTTCCCCCCCTCCCCCCAAAGTGAAGCCCCGCCGGAATCCCGTCATTCCTCCCTTCATCCCTCCCGTCATCCCTCCCGTCATCCCTCCCGTCATCCCTCCCGTCATCCCTCCCGTCATCCCTCCCGTCATCCCTCCCGTCATCCCTCCCGTCATCCCTCCCGTCATCCCTCCCGTCATCCCTCCCGTCATCCCTCCCGTCATCCCTCCCGTCATCCCTCCCGTCATCCCTCCCGTCATCCCTCCTTCAGAGATGCTGACCAACGCCATGGCTAGCAGCGGCTCCTCCCGCTTCCTCATTGACGGCTTCCCGAGGACTCTGGACCAACTTATGGAATTCCAAACACAGGTAGCAGGAAAAAAATGACATCTTCTCCCTCCATCCAACCCTCCATCCACTCCTCCCTCCCCCCTTCCCTCCCCCCTTCCCTCCCTCCCTCCCTCCCTGCCTTCCCCCATCCATCCATCCATTTATTTGCTCCCTACACATAATTCCCTCCGTTTCCTCCCTCAGCCGAAATCCCACTCAACCCCATTCATGGTCATGGCGCCACAAACACAACCCCTTCACTTTCCACCTTTCGCTTTCCTCGCCTTGTATTGGACCGTGCTTGGGGTCCTTTAGCCTTTCCTTGGCCTTTTTGTCTTCTCCTCGACTCCGTTTACCCTGACCTTTTTGGGTCTTACGTCTTTGGTCTTAGTTCTTTGGTCTTTTTCCCGGGCGCAATGCCCACCCAGGTCAAGCCGTGCGACGGCGTCCTGGTGTTCAGCGTGCCTGAGGAGGTGGCGGTGGAGCGACTGCTGGCCCGGGGGGTAACCTCGGGTCGCGTGGACGACAACGAAGACGCCATTCGCGAGCGCATGAATCTGTTTTGGAGCGACTCCCAGCCGGTGATTGAGTTCCTGGCGGACAGCGGCGGCAATCTGCATGAAGTGGACTCCGCAGCGCCGGAGGAGGAGGTGTTTGCGGCGGTGGAGCCCTTCATGGACGAGATGGACGAGCTAGGTGAGAGCACACTGTGGAGTGTAGGTGTGTGTAGGGTAAAGAAGGGGGAAAACAATAGATATTACAAGTTACATATCATATCACCAAAGGGAAAAAATGTTATTATGCATGGAGAAAAATGAAAAACAAACAGCAAGAAGAAAGGAACAACGGCGGAAGGCGGGAGGAAGGCGGGAAGGGAAGGAAAGGGATGGATGCATACGATGCATTAAAAGGCAGTAGAGAGGCCCAACTTACAGGCGTCTAAATTACCTGCTGCCGAGTTTGAAAACAGTGAGGAGCAGTTAGGAAAAGGAAGGGGGTGGAAAAGAGTAGAGAGACAGGGAGATCCTCCCCTCCCACTCTCTGGCGGCGCGGACGCGGCCCCTCGCCCCCCCCATGCATGTTTTAGAGCCGCTTCTCCTCATCTCCGTGCCTTTCCCGCCTTTCCATCCCAGGCTGCCAGGAATGCACCTCCCCCACATCCACACCTCCGTAACCACTCAACACATACAGACAGACATACAGACACGACACGTACCTATACACATGTTCCCTTTCCCGCACTCCCCTTTTCCTTGTTCTCCCCCCCGCTGCCTCAGCCGAAGCGAAGGAGGAGGGCCGTGTCGGCGACACTAGCGGCATGGGATCCTCCGACGGCAACGCCGATGCCGCCAGCGGCGACGACGAGGGGAGGCTCAGTGGTGACGGCGGCGGCGGCGGCGGCCAGGCGGCTTCGGAGCTGTCCGACGCCACCATAGTGTTTGTCCTGGGCACGCCGGGTTGCGATCAGGACACGCAGTGTCAGTTGGTTTCGGAGCGGTACGACTGGACGATCATTTCTCCTGAGGAGCTGCTGCAGGCGGAGATCGACGCGGGTTCGGAGCTTGGGAAGCAGGTCCGGTCCGGAAGGAGGGGTGGTGTGGATGTAGTACGGTTGGGGTTGGGATGCACGAGAAGGATAAGCAGGCGCAGGTGTATGCGCGTGTGCGTGTGCGTGTGCGTGTGCGTGTGTGTATGTATGAGAGGATCGAACGAGTCGTAGACGTACGGGCTGTGGGGAAGAGACGTGCAGGCGGGCAAAACGCAGAGATTGTACGGATGTACGGATGTAACCCCCCATACATACACACGGATCTACACTCGAGGATTCGCTCCCGGAGCCCGGTTCATTACACACATACACACAAACCTCGACGCACACAACAACACACAATGTCGCGTCCTAATTACTCTCGGCGTTTTGGCATAGCGACCCGACATTTCCCCCCTTTAACCGCCTCCACCTCCATCCCCCCTACCAACCCCATTTCCCAATTGCCTTTGCGATGATGTGATCTGCCCCCTCCCCTAGTCACTTCTGCTTCTTGTACACTCTTTCCTTGGCAGCAGCTTCACTCGTTCACGTGGTTCGTCTTTTTCCCCCCCGTACCCCCCGATCAGGCCTCAGAGCTGCTCGCTGCGGACCAGGACGCGCCGTCCGCTCTGCTGGTGGAGGTGCTGGCCAACGCCCTCAGCGCCACGCCGCCCGCACAGAGGCGCTTCCTTATCAACGGCTTCCCCCAACACATGGAACACCTGGAGGTTAGTTAGTTAGTTAATGGGTAGGACGAACCACTGACGATTGAAGCAGAGATACCCCGGAGAGATAGACGGATGAATCCTCCAGGATACTGAGACAGGTATACTGCACCAGGAATATTTACAAGGTACTGGACAGTTAATACTTAAATAAGGGGGCTTGGTGGGAAGGGGGGGAACTTGGGGTTTTCTGGGGGGGTATTCAACAACATGCGATCGTTTGCGACAGGTACGGACGACGCAAACTATCCGTGGAAGTTGTGGTTGCAAGATTGGTATTCAAGATCGGGGGATATTCTTTCGGGGGATATTCTCTGGGGGGATATTCTCTCAAGATCCGCGACAACAACTTCCACGGAGTGTTTGTGTCGTCCATACCTGTCGCTCTTTCCTCTAATACCTTTCCAAAAAACACCCACCAAAGCTCAACCTCAAGTCCTCAAAAAAAAACATCCCTAAATCAAATCCCTCCCAGCTCGTCGATTCCACCTCAACCGAACTCAAAGCTCGCCACGAATCAACGCATTGCCTCGTCCTGCCTGCCTGTCTCGGGAATCTCGTCCTGTACGGCAGGTGTTTGAGACACGTATAAGGCCCTGCGACGGCGTGCTGATCTTGTCGCTGCCGGAGGAGGTGGCGGTGGAGCGGCTATTGGCGGCACAGGTGTACGACACGGAGGAAGCCGTACGGGACCGTTTGGACGGGTTCCGTGTGGAGACGCAGCCCGTGATTGACATTCTCCGAGATCAGGTGGGGTGCCGGTGGTTGGGTGCCTGTGCTGGGTCGGAGCAACATACAGGTGTGTTGTGCCAGTGTTGGCAAGAGAGGCAGGTTGAGGTGGGCTGGGGGATTTTCCAGCACCGGAACCCCCCCCCCCGGGGGCCCCGGTGTGTTTTTCCTCTCCTCAAGCTGCAAGGGAGTTGCAAGTTCTACACACACACGCGCACACACACACGCGCACACACACACGCATACACGCACACACACACACGCACACACACGCACACACACACACGTGCGGGGGTGTCCGTGAAAGCCTGAGGGGGCCCCCTCCATGGACCAGGACATAATCCTCTCCTCGCTCTCCTCCTATCCCTGATCATCAGGATTGTATTCACCTAGGGCCAATAAGCACACATGAACCCTAATGGCGTTTCGCGGTGCGTTCTGTTGTCGATCCGGGCGCCACTCTCCCGGGTAACCGTCACCCTGTTCCACTCACCACTCCTCCACTCACCACTCCACCTCCCACATCCCGCACCCGCCCCTCTCCATCAGAACGTCCAAGTGGCGGATGTGGACGCAGCTGGCGATACGGATGAAGTGTTTGCCCAGGTAGCCGCATTCATTGAGGGTTTCGGAGCGCCCCTGGATCAGCCCCCGCCCGAACCCGAAGAACAGCAGCAGCAGCAGCAGCAGCCGGCATTCGACGGTGCTGACGCCGATAATGCTGCCGCTGCGACTGCTGCTGCCACTGCGGACGAGGATGAGGAGGAGCAGCAGCAGCAAGGCGGATACAGCGAGGAGGAGGTTCAAGCCGTCATTCGCATCCAAGCAGCTCGGCGGGGTTACGAGGGCCGTAAAAAGGTGGCGGCGATGCGGGAGGCGAAGAAGGCGGAGGGGCTTGCTACTGGTGCTGCTGCCGCGGATGCAGTTGCGCCGGCGGAGGCGGAGGTGGGTGCTGCAGAGGCAGGTGCGCCAACGGCGGACTTTGAGTACAGCGACGAGCAGGTGAAGGCAGCGACCCGCATCCAGGCAGCCCGACGGGGCTATGAGGACCGCAAGAGGGTGGCGGCGATGAGGGCGGAGCGGCGGCAGCAGCAGCAGCAGCAAAATGGAGAGGGAGAAGGCGGGGGACTTTCCGAGCGGGAGTACAGCGAGGAGGAGGTTCAGGCCGTCATTCGCATCCAGGCAGCCCGGCGGGGCTACGAGGGCCGTAAAAAGGTGGCGGCGATGCGGGAGACCAACGCCGCTGTTGGGAAGCAGGCGACGGAGACCAAGGCAGCGGCAGCGGCGGAGGCGGAAGCGGACGCGGAGGCGGAGGCGGAGGCGGAAGCCGCTGAGGCGGAGGCGACGGAGGCGCAGAACGAGTCGGGCATGTCGTACGATGAGGCTGTTGCACGGATCCAGGCTGCAGGTCGGGGTTATTTGGATCGTAAGAAGGTGGCGGCTATGAAGGCGGAGGCGGCGGCGCGGGAGGCAGCGGAGGCCAAAGCGTTGGAGCAGGTAGTCTTCTGTTTGTCTGTATGTATCTTGGAGAGTGATCAACGCTACTGGTCATATGCATCTTACCAGGAATGTTCGTGGAGTTAATACGGCCCGTAGGGGGCCCTAAGGCCGCTTTTCCCCTCTTATAATGTGCGTTACAAGGTCGCGATGTTGCGTGTGGTGTGGTGTTATGGGGGTTTGGCGCTCACCACCTCGCCAGCTCGTGCACACAGCTGTTGGGGGTTTCCATCACGCGCTCCTTGTGTTTATTCCCACATCCCTCCCCTCCCCCCTTCCCCGCATCACCTCCATCCGCCTGGCCCCCCTCGTCCTCCTCCTCCTCCCTCGCTGCCTCCCTCCCCTCCCCCCCCTTTTCCTCGCAGGTTTCCTCCATCCGCGGCATGTTGGTTGTTTGCGGCCCCAGCGGTGTGGGCAAGGGCACCCTCATCGGCCGCCTCATGGCCGAGCACGGAGACAAGTTCGGGTTCAGTGTCAGCCACACCACACGCGGACCCAGGCCCGGGGAGCAGGACGGAGTGCACTACCACTTCACGAACAGGTGGGGGGGGCAGGTGGCGGATGAGGGGCAGGAGGAGGGGAGAGAGGCTGAAATGGAGAGAAAGAGAGGGCTGCGAACTGCTTTCTGTCTGTGTGTGTGTGTCTACCCCTCTCTCATACACACGCGTACACACGTACACACATATACGCTCACAGGGAGTCTATGCAGCGGGAAGTGGAGTCGGGGATGTTCCTAGAGTACGCCGACGTGCACGGCAACATGTACGGCACCAGCTTGGGGGCAGTGGCGGCGGTTGGCCAGTCGGGCCGGATCGCGGTTCTCGACATTGACGTACAGGTGAGTGCCTCTGTTGACGACTGACGAGGGTGGGGGGTTGGGCCCTTGACTTGGACTGGATTGATCATAACGGACCATTGCCTGTGAAGTGGGAACTTAGGAAGGATCGATGTTGGAGGCTACGGAGGGTTGTAGGTTGTAGGGCTGAAGAGGCAGGAGGCAGGGCTCTGTAGATCACAGTCTTATCTTCCCTCCTCTGATGCCTGATATTCCCAAACCCCATCCCTTCCCTCCTCCTTTCTTCGCCCTTTCCTCTTGTGCCTACTCCCCCAATTTGTGGCTCCCGCTGCATTCCCGCTCCCCGCTGCCAGACACTGTTGGGGGGAAGGTGTACGGCTTTGCACCGGGGTGACTTTAATAATCGCTGCATAAAAAAGGTTGTAGGTTGCTTTTTTGATTCTCTGGATTCCTGCGGATTCCCTTTGCTTTTCCGCTTTCCCTCCCCTCCGCCTTCCTCGTCCCTATCCACGTCCGTCCCTTCTCCTCCCCCTCCCCTCGCTTCCTCCGGTCGCCTCTTCTGTCCTGTCGTTGTTGTCCCCAACCTCCCTCCCCCCTTAGGGCGCCACGAAGATCAAGTCCTCCTGCGCCGCCTCCAAGGCCCGCTACGTGTTCGTGGACCCGCCCTCCCTGGAGGTGCTGGAGGCCCGCTTGCGGGGTCGCGGCACCGAGACGGAGGACAAGGTGCGGCTCAGGCTGGCCAACGCGACCGCGGAGATTGACAGATCGCGGGAGCCGGGCTTCTTTGACGCGCGGCTCGTGAACGACGACCTGGAGGCCGCCTACCACCGCTTCAAGACCACCATCGAGAAGCTCCTGCCGGGGACGTTCAGCGCAGAGGAAATCAAGCCGCCGGGACCCTCGGCGCAGGAGCTGGAGGCCAGGGCGATGGCGCAGGTGTGTCCGGGCTCCCAAAAGGTACCCGGGGCATCGTACTGCCGTAGCGCCGTACTGCCGTACTGCCTTGGTGTAGCGGTTTGGTTTTATGATTCTGAGCCTCGAGAAGGACATGGTGAGGTTGTTTTAAGGGTGGGCTGCGTGTAGAAGGAAGTGACGTAGGCAGCTGCCTACGTCAAAACGCAGCTGAGGTGGGTTGGTTGGGGGGTTGGGGGGTTGGCGGAAGAAGGTATTGGGTCTGTGGCTCAGGTGCCGGGGGGAACGCGCCCGGTAAGCGGGTCAGGGGGGTCAGGGAAAGTCAGGGAACTAACATGGACAGAGTTGATAGAAACGGCCGAGGCAAGGGACGGGGAGACGTAGGGCATGTGCTCAGAGGTATTTGATTATTATTACAATTGTCCGGATGGTGGTGGGTGCAAAGTGCCTCATGCTGGGCGACTCGTGGCCCTTGGGGTTGTTCCGGTTGCAGAGAACCGTGCGGAGAGCTCGTGTGTGGAGCGCAGTGAATTAGCTAGCGAAGAATTAGAGTAGTTGTCAGGGGATGGCATTTATTCAGGGCATGTGTGGTGGTGGTGGTGGGTGGGGGAGGTCCTTCACGGTGCGTGGAAAGGCGGTTGCTATTTTTAAATTCGAAAAGGGATGCCGTGGGGGGAAAGCGCGTGGTACAGAATCCATCTTTAAGGAGATAAGGATACATTTTTCAGAAGGCATGGTGGGTTTACTTTGTTTAGGGAAGACTAGGTGAAAAAAGCAAAGGGGAATTTCAAAGGAGGACAAATGTCATTGAGACAGAAGAACTAGAGTGGAAAAAAATACTCCAACGGTGGATTATTGTTTTTCATGCCTGTACGCGGCGTCTATTTTCCGGAATTGCGCCGAAGAGATGTTTCAGGAAGTTCTGCAGGCGCGTGTGATGGGAACGAGGAGCGTTGGGGCCGTTGGTGTCTGTCTGTCTGTCTGTCTGTCAGTCTGTCGGTCTGTCTGTCCGTCTGGTACCGTCGGCACAACGGATTACATTTCCGGGGGCGTTCGACGGGGGGGACACAACCGACATCCTCTCCCTCCCCCCTCCCCCAACACACACATGCACACGCGCACCCACACGCACTCACGGCTTCGTAGCCGCGATCCGCGCCCCAGGTGTTAAAATATACAAACAGGCATACATACGTTTTTCGAAACACGCAGCCGATGCTATCCTTCATCTTTGACCTTTCCCGACGGTTCCTGCCCCGACCCCAGCTCAACCGGCCCAGTATACACATTCCCTTCCCGCTCCACCCAAGGGACGCTACCTCCATCCTCTCCCACGTCGCTCTCCTCCCCTTCCCTCTTCTCTCTTCCCCGCATCACCTCCATCCGCCTGGCCCCCCTCGTCCTCCTCCTCCTCCCTCGCTGCTTCCCTCCCCTCCCCCCCCCCTTTTCCTCGCAGGTTTCCTCCATCCGCGGCATGTTGGTTGTTTGCGGCCCCAGCGGTGTGGGCAAGGGCACCCTCATCGGCCGCCTCATGGCCGAGCACGGAGACAAGTTCGGGTTCAGTGTCAGCCACACCACACGCGGACCCAGGCCCGGGGAGCAGGACGGAGTGCACTACCACTTCACGAACAGGTGGGGGGGGCAGGTGGCGGATGAGGGGCAGGAGGAGGGGAGAGAGGCTGAAATGGAGAGAAAGAGAGGGCTGCGAACTGCTTTCTGTCTGTGTGTGTGTGTCTACCCCTCTCTCATACACACGCGTACACACGTACACACATATACGCTCACAGGGAGTCTATGCAGCGGGAAGTGGAGTCGGGGATGTTCCTAGAGTACGCCGACGTGCACGGCAACATGTACGGCACCAGCTTGGGGGCAGTGGCGGCGGTTGGCCAGTCGGGCCGGATCGCGGTTCTCGACATTGACGTACAGGTGAGTGCCTCTGTTGACGACTGACGAGGGTGGGGGGTTGGGCCCTTGACTTGGACTGGATTGATCATAACGGACCATTGCCTGTGAAGTGGGAACTTAGGAAGGATCGATGTTGGAGGCTACGGAGGTAGAGGGAGGGGGAGGCCATGGAGGTAGAGGGAGGGGGAGGCCATGGAGGGTTGGGATGGCTTGGCGCGCAGATGGGAAAGGAGGGAGAGGCCGGGGAGGTACGGATGACTACATGACTACATGACCGCTAGGGAATAGGGACTAAGGAAATGAGTCGTGCGGTAATGGGTCCTCACGATAACGTGAGACGAGACCCTCTTCCTCCGCCGTTGCCCTCGTCCACATCCCCATCCTCAACTCAACCTCACGTCCGCTTTTACGTTGGCCACCTGTCCTTCTTTTGGCGCATCTCCTCCTCGTTCCTCCGTCCACATCTCGTCTTCTGTCCTGTCGTTGTTGTCCCCAACCTCCCTCCCCCCTTAGGGCGCCACGAAGATCAAGTCCTCCCGCGCCGCCTCCAAGGCCCGCTACGTGTTCGTGGACCCGCCCTCCCTGGAGGTGCTGGAGGCCCGCTTGCGGGGTCGCGGCACCGAGACGGAGGACAAGGTGCGGCTCAGGCTGGCCAACGCGACCGCGGAGATTGACAGATCGCGGGAGCCGGGCTTCTTTGACGCGCGGCTCGTGAACGACGACCTGGAGGCCGCCTACCACCGCTTCAAGACCACCATCGAGAAGCTCCTGCCGGGGACGTTCAGCGCAGAGGAAATCAAGCCGCCGCCGCCCCCGGCCGCCCCACCGGCGCCATCGCCACCGCCGCCCCCGGCCGCCCCACCGGCGCCATCGCCGCCGCCGGCCCGCGTTCGCACGCCAACGCCGCCATCACAGCCGCAGCCAACTGCCGCGGCGGCGCGTGGCGGACCGGCGAGTACCGCTGCCGTTGGCGCAACGGCGGCGGCGGCGGGGCTTCCTGTACGGCAGTACATGGACGCTACGGTTGTCCCGGTGTTGCGTGAGGGCCTGCGTGCACTTAACGAGGCCCGACCTGACGACCCGTTGAAGTTCTTGGCGGACTTCCTCTTGGACGCGAGGAGCGCCAATGGCGGCCGTCATTCGCGGACGGTTGGCGGCGGCGGCAACGGTAAAACGGTATACTGAGTGACGGATCACCACTGACCACTGACGTACCGGTCTGCGGACCATTCCCCCTCGGATCTAGATCTGGATTCAAGTTTTGGATCCGCCAGTGACCCTCAGACCCGTAGAGATCCGATATGTGAATACCGGACGACGTGCAGCTGTGCCTTCGTGCGGGTCTCGGCCGCCAGCCGTTAGCGACAGATTTACCGATTAAGGCGTGGTTCTGCCGGAACCAACTCCCTGGTTTTTTTTAATCCCGGTTCCTGTCCCCCATTGATTCAGTGGCTCGCCGCGACCCAATGACCCGGACACGGCGTGCCTCGCACATGACCCTATCACGAACCCATGCAAATGTACCCCTTAGAGCCCTGACCTGACCTCACGTGATGTGACCTCCTGTGGCCAAACCCGGATATCCAATACCACAAGCCCATGGATCAAATATTGATGCAGGGGACTTTGCGTGGGTTATGTCGGCATAGCCTTAGGGTTATATATGTCGACGTGCGACCATTGACGATTGGAATGAGCACCCAAAATAGGTTGCCGTAAGGCTGTACGGCGCCGTGACCCGTGGGCCGGCTCTGGTTCTTCTCACCGCATGTGGTTGTTGTCGGCACCATGATGACCAGTCGGTCATCCCGCAAAATCCATCAGGAGCCGTCCGGGCGGGACATGTTTACCTTGCGTCGAGCTCCCGTATGCGTTTTTCGATATTTGCCGCCTTTATCAAAGCACAGATACCCACACACACACACATACACACGTATACACACACGTACACACACACGCACACACACACGCACACACACACATACACACACACGCACATACACAGCGGACATCTGCGACCAAGTAGCTTCTGGGGTAACCTGGCTTTTAGGTATTAGTTGGACGGGTGATGACGTCAGCACATTAGGATCTCCTTTAATCATTTTCCTTTGTTACCGCTACAGCCACATACACGCCATGCTGCTTGTACGGGTTCGTACAGATCTTGTACCTTTATGGTGAGGTGTAGAATTATTGCGCCTTTCAGGATGTTGTAAGCAACGCTTGGGGCGGTAGACTTTTTTGGGGCCTGCAAGCAATTGAGCTGTATTGGCATCGTCGCGGGTTTTCATCATTCCTGACGGTGGGCCCCCTAAATTACTGAGGGTGTCTGTCTTTGTGTGTGTTTCCGCACCTCGCTGGTGTCGCTTTCTGGGTGCGTTTGTACTTCCCGGCCGAAGTGGGACGTGACGGTTTCGGGTAACGGTATACGTAACTGTTAACGTACATAGTAGAAACTTAAACGATTAGGCCTGGTGCAACATTGTGGTGTTGAGACGACTGGAGGCTGATGATTGGGCGCTGCAGTAGCGCATGTCGGGTGCGCTAATTTGTTTGCGTTAGCTAATGGACTAGGATCCGAGCCCCATGCTTGAGATGGCTTAGTTACATGCTCGTTGGGGCAGATGACGACCGGTTGGGCCGCGCGTGTCTTTCTGAATGCTGCATCCAATAGTCCCGGAATACTAAGCATGCGTCGAACACTGGCGCGCACCTCGCAAATCTGAGCCATGATTTTTTTAGAAATGAGCCATATGCGTTGCGAAAAAGGGGGCCAACAGCGAAAAGAGAAAGAGAGAGGGGGAGGGGGAGGGAAGGGCTTCCCTGTCAGTGTCTTGGGAAGTGCGTTGGTGGGGTCTTATATAACCGGTGCACGTGTCTTGGGACATCATTTCCTTTAGTCTGTTGTCGAATCGGTGACTGTGATGTGGACATGTAAGCATACGCACGCGCATGTCAGTTGTGCACACATCCAGGGGGATGTAGGGGGGCAACGGGGTGACCATTTTGCATGGGCACGCAGCGCGGCATAGTGTGTGCTACGGTCGGTGCGGAGCAGCGGTCTTTCTAACAACAGGCCGCCAGCGACCTCAGCGATCACCTGGAGAGACCATGGATTTGCATTTGCGAAATGTTTTGTCGTGTGTTACAGCTTGAGGTGTGTGACTAACCAAGGGTGTAACGGTAATGGTATAATTGTAATTCCATATGTGCTGTGGGCGATGGAAGGGGATTGCGGAGGGTGCAGAATGGCGTTGGGTGTGGTACATAAATTCAGGACGGCCCCGGGGACATAAGTGATTAAGCTATCTAATATAAATACTATTTCTAATGTATGTCTTCATAGATTCTGTTACATTGTTAAGCCGTTTCGTCCATTTATGCTTGAGCATTACCTACGCGCTCAGCACAAATCGACCTTGCTGTTGGCATCCAACCGCCAACATCCTAGCACTCAGCAGGACGCCTCACTACATCATGCCAACCGCTCCTATGGTCTTATGGTAAATTCCACAACAAGATGCAGTCCGCTGCCGCCAACACCACACTTCACGCACGCGCAGACCCAACCCGAATCCACTCCCTTGTCCAACCCTGGCCCTAGCTCCGAAACCACAGGCCCCCGGAACCTCGGCAACGGACAGCACGTTCCTTTCACTCCCGCCACTCCAGCGCGCCCATGCCCCACTCATACGCGAATCCAGCGACTAGAATGGCAAGGAAAAGGTTCATGGTCCAGTACATGGGTAGACTGGCATGGGACATGGCGTACGGGAAGAGGTAGGCAATCTCAATGTCGAACAGCAGGTACATGATGGACACCAGGTAGAAGGACACGCTGAACGTCTGGCGAGCCTGCGAATGGAGCATCATCAGCATCAGCATCAGCAGCTGTGTTAAAATGAGGTCGAGGTCGAATGACCCAGAGGACCGAATTCAGAACAGAGGATTTTCCTAGCAAGCGTATTCAGACAAGGTCAGACAAGGTCAAGCTCATCAAGTGAACAGGGGTTCTTCGCGGTGATGGAGGAGGGGGAATATCACGCAGGATTTTCAGGTAAAATCACACGGAAGTTCCTGTCATATATCTCTATATATTTTCCATCGCTTCGCCCTTCAGTTGTGTATATCAGAACCACCACAAGGTTTGGAGTCCACCACAAAAGTCCCTCAGGTTGGCGATATACCCATCCACAAATAACAATTCGCTGTACAACACGATTCACCCACCCACTCACAGACATACACATCCATGCATACTTCCTCAACACTCAACTTTCTCGCGCGCCATCCTCAGCACTTCCTGTCCGCGCTAACTTCACCAAAACATTTCTTTTCTCCTCCTTTACCAACTGAAGCCAATCCGTACCTCCCCAAACGCATCAAAGCCGCACTCGTAGGCGCTCGACTTGTCCAGGTCCACCCTCGAGGGCGCCACCACCAGGGGCACCACGATGAACACGGTGGCAATGACGGTAGAGATGGCGGTGGCGATGACATAGGGGTAGAAGCTGCCCGAGTCCAGGCCTACAGCGTTGAACAGCATGGGCAACAGCAAACAAAAACAGAGACCAATGAGACCAATGACCATCGCCACTTCTCGTCTCTTCTTATTATCAGCCCAGCTCCTTCGGTGCCACGCCAGGATAAGAAATCCCGCACCGCCATCGAGACACCACCACAGCGCCCCTGTCCAGCAATCTCCCCCTTTATCCCCACCCTCCAGGCTTGCAAGCTCCCAGACTTCTTTCCAATTTGGATCATCGTTGCACCCGTACACAGACATTCTACACACTCACTTCCAGTCCCAGTTCCTGCCTGTGTTTAAATGATTTTTCGAGCCGCGATGAGGGAAATGCCGATGGCGGTAGACGATTAACTTTACCGATGCGAGTTCGTTTTCCAGCGACGTGTTCGACTTTTCCAATGAAACTGTAGGCATAGCTTGAATCATCCAACTAGATGTTCTTGAAGAGTCTGCATCTGTGTGTGTGTATGCCCCAAAACACTCGCCGCAAACACACACACACAACACTACCACAAACCCCGTAGAAATCGAGACACGCGGGCTTACCTACATGCAGCCAGTCACTCACGTATCCCTCGCTCATCGCCCAACAGCCATTCACACGTCCTCATCTTATTACTCCCTTCCTGCATGTACACATTCACCTACTCCCTCCCTCACTGCCGCCATTGGAAAACTACTTACCGGTGAACTGGAAGGTGCGATTTGCCTCTGCCGCGATCACGTGGTCCCCCTCCACGAAGTAACGCTGGGCGGGTGACCAGGCGTTGTAGGCGCGATGTTGGGCCTGCATTGCGAAATACGTGTACGAGCATTTTGAGTCGAGTTTGGTCACCACGGGGCCCGGCCAGGATAGGAAATGATATGGCTTGGGGTTTCAAGACCCCTTGATGAGCCGCACGAGCGCGGCATTGGCATTGTTTACAGCTTAAGTGGGGCAATGGTGGCTATGCTGACAACCGTTCCCCTGCCCATCTGCTGTGTTACACGTGTATGTAACAGATAAGGGGAGTCAAGATGCAAGCAGAGGGGGAATTTCTTGGTCAGGGGTTAAGAAAAATTGTAGGTTCCTGGATGTGTGTATTTGATAGCGCTGCGCATTCCGGGACAGGCTGCAAACGGCAAGTCTAATACACGCGGTAGCTAGAATATTTCTTTACAAGGCGATATGTAAAAGCTTACGATTCGGAACACGCTTGGCAAATCTGTCCAACTCACCAGTGGAAACCGTGGCAGGCCTGCCATGCGGGCCATACCCGGGAGGCGGCTGGTGCGTACCGCACGCGTGGGAAGGAAAGGCGCTGCGGAGATGCCAGGCTGCGCGAGACACGGCTGCTGGGGAGCCTGCAAAGCAGGAAGGAAAAACATGTACGAAGATGTTCGGCTGGTAACGGGTGCTCCACCCTTAGATAGGTTACCAACCTTAAATAGGGCTTGAGCCGCAAACCCAAGACCAAGCGGAGCATTGTTGACCTTCTCCCTCACGTACTGCTGCTGCTGGAGGGGACCCTGTTAACAAGCCAAAAGCAAGGGTCTCGTTTCAGCGACCAAAGCGCCCAAAGACGTACCTAATACATACATAGATAATGATTATAGATAATACCTGTTGCTGTACTTCCGTTGACTGATCATCGCGGCCTGCTGAACAGAACGAGGCCCATTGCCGGTATCCATCAAGCGAAAATTGTGCGTAATCCTCTACTCATAAAAAACACCCATAGTATTGCAAGAGAATCTTATATCTTACCGGTAACTAGACAGGTCTGCAGCTCACGAGAAAGCTGAGCACTGAGGCACGGCAAGAGACGACTTGCCCCAAGCGTGACGCCTGACGCGCTGCGCAGAGCCATATCGGATGATAAAAATGCAAGGCAGATGCCCTAAAAGTAGTATACTCGGTCTTGCGCCTAGGACAGAGGCCCTTGCTTTGTTCAGGGCGGCTGACAGGGCGTGTCCGACCGCCAAAAATATTCACTTTGCGAACTACACAAGTTCCACTTCCAGCTAGGATGAATGCACTCGTGCTTTGATGCTCGTGAGCTTAATTGTACGACACATACGGGACGACCAGCGTAACATGACATGAATCTAACTCCTAGAGATGTCATCCATAAAATGGAGCTTTGCTACTAGACGGTGGGAATGGAAACGGCTGAAACTCATGGCTTGAGCAAGTCATAGGATAGCAGGACCCTGCACAGCAACACCCTGCAGAGGGGGCCGCGCCCACAGTCCAGAGCTAGCGCAGACGTGCTGAGCTCGTGTTACCGTGGCTACGAGACTGTGTGTGTGACCGGCCGGTGGGAACCGTCACGAGGGTTTTAAGCAGCGCGACGAGTGTTACCCCTGTCTACTTCGTGCCTAACATCCTCAGGCGCTTTTCAAGCAGCTGTGATATGCATGGAATGGGCACGCTTGTGTGGATGCCTGAGTAAAAAACTACGACGTTGCGAATGTCCGTTCTTGTCGAAAAGTCGACAGAGTTGGGATCGAAACGCAACCGATAACCGACCTTTCCCGTCATCCCTTCGACTACACGTGCGTTGCATGTAAGCCGTGTTAAACACGTTGGCTGGCTACAGGGGCGCTGAATGGCTTCAGCCCTGGGTTTGCAGGTGAACGCTGGCAGCAGCTGAAACCCGCAGCACAAACAGGATGACATTGGGCGAAGTCCAGTGAAACCCGTCTGCGAAACAACAGCGCTTTCATAAAGACTGATTTTGAGCGAAAAAAAGAGAAAACGCAAACCCTAGTGAAGTAAACAGACAGTACGTGCACACGGCCACATCCAGGCTAGCGTGGCCAAGTTGAGGTCTACTTGAAGACCAGAAACATGAGACCATGCAAAGGGATCTACGACCATAATACGTGACACTTGGAGTTGTGAGGACTGAAGGAATGTGGACACGGGGAAGCGCTTTGCAGTCCGTTCAAAGGCCTTGGCGGATCCCTTGAGCCAGGGTAACAGAAAAATGCGATTTGTTACAGTGGACCCCGAAATGGTCGGGTGCATCAGCACAACACTGCGGAACAGGAGGATGCTACAGTGAGACAAGTCAAGGACGACAGTGAAACGCTGACTCAGACCCTGCCGCCTTAAGGCACTGTAATGCCCCAACCCCAGCCTTCCTTTTGACGGAAAGATTTTGGGGTATTCCGTACCGCGAGCTCTGTAAGCATGTGGCAGAAAGAGTAGGCGAAAGTGTGCTAGGGAGCTCGTTATGCTCGGCAAAGTGCGTAATCTTAGAGTCTTGCTTTATTTCGGTTTTCCGTTTTGCTTTCTGTTCGATCCCTATCCTCGGCCCGTTTACCTGCCTTATGGTTGTTCGTGGGTTGTAAACCTGCCTTCCCACCCACATCTGTGCTCGCATGCCAGAACGTTCGGATTATCAACACGGGTGGCGTCTCGGAGGGTACCCGCGACCCTAAGGGTATCTACATCCGCTCCGGCATTGTCGCCTTTGGCAATGGCGCCAAGGCCCCTGACATCGCCACTTTTCACTTAAGTGCCGAGGGCATCTCGGGTAGCGGACACCACTACCACCACCGTTGCCACAAGCAGCTGATCGCAATGGGTCTCCATGAGGCTCTGCAGAACGAGCTGGTACTTCCAGAATGCATTACCCCGAGGGCAATTTGCGGTTGGGTATTCCGCCCCCCACCATTTATATGTGGGAGGTTGTGTGCCTTGCGGCCATTAGTTCGCTCAATCTCGGTCGCCGTTTGATGTGCAGGAAGGGTCTTCAGGGCAATATGTCCCTGCCTACATCCGCCCTCAACCGCAGTGGCTACGTGGTCATCTCCGACTTCTGGGGCCGATTAACTGCTTTTGCGACCCGGGACAGCCCGCCAAAACTATGGAGGCAGGTGCCGGACAACCGACCAACACCCATTGTCAGTCGACGATTCGAACAAGGTCGTCTGCCTTTACCGGACAACAATTGATAGGTCTGAGGGTTTACTTCTGAGTCTGATCTTCTATGTCTGAGCGTACTAGCTGATGATTTGTGTCCAGTGAAGTTAGCACAGGCTTGGCCGAGTTATTTATGAATAAGGCCCACAGCGTTGTGCGGAAGACGTTCCAAGGAGGGTTGTACTCAACCCGGTCGGGGTCCACTGTAACAATCGCATTCTGCTTAAACACGTTTTTATGCATGTTGGCAAGGAAAAGCAATCACATGGTTACCTTCAATTCAAACGTACAATATGGGCTGTCTCAGAAGCCTCATAATTGACCTTGTACGGCGAATAGGTTTAGGCCCCCGCAAGCACGAGTTTCACATGCGTACGCAAAATCCTTTGGACAGAAAACGTGTCTGCGCCTTTGCATAGCATCCTTCTGTCGTTGCATAAGCCGCGCGAGCCATCGTAAGCACTCACTTTATGGGTCTTTAACCACCATAGTCGATGATAGCTTTTTGAGCGGAAGTAACTTCGTAGGTTGAGGAACGCTTGAAACATGCAGACTTCCAGTTACCGCTCTGTTGCAGGTGGGCCGGCGGCGCGGTGACATAGCCATATCGACATTTGCGCCCGTTTCTCAGTCCCATCCCACAGCTTAAGTGTTGTTGTGGCTTCCTGACATGGTCGGCGCATGTGCTGCGTGCAGGTGCAAGGCTTGTGCGTACCACCCCCGTATGCCGCCTTGCCGCCGGTGGCAGGGTGAGTGCCTTCCCAGGAGCCTTTCGCCATATTACACACGCGGCGAAGGCCATCCAGGGGGAGTGCCTTCTCGCCGTTCATTTACCTTGCTCCTATGCACGCAGGGAGCGGCGGGCCGCGTGCAATGCATGCTGCAAGAGGCGCGTCCTGCTGGAGTCAACGGCGTTCCCGTAGGCTTACCCAAGGGGGCCGTTCCGAACCGACCCATCCTGGAAGTTCCCGACTGGGAGAACCAATACCGACGCCCCACCGGGCGACATCCACAACCCACACCCGCCTCCTTAAGCCGCCTCCGCCTCTTTTCCGGCACGTCCAACCCGGTAGGCCCGCGGGCTGGGGCCGGGTGCCTTTAGCGCACCCACAAAGGCGGCAGCACCAGCAACGACGCGACCTTTCGCAGGCAGCTCCTGCTGATGATGAATACTGTCTGTCAGCCTTTGCCAGGCATGCTGTCTGCTATGCTATCTCTTTTTTTGTGGAGATGGCCCACAGATATCACCAAGGCGAGCAAATGCATTTGGGATTTGGGTTTCCTTCTTCTATCCAATCTTTCGACTGCCCGGGGAGCGTCAACCCAGTCTGCACACCTGTGCTATGCTATGGGAGCACCGGGGCCTGTCCTGAAACCACTTAACCTCCGGCCGTTGGATGGATGGTCTCCACGCCTCCCGCAGATCCTGGCGAATGAGGTTGCGCACTATTTAGGACTGGAGCTAGGGAAAATCAAGTGCAAACGGTTTGCTGACGGCGAAATCTATGTCCAAATCCAGGTGCGCTGCGGTCCTGTGATTTGTCTGGTTTGCTTTCTCTTGTGGAGTCTTGAGGAGAGAGGTTTTGCTTTCTCTTGTGGAGTCTTGAGGAGAGAGGTGCATGGCGAGGAGAGCCTTGCGTAGTTCTTCCGTGCGTCCTCTGTTTGATCCGCCGCTGTCTCTGCGACCTTCCGGCAGTTGCAACACGGCAAAGGCACATAGACACATGTCATAAACGCATCATACACAAAATAGCACGCGGGACGAAAGAAGCTACACGACAGTATGCACATCACACACGTGTTTTTCCCGCCCACACTTCCCTGTTTGCCTCCTGCTCCACTCCCCTTACCTTGCAGGAGTCCATTCGCGGCTGTGACGTGTTTTTAATTCAGCCCACGTGTCCCCCCGTCAACGACCACCTTATGGAACTGCTCATCATGATTGACGCATGCCGCCGCGCTTCGGCCCGCTCCATCACCGCTGTCGTGCCGTACTACGGCTACGCGCGCGCCGACCGCAAAGTCCAGGGTCGAGAATCTATCGCCGCCAAGCTGACGGCCAATCTAATCACGGAGGCCGGTGCCGATCGAGTCTTGGCCATCGACTTGCACTCGGGACAGTGCGTCGGGTACTTTGATATTCCTGTGGATCATGTTTACGGGGAGACGGTAATTTTGGATTACCTGGCCTCGAAACGAATTGCAACAGGGGACCTTGTAGTGGTGTCGCCGGATGTGGGCGGCGTGGCGCGTGCGCGCGCATTTGCAAAGAAGCTGAACGACGCGCCGCTGGCGATTGTGGACAAGCGGCGCTCGGCGCACAACGTATCGGAGGTCATGAATCTCATTGGTGATGTGCGCGGCAAGGTGCGCGTGTCTGTCTGCGGCTGAGAGAGGTTCTGATCCGGCGGGGTGTGAGCCGGGCTTGGGGGAAAGCCGGGCTAAGCTTGGGGATACATTGGGGCGCCCTGACAGCCAACCCCTTCAGCTTATCAGAGCAGGAGGGGCAATACTCCCCTTTTCCCTGGAAATATTCCTAGCGATAGCAACATTATCCTCCTGCTGTTGCCGTCGTCGCCCGAATCGGGCGCTGTGCTGCCTACCGCTGTGGCGGTACCGCAGGTGGCGGTGCTCGTGGATGATATGATTGACACCGCCGGGACGATTACCAACGCGGCCAAGGTGCTGGCCAAGGAGGGCGCCCGGGAGGTGTACGCCTGCGCCACTCACGCGGTGTTCTCACCACCAGCAGTGGAGCGCCTATCAAGCGGTGTATTCCAAGAGGTCATTGTCGCCAACACTATCCCGGTGCCGCCGGAGAACATTTTCCCGCAGCTGACCATTTTGTCGGTTGCCAACTTGCTCGGAGAGACCATTTGGCGCGTCTACAACGCCGCGTCGGTGCAGGCGCTGCGAGATTGATTAATGAAGGGGGAAAGGAGAAGAAGGAATCGGCCAGAAGCTTAGAGAGCAGCGTTGGCAGCTTGGTGGATGACGAGCGTGTGGAAGAGAAGGCGGTATTAGAAGGAACCGTGGGTCGCTGCAGGTGCCATTGGGAGAGCGCCAGGCGATGTGTTCTTGATGTTAGCGGGGCAGCAGCCGGCGGTTTGCCGACCTCCGGCTTGGCAATGGAATGTGAATTCCGGATTTCAGATTCCTTCGCACTTCCTGCGTCAACGTCGTTGACGACGGCAGGCGCCCAAAATGGGTGAAGGGCACTTTCCGCCCTTCCATACTCTGGACTTTTCTCGTTTGCGGTGAGTGGCATGGACTGCGTGTTATGTTTGGACCCGTGGACGCTCACTGGATGTGAAGAGGTTGCGTTGCGGGCTGTCGGGACATCGGTGAGTCCCAGTTCCTAACCCTTGTCTGCGTGCTGTACACATGTCTTGTGTGCTGTACATGACCGACACGACCGACACGTGTTTTTGCGCACTGTGTGACGCTCTGGCTGGCTGGCTAGCTGGTTTCCTCCAGCCTGAGGGACGCACGTCAGGTCCTGTATGCAACGGAACGGACTGCTGTGTGTCAGATGGCCTGTCCCAATCGGCAGCGGAGCCTAGGCCCTAGGGCCGAAGGCCGAGAGTTGCACGAAGGAAGGAGTTATGATTGCAGGGTGGTTTTGAAGACCTCGGAGCTAGCCAGCTGGATGATAGCGGATTAGTCGAGGGCCGGACTGCAGAGGACCACAGCACCGGAACCATACACATTAGCTGCTGGCAGGTGGAGGGGGGTTCGGAGGGAAGGTGGTGTGGCTGTGCTCAGGCATATCTTCCGGTGCGTACGGACCAAGGGGACCTGCACTTACTGATTTCTTGCGTAGTTGTGAAGGGCCGTGTATGTATCGGGGATGCATGGCTTGGGTAGGGTTTGGGTTTTGGGGGAAACCCCAACTGACAGTTGTTGGGCTTTGGAAGGGGCGTGCGTGCCGCTGAGTAAGGAACACATGCGAGCGTGTGTGGACCCAGAAGGACACCTTTAGGTGCTAGGGAGAGGGGGATAATAGAGTAGTGCTGCCAACCGCCAGGATGGACGTTCTGCACAGTGCGCGCTTTGTTACGCCGGTCCTCATGTCTTTGGCACGGCACGGTATTTTGCGCGTGCAGGCGTCGGTGGCTGTGCCGTGTATTGCCCGTAGAATATTTTTCGCGATGGGAAGTGGCGAAGTTGGTAAGGAAAAAGGAAACAGCCGAATGACGCATGGCGGCACGTGTATTCTTGGGGTAAAGGGCCTTGTACAAATGGTAACTAGTGGCGAAGGCTGAACAGCTCCGGAACCAGGTAAGCTCTTGTGCAGCATTTGTGCGGAATTCTCGAGAGGGGAAGGCAAGCCACGCCACTAGACCACAGGGGGTGATGCCGCGGCCTGCCTAGAGCATCGGCTTTACAAGGGCCACAGCACCGTGCGGTTGGCCGTAGCAAACTTCTTGAGGTGATGCTGTCTGCTTTTTGCAGCGCAGTACGATACGGCGCAGAAAAAAGTGCTTGGTACAAATGACACCCGAACTGCTGGAGTATTTGTCAGGGAGACCTGTTGGATTTATGCTTAGCCTTAGCAATTTAAGTGAGTCATCTTTACCACGAAAAGGATTGCAGCCTTGAAGTGACCTTCCGCTTTGTACTTTCCTTCCGTTGAAACAGTCAACCTTGCATTGATTAGGAAATGAGAAAGTCACGTGTCCACGCTCCGTACGCCTGTGGTACATGTGATGCCTGGGGTGATTGAAGGTTTACGTGCAGAAGGATTGTGCTTTCACTACCCTGCGCGTGCCGCACATACACCAACCTAGCTTTTTCTGCTCGGGCGTCTTTATTTTTAGTGACCCTTTAGCCACTTCGCGACGTTGCAGATATGTGGCCGTTGTTGGGTGTCGAAATCAGGGGAGAAATACTGCTAAACGCATTATTATTGAAGACACGGCCCACGTGGGCTAACTATTGCGGCCGGTCTCCAAGGGCCTCATGTGGGGGGAAGCTATTGCGGATTCCTCCACGCTTACCTTCTTTGACGTTAGCGGAATCTATTATTTTACGAGCTGCATGAATGTTTGCTGCAAATTTACGACCTCTTCATCATGATTTGGACAAATATTGCAACCATTCATCCTTCGCATTGAACTTTCTGTACGACCTTAAACGACGTAACCGTCAAGTCATGCAATGAAATGACAACTTTTGACACGTGATGTCTTGCGTGACACATAAATATCACGTGCAATGTATGTCAGAGAACGTGAGCAAGCATGTTAAGGCCTTTGCCACTAACGGCGACGACGAGCAACCTTCGCGGACGCGCGCCCTACGCTTTTGTGTAGTTCGGCTACAGCCCCCATCAAACCGAGGGCCCTCTTTCACAAAAACGCCGCAAATCTCGCCCGACTCCAGGGTCGTCATACTGTGCATTCTCAGGCCTCCGGATTCCCCAGCCGCGGGGAACTCCGCGAAGGTTAAGAGTCAGAGGTGCAGCTACATCTTGAAGCCGAGACTGAAAGACATCTTCTTGCGGCCCTTCCCCAGAATCAGTTGTTGCTGCCGCTTCAGGTCCTCATCCTCTTTCTTCTTCCTGTCGACAGTAAAAGCACAAAGCAGATTGAGGGCGACACAAACCTTGTACCGGGTTCCTGAGATCATGTGTTTGAATGAACTGAGCCGCAAGGGGGATCTTGTGCGCGTGTTGCCGCTCGGCAGAACCAACCCCAGCCCTCGCCTTGACAGAATACAACAAAGAACCTGGCCTGGTGGTTGAGCCCCTCCCATACACCCCAGCACTTGAGACCACCTACCTCGCACACACCTTCTTCGTCACAAATGAAACCAAGAGTACGCTTTCCCCATTCATCCCCTGCGGGCCCTCCCCGTCAATCGAGTCTTCCTACACACCTCTCCTCTTCCTCCATCTTGGCCTGCTGCTTGCGCTGCAGCTCCAAGAAATGCTGCTCCAGCTGCCGTGCCTCTTCCTCTCTGCGCCGCTTGGCGGCCTCCTCCTCCTGGGGAAGGCCGCGCGAGATTCGGGACAACACCCGCAGGGCGAGGTTAAGGCAACACCACCCTGACGCTGACGCTGAGGCATCCGCAGCAGAATGTGGTACAGGACGTGACGTTGGCGATGCTGGCACGCACACACATGTACGCTAGAAGAAGGGGGATGCCGCAACAAGGAGAACTTATACATGATACCGAGACTCACCACGCCTGCCGCCCCGCCTTAATATCTAAAACCCACCTTCGCAAATCCGGTCTTGAATGCTACAACCAGTCGCGCACAACCCTTTCCAAAGCTAGGGGCCCGCCAACGGGACTGAATGCCGCTCCTTGAACAGGATTACAGTTAGATAACGCGGAAAATCGTGGACCGCCGCGTCTCCTCTAGCGGCCTCACCTCTTTTTTCCGCTCCAATTCCAGCTCTTCCAGCTCCTGCTGCTGCGCACGAATCGCCTCGCGCCGCGCCTCCTCCTCCCGGGCGGCCCGCTCTCGCTCCGCGACCAACTCCCGTTCAACCTACGCATTTTTCAATACGTGCGCGCAACGCAGGATTACGACTTAATTCGGGAAGAAAGAAACAAGCGAAGCGAAGAAAACATAAATTCCAGGTGTGCATGGCAGCGTAAAAAGGAATGTAAGATCTACAAGTTAAAACGTTCACATTTGAGAGAACAAAAAGCGCCCTGACCAAGTCGCTCTTCCGACAGGCGGCATTAAATGGCAATCAAGAAGGTCCGCAGGCGCCGCTGTAACTATGTTTTCTGCACCCCAGCCAAACAGGATCGAGACCCTGTCAGGCTAATAAGCACCCGAACACATGACATCATACAGCAAAAACGCACCCAGACGCACACCAAGAAAAATCGTTAGCAACCTGTTCCGTGAAGGAAACAAAAATATGCAAGCACCCGAAAGGGGCACTCCCTCCTTCATTTCGCTCACCTGTTCCTCTATTGCCCGCCGCTCCCGCTCCAACCGCGTCTGCAGCTCCCGCTGAACAGCCTCGCTGTTGAGTACCGCGGCCACCCGCTCCTCCACATACGCCGCCACCCGCCGCTCCAACTCCTCAGCCACCAGCCGGGACTGAAGCTCGGCACGTTTCCTGGTGTGAGTTCAGACCGGGTGGACAGGGGTTCTCAGATACGGAGGACACATACAAAAGCAGATATGGAATAACTAGGTAGGGAAAAGTAAGGAGGGACATAGTTGAACACAGGATAAAAAGAGGTGGAAAACAAGGTAGGAAGAGGGCAATGCCGTTAGGAGGAACCGGGGCACAGTCGTGGGAATGGGGAGGAAGAGAGCGCTTTCACAACATGAGGAAAAGCAGGCGCTTGGGCATGGGTGAGGAGCCTGGTCAGGCAGGCAGGAAGTGGGTGATGTGGAGTTGAGATAGAGGAGGAGGTCCCGTGAGGACGCGGCGCGTCGGTGCGCGCATCACAGTTGCGAGTGTGACGGCGGCCGGCGTTTTGGAATGGATGCGGCGGCTGGTGAATGCAGCTGTTCAACAGCATTAACATTCGCAGTAACGGAACCGGCTGCGGTGCAGCACAAAGGGACAAAGCGATCTTTTCGGATCCGCTGTAATCCGCTGATCTATCAAAACACACATACATACACACATATATGCATGCAAATTAGTGCTCACCTTTCAAGGGCCTCTGCGGAGAGCAACCCCGCTGCCCCGTCGTCATCTCCCGTTGCGGCTGCTACAGCTGCAGCAGCTGCTGCAGCTGCCGCGCTTCCTCCCTTAACCGCAGGTTCGACAGCTGTTGTCCCAGCCGCAACACCGCCTGGCCTGCCATCATGTGCCGCCGCGCGAGCCGGGCCCTGCGGGCCGTCAGCACCGCCGACGCGGTCGCGGCTCCGGCTCCGAGACCGACCTTTGCCTCGACTGCCGCTGCGGCGCCGGCTGCGACCGCGACTATGGCTGCGGCCTCTGCTGCGGCTCCTGCTGCGGCGGTTCCGGGATCTGGATCTGGAACGGGATCTGGAAGGTGACCTGGATCGGCTGCTGGATGAGGAGCTGGATCGGCTTCGAGATCTGGATGCAGATCTGTCGCGTGATCGGGACCGCGAGCGGCCCCTAGATCTGGATTCAGATTTTCCGCGCCTACCGGATGATCTGGATCGAGATGCCGATCTAGACCAGGACCGTGATCTCCGCCTCGCTCGGCGTTCTCGCTCTTTTTCCCGCTCTCGCTCTCGTTCCCGTTCTCGTTCCCGTTCTCGTTCCCGTTCTCGCTCCCGTTCTCGCTCCCGTTCCTTCTCTCGCTCCCGTTCCTTCTCTCGCTCCCTTTCCCTCTCCCTCTCCCGCTCTCGGTAATCCCGATCCCTGTAGTCGCGCGATCCGCGGTACGACGAGTCCCTATCCCGGTACGAATCACGGTGTACGTCCCGGTCCCTGTCGCGTCGGGGGGGGCTCCTGGATAAGCTGCGCCGGCTTCCGCCGCGCCGGCTATCGTACTTGTCGTACTTGCCGGCTGGAGACCGCGAACGCGAGGGTGAGCGTGAGGGCGACGCGCGCTTGCGGGAATCCTTGTCTTTCTCTTTTCGCTTGTCTTTGTCGGACTTCTTCCTGGTCGGCACGAAGGGAATATTGAGCGAACATCGCCCACCAGTGACGGCTCAAAGGGGGTGACAGCGGAATTCGGCGAATCCGGGTTTATTTCGGCTTACGGTTAGAGCCAAGAGACATGTGAACAAAGTTGCCGTACGGTTCACAAGGACAGGAGCACCGGTATAAATGCATGTGGAAAGGAGCAGCACTCACACAGAGTGGCCATGTACTGCACGGCACCCCTTGCTTTGGTTCGACGTATGTGGTGTGGCATTGCATGCAGGGCAAGGGCCATGGTTGGCTGGCGGGTAACATTGGCGGGTAAGGTGAAGAAGGCTCTCGTGTAAATGTGTTCCTTGTTTAGGGCTATAGGAGGACTCATATCAAGGGGAAAGCCCAGAGCAGCACAGACTGCTGCGTCAGCGGTTCAACGCTAGAGTACATGGTAACATGGAGGCGCACAGAGGCAATTGAATGCAGCAACAAACATGACGATGGACTTGATACTGCGCACCTTTCCCCAAGGCTTACAGTAACCTTGAGCCGCCTCAAGTTGAGCACCACTCTGGGTGCTGGTATGTCATTGCCAAGCGAGGGGCTTCATGAATGCAGGCATGAGTGGACACACATTCTGTGCCATCAACTTTCCCCCGTCCCCTTGCCATATATTGTCAACTTTCCCATAATGGTAGGGCAGCCACAACTTGTGAAAAACCGAAGGCAATAATACCCCGTGATTCGCACCCAGAGTTTACCTAGACGGGCTCCGCGAAAGCGACCGGTCCCTCGGACGCTTGCTGCTGCTTCCCATTATGCAGACACTCAAATCAATTCAGTACCATCATGACTGTGATGCTTCGAAAACACCTTGAGACACTTCTTCGCCGCGGCTGTCTAAAAGATGGCTGGCCAGGGGAATTTCAGGCTTTATGGCTATCTAAAGGACGGGCAATGGCAAATATAGGTGGAGACTTGGGCACAGTTTTCCTTTCCTAGAAGCAGGAACCAGGGCTCGGAGCGGCAGTATAGGGCGCCGTACAATCTGGTTGTCGGCAATGCAGCTCACAAATGCGGTATTCCACGAAATCACTTGTGTTATCTCCTTTCTTTGAGAATATTTGCCTGTAGCTTCTCTCCACTGCAGGCTTTCCCCGAACGCGTTGCTTCTGGAGCTCGTGCTGCATGTCCACTATTGATTAGCTTGTCGATCTGTTCGCAAGCACGCTTGAGCTTTTAAATGTTGCCCACTGGACGGGGGGCCTGAGCCCTTGACTTTGGGTGTCTAGGGGGGCGGCTGCAAGGGTGTAGAGGAAAAATGGCAGCCCAACCATCCGCCCCCGCGTCAGGCTCATGGAGTTTTGATTTGGTTGGTCAGCTGAAGCGGAAGTTTGGCGTTGGAGCTCAGAACTGGGATCGTTTCGCGTCGGCGGCTGACAGCGCGAATGAAAACTTGCGGTTGCCACCAAGCGGTGCGCATGTGACGTTGAAGGATCTTGCACGGTGAGGATGGAGTGCTTTGTTGTCATGGAGGAGAATGGAAGGCCCGTTGGGCCCGCGAATTCAATTCTTGTCCCGCTCTTTGTATTCCTTTTTTGGTGAAGCAGCCAATCCTGCTATTTTCAACATCTCGGCAGCTACTATGCCGTGCACATTTGCGTGACGTTACGTCCTCGGATATCACACATGGACTGTTTTATGGGAAGTTGATTGACTCCCATGCGTACTCGCCCCCTTTCCTGCAGGGACCCGTCCACTATCTCCGTCAACGCGAAGGATGAACCTGCAATACGGTCAGCCATTGAGGATGACAGTGGTTGGGTGGGAACCCCCGACCCAACGAAGTTTGCACCCGGCACCTCCGAGCTTTCCCCTCGCGAGCTGAAGGAGGAAATCGACAAGGGAAATGTAATGCTATGGAAGGTAAGCTTTCATGCAATTCTGTACTGCGCTCCTTCGATTCTACCATCGTATTCACACTTACCCGTTGTCTGGCCGCTACACATTAATGTGCCTGCGCCTCGTGCCACAGGACTTTAAAAAAGCTGTTTCGGAGCTGACCGGCGAAGACCGTGAGGCGCTGCTGGCAGAAGCGCAGAAGCGCATTTTGCAGGAACAGTACTTCTTCACCCTTAAGGATGGCTCCAAGGTGAGCTTCTAAACGAGCTGGACACGTAGACTCGCTATCTTGTGCGGACGGTGCGGTAATATCACCCTATACCGGCACAACGTCCATACCCCATTGCACTCAAAGAAGGTTACCCAAATGCAGACACGCGCTTTCTGACGGGGCCCCACGCCCTTTTGCATGCTAGAGGTAGATTCTATTTGTTGCCCATGATGGAAAATAGCTCCCCAATCTGAAGTGGGTTCCCGTTTGCATTCCACCACGTGCCTTTTGGCGCAAGCTTACCTGCTTCATCGAGCCACTACCGTGCTCGAACAGCTTTTCTGTTGTCGTTTGTCTTTTCCCCATGAGTGGATGGCTGGGACCTCTTTTGAGTCCTCTGCCGCTTAGATGCTCATGCTCGATCTTGCAACTGCCTGCACCCACATGGCAATCCCCTGCCATGTCTGCGCGCAGGTTTCCCTGTGGGACGTCTACGAGTACGTTGAGAACAACCCAGAGCTTCAGGCGATGTACGAGCGGCGTCGCGACTTTCAGGTTGCGAATCCGGATGATCCGGCTGGCCGGCCGCTCCCTGCGCAGGCCGCGTCAGGATTGGAACGCAGCGCTTCGTTGCCTGAGGCGGTACTGGCGCCCGAGGAGGCGAACGAGCTGGAGCTGGACTGGGTGAGTGTGTACTTGTGGGGTTGTCGTGTGTGTGTTTGTTTTTATGGCCAAATCTTTTATAGGTTGGCGCCGCTCGGGAAGTTCACCTCCATTTGCCTCGGTGGATTCATGCGGGAGTTATCACGGGTTGGGGATCTGTGTTTTGCCGCTTTCGCTCTCTGCTTTGTGTTCATGCACCGTCCGTTCGCTCACTTCTTGCAAGCTTGCTCTATCCTTGCCGGCTTGTGCAAATGTGATCAATCAAATACGGTGTTGACTGTATGGATCTGGGTCGGCTTCTTCCTGGACGGCTTTCATTCAGGGTCACATTGGAAGAGGAGCGCTCTGGCGACGGCGACCCACCAGGTGGCTGCGGGGAATGGACGGCGTCAAGGACTGGGACGTAGAGGTTTACGCGCATGAGCCCATGGCCAACCAGGTAATGGCCCGGTAGGGGATTTTCCCTTGTGTGTACCATTTGGTGAAACCTAGGAGCTTAAGGTCCCAGATCGCTGAGCCATGGTATGACGGTAGTATTGATTCAAGGGCCCTCATGATGATATACTTTGTTGTCTTCAGGTGCTGGGGCGGAAGTACGGTGGCCGCGACCCGTACGCTGTGGTTCAAGAGCCGTCGTACGCACATGACGTCGTTCGCTGCGGGCCGTTGCTCGGCATGACGTTCGTGTTGACTGCAGCTCGGGACCTCCCACTTCAAGAGGTTGCAAGGTGGGTTCAGGTGGCGAAATCATTTCTTTGGGTCCTCGAGTTATGTGGCGGAGCGTGAGGCCATGTGCCGCATAGGGGGAGGCTTCCGGAGCACCAGGCATGCATTTCGCTGTCCTGTGCATTCAGCTCTTCTATGCATTCTCCTGTCTGAGGTTTTGTGACTGTGGGCTGATGATGTACTTCACATTTAACTGCAACAATCATAATTAAGCCGCTCAGTAAGAGTGTGCTTTGCTGATTATCTACCACCAAGTCTGAAGCTCACATCATTGCTATATGTTGCACCTACTCCCAGCTCCGTTTGCTTATGATGCTAACACATAACTGCAACAATCACAAGTGATTGTCCAAGTGTCAATCCTTGATGATACATTACCACCAAGTTTGAAGCTAACGGAGATAGGGGGTTTTCTGTACAGACGAAGCGCGGCTAGGCCGGCTACTGTCCACTCCTGTTGCCGCGTCTGTGCACGTTCAGTACCATTTTGCATATGGTGAAAAAGCAATCGACTTTGTTTCTCGAGTCATCGGGATTCCACATGTATCCTTCTGCTTATGATGCCAACACATAACTGCAACAATCACAAGTGGTCGTCCAAGTGTCGACCCTTGATGATACATTACCACCAAGTTTGAAGCTAACGGAGGATGGTTGATTTGTGGCTTGCATAGCTCATTAGTCCGACGCGCATGCTTGCGTAAATGCAGCCTGGTGGCATTATTAGACATTTTATTGATGCCCAGGGATGTTTCAAGAAAGCTGAGTTATGTAGCATTCAAGCATCAGCACCTGTCCATAGAGCAGGGGGTTCATTTACGCCCGTCGGGAATGTGGTGTTTGTCGCGACCCGTCATAGTCTTTCTCATGATATGGATATTGGGGAAGGGGTATTGCTTTGGAGGACAGGCCAACCGCCTATTACACAAGACGTACATCTCTGCCAGACTTGTTCGGCTCCTTGTTCTGATGTTGCTGCATTCGCTTATGATGCCAAAATAAATAACTGCAACAATCATAAAGAGGCCGTCCTTCGCGGCGGCCCTGGATGATGACTTTACATATTTGAAGCGAAGAGTACTCGATTGGCTGGCCAGGCACTCGTTCGACTTTCCTGCTTTCCTGATTTCGCATTTGCTTTACTTCCCGTCGCCCTCCCCTCCTGCAACCATTTCTACTAATGCAGCGCTTGGCGCGACCTCTTGTCGTCTTACCTTCAACGCCAGAGCCCGTTGTCTGTACCACGCCGCTTACGGCCGTACGTGCTGGACACAACCGACTTGAACGGCGCCTCGTGGCCTCGGCGATTCCTGGATTGTTGTCAGCAGCAGGGTATTAAAACTGTGTCGTCCGCTACGAAGGGTGATGAGGCAGGGGACGACGAGCTGGGAGTAACTTGGCGGCAGATGGAGCAAGAGGAACATGGACAGTCGGTCCAGGCGGGCTTGCGGTTACTGCAGGTGCGCCCTGAAATGATTTTTTACTTCTTGTTGTCCTCTCGGTGCCTGGAGTAGGGCAGCGATCCCGATTCCTCGCAAAATGGCGCAAGGATATGTCGTGCCTGACGCTGCTGAATACCTCGATGGGAACGACCTTCCGTGCAATAGATAGATTCCTCCACCACGCACATTCTGGGCCAGTGACTTCTCAGGTTCTGTCGCTGCACGACCTGGGTATGTTTTCATTACGACACGCATTCCAAGCAAAGACGCGTTTCGTCCCCGCCTCTTGATTCGTCATCGTGGTGCAGTCGTTGCCAGAGACTGTGTGCCCTGGCACCGACCCTTCTTCGGGGCCCCTGGCTGGAACCTCTTTGGTCGACGACACGGGACGCAGCTGGCGCAAGGGTGGCTCCTTGTGGCTGACACTCGAGCCGGAGGGCGAAATCATCCTGCAGGGTACGTCGCAAAGCCCTGCCGCCTAAGAGGGCATGTATGTAGACAGCAGCCACATAGGGAGCTGTCAAGGACGCACGTCGGCATCACGTCCTGAGCATGTCGCCTGTGTGACATGCAGACACCCAATGTCGGCCTCTGCCAAATCCCCAAATTCCCTGGCGATTCTTCGCCAAAGCTTTAAAGCTCCTGACGCATCTTTTTCTGTTATTCTATTCGTGTGTTATGTCCTGGCCGCAGCTCAGAGCGCCGGTCTTGTGGGTGAGCAGGAGTCCTACCTGCTCACTCGGCTGGAGCGACAGGAAGCTTTGTCGGGCGCTGTGATGGACGCCTTCCTCGGGCCGCAGCCTGTGGACCCCTTCATGGCGGCCTCGGCCAGGTCCCTGCTGCTGCTACCAGCGAATGGCTTCACGGTGCGTGCAGTCCCAGAGGGCTCTTGTTTTTCTTGAACCCTAAAGTTTCGTCGTCTTGCCTGGAGAAGGAATGTCGCTTTGGAAGGCGCCTTTTGAGCTTTGTTTTAAACGACCATTCGTGCAGGCTGGGAACCGGAACCGAGACCCGAACCACCCGATGTTTTCTGACCCGGTACGACGGCAGCCCAAGGTGCCGGCAGACCCGGGCGCCTTCCGCTTGGTTTCCCCGAGCCAGATGGAGCGGCTCCAGCCTGGACAGTGCGGCACAATCCTTTCAGGTGTGTGAGCGGGGTGGTAAACCCGCTGTTTTAGCGTTCACAAGGGCTTTACCTGGTCCTTGCAAGCTCCCACACGGCCATGGCGGTTTCCGAACCCTTTTCGCCGGGATTTCCGTCAGACCGTGCTGTACATGGCTATGGACAGATGTTGAGGATTGCTAGGGTCTTGCCTTTCACCTTGGTTGTGTCGCATGTAGCTCCTGGCAGTGTATGCGTCGTTGCAAACCTTACTGCACGTGTACGGCAGCCGACGTGTTCCAATGTACTTGCAATAGGTGGGTGAGTCCTGCCTGCATAAGAAACACGAGCAAAGCAAGATTTCCTTCCGCTTGCATTTCTGGCAAAAATTCTGCACGTCTAGGGTCTATTGTGTTCGTTTTCTTGTTCGTCGGGTTGGTTTCGGTGCTTACATCTTATGACGCTATACCCCTCCTGTCTGCTTATGATGCCAACACATAACTGCAACAATCACAAGTGATTGTCCAAGTGTCAATCCTTGATGAAAGATTACCACCAAGTTTGAAGCTAACGGAGAAGGGGGAGCTTCCGTACAGACGAAGCACGGCTAGGCTGGCCACTGTCCACTCCTGTTGCCGTGTTTGTGCACGTTCAGGACCATTTTGCATATGGTGAAAAGCAATTGATTTTGTTTCGGGTCATCGGGATTCCACATGTATCCGTCTGCTTATGATGCCAACACATAACTGCAACAATCACAAGTGGTCGTCCAAGTGTCGACCCTTGATGATACATTACCACCAAGTTTGAAGCTAACGGAGGATGGTTGATTTGTGGCTTGCATACCTCAATAGTCCGACGCGCATGCTTGCGTAAATGCCGCCTGGTGGCATTATTAGGCATTTTATTAATGCCCAGGGATGTTTCAAGCTAACGAAGGCGTGGGATGCGTCTTCTACTGCACTATTGGATAAGTGGCCTGAAATGTGTTGTCCCCATCGTTCCTTCTTTCTCTGCCTGTTTGTCTATGTGCGTATTTTCGATTGCCAGGCATTCGTGAGGTCACGGTCGCTGGCGAGGTGCGGAGTCTGCTCGTCCGTGCATGTGAAGCTGCGGCGAACGCTGCTGAAGCCCCCTCAACATCCGGTGGGTCATCCGAAGTCTCGGTCGCCTCCATGTCATCGGATGAGGACATGAGGGAGCGGCAGCAGCGGGCGCGGGAAGCGGCTGCTCAAGTGCTACGCGAAGGCCTGGCAATGCTACGGCCCGAGGCCCGGAATCTCGTGAAAAGAGTAGTAGCCACTGCGGCGTCTCCGGCTGGGGACGTGTTGTTACCTGAACTGCAAGCATACCATGGGCCGGATGTCCACCTCATGCCGGATCTATTCAGCCTGGCTCGCAGTTTGGATGCAAGCGACGAGGCGCAGGACTGTGTATAACTTGACTATAGGGGCGCAGGGCAGCGCAGGCATAGCGAGTTTGGCGACGTGGTGGGGCGGGGTTGCAGGCGGACAGCGCAGTGATGCGCAGCACGTTGATTTCCTGTTTGCGCCATGTGGTGTAGGATTTTCGTGAGGTATATTACATCGCCATCCATGGCTCTTAATAGTAGTGGCCTGTAGCAGGCACTTTTAGCAATGTAGTGCGTAGTGGTGGCTCTGTGCGTGACAAAGTTTACTTGTTCAAGGCACGTTTTTCTGTTCTCGATAGTGGTCTCTTGCAATGCACGATACGTGGTGAACTTTTGCTGCTTGTGCCCAAATGTAAGCGACAGAGGTTGCTAGTCGTTGATTTCTGTACAACACATTGTGTACGGTCCCTTCTGATGTGTGCAGTAGCGGCAGTTGCACTTCACCTGTTCCCCTCTTGGCCGCAATTTTCCTGCCTTCAGCTTTTTCTTAGTGCAGACTTGCCCTGATACTTGAGTTTGTCAATATCGATAAGACCGCAAAACTTAGAAGCAGTACAGCATTACGAACTCGTGAAAGCCCGAACAGGATAATGATTGGCCGACTCGCTTATAATGTTTGTTGACATCAACTCAAGTCGCCAGATGCCGAAAGGTATTCCAACTCTAGCACCCAGCCACAATTTGAAGGCCGCGTGAGGATGAATTTCAACGGCTCTGGTACTCTAGACACATATCAACACAGACGCATATCGACGGATGAGCAGGAACCTGTACACTGCTACAAAATTAATGATTTATGTAATGTGAATCGCACCACCCGCATATGCATGAGAGGTACACGTAAAATCTCTGGCGAGCTAGCCGCGGCCCCGCCAACCGGAGACATAGAAGCAGGAATGTAAGGGACGCTTCACACTGGAAGGGACGTCGACATCTCCGTGACCACGAACGACACGACGAGGTACACAAGACGGATAACCGCAATCAAGCCCACGCTGCAGCGGCTACACATGCCGCGACATGGATGCTGCTCCTGCGTAGGTCCACTAGGTATACCCGAATACCTATCACATCCTGAGCACAGCGCCACCCTTGTGCGTGCGTTACGTTACGAAAGCGCCCTTGCAGGGAGGCTCTCAACCAACACGTCATTTCCTCTGGTTCATCGAGCAGTTATTATTTGCGACAGGACATCCGGTGGCTGCGGACCGCAGAGCCCTGCACAGTACCGGCAATCCTCAAGCACGTCCGAAAAAACCACTATCTTGTCCACCTTTCACGCCTGCGTCACCGCAGGGCAGGCAGCACGAAAGATAATACCGCAACATACCTATAACACGTATGGTTCCTATGCATTATGAGATTTCTCTATATCCTAATGATAACCTTTCATGATGTTATGCCATATGCCTAGCGCTGCCATGCTAATGCGCAAAAAGTAAATCCCAACCATCGACGAATCATCACGACTCTGCGCCCTGCAAGCCTTTGTGTATGCTCACGCGCACATGCATATCCAAACGCTCTAAAAACGGTACTTGCTTCGGCCCCCCTCGCTGCGGTAGGAACGCTGCGCGCCGTATTTTGTGAGTCCATCAGCTTCCCACCTCGGGCTCGTCCATCCCCCAACGCTCAGTCAAACAACGCTTCGGTCACCACCAAGCACACCAAGCTATTAAGCTGCGCCTCCATCTGCGTCTCAGCCGCTCCAGCAGGCGCCGGCACGCTTGTGTGACGAGACTCTAAGCACAGTAACTTGGCCTCCACCTCACGCTCCCAGACATCGCACTCCACAATCCGCAACTTTACGCAATCACATACCCCCGATGTGCGCCCCCGCCCGCCACGGGGGAGAACTCGCCAGGCTTCTACGCTGCCGCGCGGTGCGGCGGCAGCGTCCGGTGAGGTTGCCCAGCCCGCCGCCTCTGCATCTGGGTCACTGCCACCGCTACCGCTGCTTTGTGCATCCCAGGAAAACAGGCTCATGCTGCTGCTGCGACCGCTTTCGTAGCCGCCGCACTCGTCCGCCGCTCCGCGGCAATCCGAGCCCAGGGGACTAGGAATGCTGCTGCCGGAGCAAGAGGAGGCGGCAGTAGGGTCTGAGAGGGGCGGTACCTCCACAGACTCGTGCAAGGGCGGAGAAGTGCTGCTGAACGCCGACCTACCGCCGGCGCCAGCGACTAAATCAAGACCCAGATTGGACAGTTGAGTAGCAGCTAGAAGTGGTGGGGCTACGTAGGCAGCAGTTGTCGCTGAATTGGCCTCCAACAGCGCGCCTTGAGTTGAGGAGAGATCAACCTCCGTAGCGGCCAAGCACTCGCCACGCAGCCAGGCAGAGAAATACCCTGCACTTCCAAGCTGCCGTCCCCAACCGATGCCGCTTGAAGAAGCATTCACAGAAGCGCTACCTGATGCGGCTGCATTAGCCGTATGGTGCACATGCGCCTGGGATGCCGGAGGGCTGAGCTTCTCTGGGTCCATCCAAGGCGCAAAATAATTGTGGCTTTCAGTAATTGGAAAGCTGTTCCAGTTAAAGTCATCGTCTTCGTCGGTCGACATAGAAGGTGGCGCAGCACGATGAGACGCTGACTTGAGACACGACGGCGAAGACTCGCCGCCAAATCCCGACAGGAAGGCCGTGTCGAGGGAACACCTCTCAGGCGATGTAGAAGGTGGCATGCAGGCTCTCTCAGGCCTTACCAGCTTGTGCAAAGGAGGTTCTGCCCCGTCACGTATTTGCGCATACTCGTCCAAGCCTGTCGCGTCCAATTGCGCCGGCATTCTAATCATTTTTATGTCAGTCCCAAGTAAAAAATAATATATATCTTGCTCGTCGCGGAGTTTATAAAAAGGCTGTTCTTGCCTTATAAGGTTGGCCTGCAGGAGCGGTATTCAGTCAACGTCACTGTTAGGATGGTCAAGCTGTGTGCAAGAATCGTATGTATTTTTGATGAAGAAAATTTGGGCACGTCCATCATGTCAGCTTCTGGAAGGACGCTTTGGGTGCTTTCGCCGACGTCCGTGTCGCACCGCAGGTAAGCGCGGTTCAAAGAGACACAAGAGCCATGATCCTTGAAAGTAAGACTGCCAATGCAAATAATTAAGAAGGCTTACCTATTTTGCATTTCTCGTGGACAGCTTGGCGCTTTTCATTCGACCAGACGTGACCATCGGCGGGAAGTTATTAGGTACCAGCCATTTACCAGGCGCTAAAATTTCTTGGGTTTAATACAGCTGCTTCTAGGAGCTGCCGATTGAGAAAGAAGCTCACGCTGCTGCAGCCTGAGTCGGCAGCAAACTTAGTAACCGACGTGTACGGACATTGCTAAACCAAACAATTTGTACACGATTTACGGCGCACAATTAGATAGCTGCAGATAGACATCCTGTAACCCTCACTGAAGTCATTAAAGATAGATCGTTGCAACCGCCGGCATTGGAAACAATCAAAGCCCACATTTAGCCCTCCACTTAAATTTTGAATCGTCCAATAAAAGTAATAAATAAGGCATAAAAGCTTGATAGCCGGAGTGACAGCTGGGAGTTATTGAGTAGTTTTTTGATGGGTAAATGAAAACCACCATGTTTGTGTGAATGCAAGTTACGCTTTAGCTAAGTAGCAAAGGAGCTTGCGTGATAGTCAATGTCCGCGCACTTTGTCGTCCATGACTAAGGGGCCGGCCACTAGCGGCGGCACCGCGCACCTGCAAATCCTACACATCCTCCTCATCCCCAACTTCCCCCACAAAAAACCTTCATTCAGGCAACATCACCGATGAGCTTTCTTGCTGTGGCGGCCAATGTTGAGTGACCCACAAGTGCCATCTTGGGCACCTGATGCACGCAGCAATCTTACCGAACATATAGTTCATGGACACCCACATAATACTCATATCATCAGAACCCAAACGAAATGAGCCATCAACCCTAGAGGCCCTATAGCCCTCTAACCGCGCTAGGACAGATATGCAGGTGGATTTGAAACAGTCCATGACGCACCCACGACTCTCATAATTACACAAACTGCTGAAACTTTGGCTTTTCAGCACGTACTAACGCTGCGGTTGCATTGTTGTTGTTTGCATCGCCCATGCGATTTGAAAGTCCCAGCGAAAGCTCCAGCGAATGGTAACCATTAAGATAATTTTTTTTACTTCGATTTGAAAGCCCCAGCGGATGGGGACGATGAGTATACGCTAAGTATCAAAATTATTCCTCTATCGCAAACGCACCCCCGAGAAAAGGTTGCGACATTCTCCCGCGGCATCTTCTTCTTCCCGTGCGCTGCAGTTACAGTTTATACAGTTGCAGTATCCGCACAAGTTCCGCAGGTTCCGTCTAAGCCGGGGGAGCCATGGACCGTTGGTGAAAGTTCATGTTACGGTGCCTTTGGGGTGACTATCGTCATCCATCCCGGCCCCTGTGCAAGTGCGAAGCGCCGGAGAGCTCTGCGCGCCTAGCCTCCCAGACCTCTCTCAGAGAAAGCTGCTAGCTGAGAGAATGCCAGCGGGGGATGCCAACCTCAGTCATGATGGTGCGCATATTGCGCCCCATATTGAACCCCGAGTCACGCCCATGCTTAGCCCTCAAGCCATCATAAGCATTGCATTCTCAAAACACATGTAATTCGTCTTCCACCGCTCCACAGTCGCAAAGCCTGCGGGTACGTGCAGCATGCTCACGGTCGTGGGGCGCCTGTTGACCTCCAGAGCTCCCAACAGCCCATCCTAAAGGTCATGAGGACCTGGTGCAATCGCTACTAGTAGGGGAGGGCGGTCCCCGCGTGATCTAGCCACCCTCGGGCGCGGCCCCCCCGAGGGCGGTGGCGCCATCCAGTTATGATAACGACACGCCCTGACCCCGGGGCCACCGGGGTGGGGAAGCCCCTGGGTTCGCTCAAGGTGTTCTCGTGTTATCGCACGTCCCGACGTGCATCCCGCCACTTTGAAACATCCGTCAGGATGCTCCCAAATTTAGGGGGAGCCTGAGGGTAGGTGGCTTAATGCCGTACGGACCACCTCTTTAACGGAGCGGCGCAATGTCCGATGTCGCCCTTCTTTTATTCAACGGCTGTATGGTGCAACACTGCCACGACAGCCTCATAGTACCTTCGCAGCAACCGTGATGTACGTTTCTGAAGTAATGGACCCTGTGCGTACGGCACGTACACATACACATATGCCGTACGCGCCGTCACTGCTGGCCTACAATCCACCGTCCCGTCACTTGTCGTCCCCTCATGTGCCGTACATCGCTGAGGACCCTACTGCCATCAAAACCCCTGAAAGCAAGCGTCGTACTGTACGGCACCTGGCTGCGCAGTGCTGCCGTCCAGGCGCTCCCACACTCGCTCGATGGTGGTGGGGACAACGTCCCGTGGGTCGGTCGTGCCCCAGCCGTCTGGTCCGTCCGGGTGCGGGGGCAGATCCTCCATCCAGGTGTAACGACTAGTCGCGGCGGCGGCGGCGGCGGCGGAAGCGGCGGCGGAAGCGGGGGAGCCGTGGGTTACGGGAAATGGCTGCGAGGGTCCCGGGAGTCCATCCTGACGGGGCCTGATCCGCCGCTCCAGGGGATGTGTGTGTGGGGGGGGGAAAGGGGGGGAGGGGGAGGCAAGGGAGGTAGATGTGGAGGGCGGCGAAGAGGGAAGAATGGGGGGTAAGGGGTAATAAGGGGTAAGATAAGCGATATGTGTGTGTGTGTAGAGAGGGAGAGGAGAAAGCTGCTGTGTGAACCGGATAGACAAGTCGTACATGTTAGTCGTTAGGTATGCGGGTTTAGAGTGGGGCGAACACGTCCACTCCAGGTAGCTCAGAGAATACATACATACACACATGCATACATACATACATACATACATACATACATACATACATACATACATACACAGCTGCCCCCCCACCTGCACTGGATATCCCTCCAGAAAGCGACCATCAAGGTGATCCGGTACTCCTCAGGACGCGGACTGGGGCCGCGACCCGGAATAACACCTGGGGGGGTTGGGGGGAGTGAGGGTGGGGGGGATTTGGGGGGGAAAGATTTGAGGGGGAACTGCAAAAGATAACAAAACATCAACTGCCAAAGGTGGGGAGGGGAGGGGAGGGGAGGGGAAAGGGAGGAGGGGGAAAAGACCAGCAAACGGGTAGTTGGTTGGTTGGTTGGTTGGGGTCTTGGGGTGCTGCGAAACAGAGCGGCAGTAGCAACGACCCAACGACAACGGCAGGGGAACACAAGGGATAAAATAAATACAGAAGAACCTGTAAAGAGTACTTAATGTACATAAACATGTACATAAATAATAAAGCCGACCGCAAGAAGAAAAAAGAATTCAGGAGTAGTAGGACGGATGAAACCACCGCGACACCTCACTCACACTCACACGAACCCCTGAACTAAAACCCCTTACCTCCCCCCGATCAGGAGACGGTACACACAACCCGAAGCCAAAGTACTGGCAAACTCCCATCCACCCTACTCAAATTTCCCCTGCCGTACCGTGCAGTACGGTACTGTCAAACATCCCCAGTCTATTTTCCGCGGGGTATACCAGCCAGCCGTGCGGGGCCAGAGGACCGCCCAGGAGCTTTTTTTGGGGGGGGGGGTGAAAGAAGGGGTGGGAAGAGGAGGGGTGGGAAGAGGAGGGGTGGGAGAAGAAGGGTGGTTGGGAAGAGGAGGGGAAGAGTAGTTGAAGGGGGGTAGGCACAATACGATTTGTAATATTAGGTAAATAACAATTGCTGCCGTCCGCGGTGAGATGGGGAGAAGACTTCTTTTGCGAAAATGCACAAATTGCCAAAGTCCCGAGGCTTTAACTGCCTGTGGGTGGAGGGCGGGAGGTGGGAGGAGGCGGGGGCATTTACGGTTTAAGAAGAGGCACGGGAAGGGGTGGAGGGGAGGGGAGGGAAGGAAAGACCAGAAAGTGGTTAACAAGAACGAGGAAAGAACGCGCAAGTTGAACCCGCACTAACTAATACACACACATACATACATACACGCATGCCTACACAAAAAAAATCACTTGCTCCTTCCCCTCCGCCCTACTCCCCCAAGCCCACCCACACCTGTGGCGTCACCAGCGTGGGGCCCCCCACAACCCCTGTATAGCGGGGTTATCCGGGGGATTGAGTGGAGGGGGGGAAAGGGGGTAAATGCAGGGGGGGGAAGTGCAGAGGGCGGGGACGGAAAAACACACACAAGCGTATGCGGTGGTGAAGTGAGAGAGAAAATGAAAACCAAATTGCAGGAAAACAAGTGAACCAGGGCTGCAGGGCTGCTGTCAGCCAGGTGGTGTGTGTGCGGGTTGATTTGAAAGAGACAGAGAAATACAAAAACACAAAACACGAAAAAAAGAAGAGGGAAGGTAGCAAGTACACACAAGGTATAGGCCTTCGGGCAAACCACTGAACCAAAGAAAAGGAAGGAGGGAGTCAACGGCGGCAGAGTCAACGGCAGAGAACCGATTCGAGAGCCGGGACGGGACGGAACCACCCGAACATAAAACATTTCTTAACAGTTCTCATTTCCAAATATGTCTCCATTTTAATTATTTCAAATCCATTTTAAAAGTCTCCATTTCAAATCCCTCCCACACCGCTCATTCCATCTCTTCCTCCCCCACGCACCCTCCCCCCCCCACCGAACACGAACGCACAAAACAGAAAACCCTAAACCCCCCTGGAGCAGCCTACCCGTCAGGTAGATGACGCAGCTCACAATGGGGTTCCGTACACCGCCCACTCCCTCATCGTCGCTGTCGAAGTGCAGCTGGTGGCCCGAGGGGTGGCGGCGGCAGTGCGCCCACCACTCGGCAAAACGAGCCTCGGCGACGGCGGGGAAACGCTGTACGGCAATGCGGTGCAGCAGTACGGCGGCCTGATGGATGGCGCTGAGACAGGGGGCGCCCTGAGCAAAGAGGGGTAAGGGGGCAGGGTGAGAGGGGTTTAGGGGCTGTAAGCAGACAGACAGACAGACAGTTTACCTCCTCTTTCTTCCCCTAACCCCTAGAATCCATCCATCCCGCCTTCTCAATCCCCCTTTTCCTTCGCCCCCCACAGATAAAACACATTCCCCCCGGCTCCCCCACGCGCCCTCGCATTCACACCCTCACCAGTTCGTGCATATACGAAAAGTACCCGACTCTGCCGTATCCGTGTTCCGACCAGAAGCGGCTGTTGGGAGACAGAGCGGATCTAAGGACTTTCAATAGCGGGAGGGGCAGTGCACCGTCCACTGCTCGTACATAGCGACTGTAGTCCAGTAATGGGGTTGGCGAGGCTGGCGAGGGTGAAGGAGGAGGTTGAGGAAAACCCGCGGCTGCGGCGGTTGTGTCGGTTGCGGCAAAGTCGTTCCCGGAAGCAGTGGACGCAGCGGTGGTTACGACGGTTGTTGTGGTTTCGGAGGAGGATGAGAGACGCGCATCCAAGGGGTAGTGCAGTACCTGTTAAAAAGTAAAAATAATAATAGTAATAAATTAAAATATGTTTTGGGGGCGGGAAATAGGTGTATGTGGGCGGGAGGTTCGAGGGGTTGGGGGGTGGGGAAATCATGGGTTTACGGCGGTTAAGGGGTCCAACTGTCAACCAACGTCTGAAACACCGGTGAGGGCGTTGGTTGGAGGGTATGGGGGAGAGGGGGAGAGGGCAAGTGGGCGAGAGGGCGGATGCCGACGGCACGAAGAAGGTCTTGGGGGGAATTCAGGTCTATGAGTAAACCCTAAAAACCCGAACTGGTTTGCTGTGGTGCTCGCATACTTCTATTATCTCAATTTCTAGCTGGCGCGGGGAGACCGGACCGCTTCCACAGAGGTAAGGATCTACAGATATACATATATATGTACTAAACATAAATGTAAATACAGAAATGTATTATAGGACTATACAGACAGCCAAGCCAATAAAACACGAGTATTCCACATTTCGCACGTGGCGATTTCAACACCCTAAACCTTCGACCCGCCCACATCACCGCCCGCAGCTCATCCTCAACTGTGACACGCCGCCTGGCTTTCCTTGTATATGTATGTTGGCACAGGGTGTTAACTTCCCAGCGGCCCCCTTTCCCGGGGCAGTCCTGCTCTCCCCTGCTAGAGGGGCACCCTATTCCGTCACCCCATCCGACTTCAGAATGTATCGTTGGGTTCGGGCAACTCACCACCAGCATCCAACCAAATCTAGCGGATCAACGGCGCATCAACTTAGTTCCTGGTCAGCTCGCAAGATGATATTATCACGTCCTACACCGTCCATATGATGGGGGGCCACCTCCCATTACATCACTCCTCAAACACCCGAGGAGCTGGCAGGCGGATTTGAACCCGGGTCGACTGGATCGACTGGGAGCAGAAATCAGGCCTTAACTTCTACCAGCCGCCTGCCATATGTATGTATGTACGTACGTATATGTATGTATGTATGTATGTACGTACGTATATATGTACGTATGTATGTGTGCGTGTATGTGTGCTAACGGCCGCTCTCCCCCCAATCCAATCCTCTAAGTGCCACCCTCTAATCGCTAGCTGTACATTCGCCATTCGAAACCTCTTCCTCCCTCCCCTCCCTCCCCACAAAACCCCCTCTCCCACCCACCCCACCCCAACCCCCAATCCCACCCCACGCATACACACATACCTGCCGTGCGAGCCTGTGTGTGAACTCCATGGCTTCCAAGTACGGCACCGCCTCCTCATCCCGACCCGCCTGACACAACAACATCGCCAGCGACCGTACGGCACCTTGCCCCGCCTCCCACTCCCGCCGACATGCCGCATTGGCCTCCAGCAGCAGCAGGAACGACGACGACGACGATGATGATGACGACGGGTCCTCTTCGCCAGCCCCCCCTCCTCCCCCCCCTCCTCCCCCCGCTAGCAGCCTTTCCGCGACCCCTATTGCGGCTTTGAGGCGCTCCTCCGCCTCTGAGAGGTGGCTCGGGTGGTCGGAGCGGGCCAGGAGGGCCTGGACTGGGGCGGAGATACCACGAGAAATATCAAGGGGTACGACGAACCACTGGCGAATAAAGCAGATCTTCAGTACTTTATGTTTTTTTCAGTACCATATACATATATATATATATATATATATATATATATATATATATATATATCGGGGGGGGGTATAAGATGACGCATAAAAGAAAGAGGAGGAGTCAAATACCGACTGACATCTAAAGTACTAAAACTGCCGTACGGGTTAAAAGGATAGGGGCCCCTGGCAACGACATCAATGCCCCGGGGGGGAAGGGGGAGAGAGGCAGGAGGGTGAAAATTACATGGTAATGCAAGAAACATGGGGTTACTTGCCTTGCCGCGGCCCCATTGGCACACAGTGGAGGGGCGGGGATTGCATGACGGTGCTGTTGGCTTTGCTTTATGCATCATCATCATCATCATCATCATCATCATCATAATAATAATAATAATTATTATTATCATTTTATTACTATTATTATTATTATTATTATTTGTGATTTCCCCTGCCCTCCTCCCTCCCACCTTCGTTAATTCATGAAATCATGATACACACATCATGACATTCCCCTGCCGCGTTTTCCCGCGTCTTCCCGCGTTTTCCCGCCCGCCTGAGGCCTCACCTGCCCCAGTGCCGCCCCCGCCGCCACGAAGTCAGGGAACAGCTTCAGCGCCGCCTCCAGATGCAGCTGCTCTAGAAGCTCCTTCCGAGGGAACATGCGGCCCAGTAGCCTGCCTGAAAATGTCGGTTGTTGGTTGTTGATTGTTAGGGCAATTTGCAGAGATAGCATCATGTGGACGAGCGGGGTAGCCGTACATGTAAATTGCAAAAGAAAAAATGATGTGCATTAACGTCCGAAGAAGTAGTCGGAAAGGCGGGAAACGGCGAATGAGGAGAATGTAAATTGAAAAAGATGTGCATTCCTAACATCATAAGGGCCGTAGCAATAGGAGAGCTGCAGATTAGGAGGGAATGCGAGTCTTAAGCGATGGTGCTTGTGGGTTCATGTTCAAAAGAGCTGCAATCTACGAACGAATAATTCAGTTATGTGTGTTCGTTGCGGTGCCACGTGACCATCACCGTACCAAATCAAAAAGTCCTTTTTGTGCAGGAAGCACGCATTTCGGTTGGTTTCTGTTGGGCATTCGTAAGTGTCGTACCGATCTCGAGGTGCGCGCTGGCCAGCAGGAACCCCGGCTCATCTTGCCAGTCCCCGAGATCCAGATCCAAGCTATGTCGTACCACGCCGCTGTACGACGCCATTCCGGGCTCGAGAGCCTCTAGCGCCGCCCAGGCCTCCGCCAGCGGGTCCATGGCCCCATTTGCCGATGCCTGTGACTCGCCCCCTCCATGGCCTTTCCCAGCCGCAGAACACCCGTTACCCGCGCTAGCTACTTCTGGGTTCATGGTCGTTATTGGCGTCGTCGTTATCATCGCTAGCAACGGCGAGTTGCCCGCGGCTGCTGGCGACGGCTGCGTAAGGCCCATCTGGGCCTGCAGCAGCCTGCAACAGGCCGCCAGGCCGGTCAACGCTTCCGCATCCGCACGCGCGCTGGTGGGCGGAGTCCAGTTGCGGATTGCTAGCAGACTACGCTTGTAGAGAGACAGGGGAGTAGGCGCACTGTGTAAGGGAGAAAAGAGGGGTGGGGAGGAAAAGGTGGAAGGCGCGGGGCGGTTCCGAGTTTCGGCTTTCGATAGAGAAGTGGCGTACATTATGGTCCAGATGTATAAAGGCTCGGATACTGTGATACATGAAAGGGGGTAAATGATAGAGGTTTGGTGGATTCGGGCTGAGTATTGATGCTAGACGGCCGCTCAGCAATCAGATGTGTCGGGGAAATGTGGTCAGGTTACCTCGGGGCAGCTGCACCCTTCCGCTTGGATACGCTTCCTTTTGGCGCCATGACGGAGGCGGATTTAACACTGGGTAATTGGAGTTTTATGCTGGCACGGGTCTGGTTCTGGCGGCGGTCATGTCGCCGACAGCAGTTGACTTGGACGCTACTAATGGAATGAATATCAGGCAATATCGCCGCAGAGGAGACTTTCTACATCGCCATGTTATTAGACGAACCTTTATAAGGCTCAAAGTGTGACCTGTTTGGCCAAATTGCAATATGTGCAAGTCGTACTAGAGGGCTGACTCCCTTAGCACAAGACTGCGCAGCGAGAAGCAGTCTACGTGATCCTATTGTTTTTTTTATTGTAGATATAGGGTTAGGGTTTAGTTGGATTTCTTATTTAGGAGGTCGCGACCGACCCAGGGCCAGCAGTTTTTTTTTCGTGACCGCTGCATCCTCATGGCCACGAACGAAAATCAACTCGATGTACTGCTTCAAGCCGTCGAAGAGGTGGTTGAGCAACCGGAGGACCTTGAGGGCTGTGAGAAGCTCATTGAGGGCAGCTCCTTGAAGAACAACTTCCTTCGCATCGGTCAGGCCCTTGTGACTATAAATGATCGGAAACTTTACAAGAGGGCAGGCTCATCATCGTTTACGCAGTACATAGAACAGAAGAGCGATTTTGGGTTTGGGCCTCGGCAGGCGCTGCGCTTGCTCGCGGCCACGCGCCTGGTTCGTAACTTCCCTCCTACCATTGCCCTTCCCACAAGTGAGCGGCAGGTGGGCATTTTTGGAGCAAATGGCGCGGCGTATGCTTGTTGCGGAAATGTTAGCGGACCCAGTGGTCACTTACTCCTTGGCTGATGCCATATGGTGTACGCGCATGCCTGACGCTTGAAAATGACCAATTTAATACGCTTTTTATTTGTCGGAGGCTTAATGGCAACTGCTGGTGCTTTTGGCAGGCGCATGTTTGTTCACCGGGGTATCCCAGACACCACGAAACTTTGGCAGAATATTTTTTCAGGGATTACAAGATCATACATTTAGGAAGGGGAATTAAAGGATTGAGATTCGCGGTTCTGCCTTTTGCGCGCGCTTGGCTGCTTGAACTGGTGTCCTCACGGCAACTGTCATTTAAAGCAATATCATTTGCAGGTGTCCCTTAGGAATGTATCGTTCAAAGTATACCCTCGAAGGCAATTCCGGAACGCCGCGCTTCGGAACATCATCGAGCGTGGCTACCCTTGACATCCTCTTTATCTCAAGCTTTACGCATATTCACTACCAAAGCCCTAAACCTTCCTACCGCGTCTCAACCCAGATACGACGGAAAGAGCTTACCTTCCTGTCCCTCCTCAACCGGGTTTGACCCACTTCCAGCTCTCCGCCGCTCCCCCGCTTCCCCATTGCGGCCCAATCTCTCCCGAATCGCGATTACTGCTGTTCTACACTTTTCCATCTTCGCCTCTCTTTAATTCTCTCCCTCTTTACATCTCTCTCTCTCTTTCTCTCTCCCCTCCCTTTCTTATCTTATATGGCCTTTCCGGCTTCCTCTGTCGTACTTCCTCTGCCGTTCCCTTTCCGCTGTCCCTCTCCTCTCTCCCCAACAACCCCCACCCATACTGCAAACCCAAGTCCCCCCCGCCTCCAAACCCCCCACCCCCCACCCCCCGCTCCCCCGCCACACCGCAGGTTCGCGCCCTGGTGGGTTTGGAGCAGCAGCAGGCCGTCAAGGTGTGGGTGAAGGCCAACCTGATCGCGCAGGAGACCGGGGTGCCCCTCACTCACCGTCTCGTAGAGTCAGTGCTGGGAAAGGAGCTGCCAGCTAGCTATCGGCAAGCCGCGAGGGACTGGCAGGTGGGTGGGGGGTGGGGGGATGGGGCCGACAGCGGGGGGAAACAGGGGGGTTGCGGGATGAAGGGGGCAGGCTGGCTGTGCTTCGATGAGGAAGTGGAGGAGGTGCAGGAGGCGGTGTACATTTCTATCTGTCCGAGTGTCATATGATAAGGACAAGGAAAAATGGAAGCTTATCGCAAGTGAAGAAACTGGAAGTTTTTTACGTTACAGCAGGGGTACGGGCATTGCAGCGGCCGTACAGATACCGCCGTACAGCAGCTGCCAATACCGTATACCAGGGCGCTATATTTGCCCCCCTCTCGTTTCCTAACTGCCGTTGTGTAATGGATAAAACCCTAAGTCCACGACATCCCCTCGCCGTGTTTCATTTTGCACAGCTCACCCGTCCGCAATCCTGACGCATTCCCCCTCCCCCCCACACACACACACCGCTCTCCTTCCGGGTCTTCTCCCCTCCGTACACATAAACGTACCCACATACACCCACGTGTACGACAGGACTACGTATCCCCCGACTCGGAGTACTACGCCACGCCACCCTATATCCTTACGGCTGTACGGAAACTGTACGGCGGCGCCATCGATCTGGATCCTGCATCGGACGAGAAGGCCAACGAGGCGGTCCAGGCGGCCAAGTTCTACACCGCGGAGGAGGACGGACTGTCTCCAGAACTCCCCTGGAGCGGTAAGGTACGTCATGATTTGAAAAACAATGTGGTGATGGTGATGGTGGTGGTGGCGATGGTGGTGGTGGTGGTGGTGGTGGTGGTGGTGGTGGTGGTGGTGGTGGTGGTGGTGGTGGTGGTGGTGGTGGTGGTGGTGGTGGTGGTGGTGGTGGCGATGGTGGTGGTGGTGGTGGTGGTGGTGGTGGTGGTGGTGGTGGTGGTGGTGGTGGTGACGAGGAAGGTAGCAGAACAACTCCCCCGTCCTCGTCATTAACCCTTCACACATGTTTCTGTGTGTTGTGTGTGTGTGCACCCTTTCATGTTCTCCTTTTCCGAAAGGTGTATTGTACCCCATCATTTCCCCGCGGACTCTCCCCCTCATACCTCCCCCGCTCCCCTTCCGCTCTTCCGTACACCGTACACCGTACAGATCTTCATCAACCCGCCCTCGGGCATCGTCGGCTCGGAGCCCCTTCAAGGGCTCTTCTTCAACCGAGCTATTCGGGAGGCCGCAGTTGCACCCACCATCACAGAGTGTGTAATACTGCTCAAGGCAGCTGTTGGCCAGCGCTGGTTCGGCCCCGTGTTCGACCACCCGCACTGCTGGCTGGCTGAGCGGACGGTCAAGAAGGGCGCCGCCGCGGCGGCGGCTGCTGCGGGAGGTGGCGGCAACGGCGGTGACGGCGGTGGCGGCAAGGGCCCTCGGGGCATGGTGGTTGTGTATGTGGGTCGCCGCGTTCAGGACTTCTGTAACGCGTTCGGGGAACTGGGTCACATTCCCGGGTTGAATACGTGGGCCGGATCGAAGTCTGCCGGTAGGGATTGAGGGCGGTTAGTTAGGGGCGGTCTGGGGGTGCGGTTAGTTAGGGGCGGTTAGGGGGGTGCGGTTAGTTAGGGGCGGTTAGGGGGGTGCGGTTAGTTAGGGACGGTTAGGGGGGTGCGGTTAGGGGGATGCCGTGTGAGCAGTCGTGACCGACCTTAAATTTAAATTCAGGGGGGAGGAGAGGGAGAAGGAAAGGGGGTGTGGGGGAGTGAGAGGGGGAGCGAGCGTGTGCATAAAAACACACACACACATCACACATCACAGTACGCACGCATGCAGGGCGCGTACGTGCGCGGCGCCGTTTTGAGCACATGTGGCATCTTGAGCTCGAGGGCTGTCGTACATGTCGTACATGTACGTTTAGCGATCTAAGCAAGAAAGGGAGGGGTTGGGGGATTCAACGGGTGGGTCACACGTCGCCGTGTGCCGCCGGGTTCGTGCCGTCACGTGATCTTCTCCCCAGGATTTGAGATTGCGGAGAACACTAAATTAACTTCCTTGATGTGGCAAGACATGACAAGACAAGCTGTGAAACTTGAGCCTTCGACTTGGCTGTTATGGCTGTTTCCTTCCGGTTAAAGCAGGCGAACGACGGGAGTGTGTGTAGGACTGGTGTAGGACACGTTTATTATTTGTGGGCGCATGTTGCATTACGTACATGCTGACAGCGAGCATGGCTGTTATTAGTGTTATTTAGTCACAATCGCATGTGACCGTCGCGAACCATCATATTTAATTAGCTGAAGAAAAATGAATGCGCGCACGAATGAATGTTTGTTTGGATGTAATGAGAGGTTAGAGAGCATTATATATAAAGGGGTTTTAGGGTGAATCCTAAGCCAGATGTGTCGTATGTGTGTCTGTATGTGTGTCTCATCTTATCCTTTTTGCTTTTGTTTTTGTTGGGCGGTCCCCGCCCTGCAGGATTGCCCCCCGCCGTGTGGCCGTGCGTGTTTAACGACCGAACGTAATATCTCCCCCCACCGCTAAAGCGCAATATTGAAACCCTTTAACATTCCATATTGTATGGCATTTCGCCTGTAGCTGACAAATTCGTATGAGCATATATACTAGCAAGTTCGCCGGTCTCCATAGGTCTCCGTCAGGTCAAGGTCGCGTCAACGCCTCTCGTGCCCAATTCGAGTCCAAACGGTGCCGTCTTTATGTGTAAAGGACATGCAGTTGACTTCGTCATGCAAATGGCACATGCAACATGCGCGACCATATCCTCCTTGACCATTGCGTCTGCTTGCCGTGTTGCCGAAGGCCTCGCGCTTCACGATTTGATTTGTGTTTTCCTAGAAGGGACGAGATGATCTTTTATGAACAAAACAATGCAAAGTTCAAAAAACACCAGCTAAGGCGCTTCGCCCTGAAGCGAACGAGGGAGAATGAAGATGACCTCCCGCGTACCCGCATCAATACCAATACAACGTCCATGGCCCCCCCGGCTTTTACGGACACACCCGCACTTGTGTGCGAAACTTGTAACTTGTAATTGTAGCGTGTTCATCTCCACGAGCGGGCACTTTGGTGACCGCATGGGGGCCGGCTCGGCGTGTGTCCGCGCCTTTGAAATGTGTTCATTATTGCTCATGTCAGAATCGGCTCAAAAAGCTTTGGAGCGTCTCAGAAAGCTCTGATACTTCTGGAGCCTTCTGGAGACTCTAGGGGGTGATGTCCGTATGCAAGTAAACCCGGCGAGGCCGCGGGAGGGGAGGGATGCAGTAAAGGGTGGGTCTTGAGTACCCCCCTCGGTCATCTCGACATTGTCCATCTCCAAGTCGCGACCCAACCCTGCACGATATCCTGCTCCGCAACGTATGTAGCCCGTAGCCCTGACAAAGGATTCTCCCCATGATGTGATCTGTTAACCACGGCCAGCAGGTTGACGTGCGGTGAAGGTTCGTGTATGTAATGTAATGTGGTGAAGTGGGAGGCTTCTGGGCCGCTTTATCACATTGTCAGTTCTACGATTTATCACCTTATAGCACCATCCACCACTACCACACTGTCTTCGCCATACGAACTGTAAGTCCAAGGCGGCGGATCCAGCCTTCAGGGACCCCTCCTCATCCATTCACCCGAACATCCGAAGAGACGGAGGGTTCGGCAATCGCCACCAATCCAGCGTGCGAATCTGGTCCATCATCTGTGACCTCACCTCTACATCTCAGCAGCTAGCCATAATCTCGCGCTCCGGACTAATGCTGGGTTTTCCCCGGGAATAGAACCCAGGACCTAATTGCAGAAATGTTAACCCAGACCAGACCCAGACCCAGACCGTGTATGTGTGTGTATGTCTGTGTGTCTGTGTGTATGTCTGTGTGTATGTCTGTGTGTATGTCTGTGTGTATGTCTGTGTGTATCTGTGTGTGTCTGTGTGTGTCTGTGTGTGTCTGTGTGTGTCTGTGTGTGAATGTGTGAGTATGTGTGAGTATGTGTGTGTATGTGTGTGTATGTGTGTGTATGTGTGTGTATGTGTGTATGTATGTATGTATGTCTGTTTGTATGTCTGTGTGTATGTCTATGTGTATGTCTGTGTGTATGTCTGTATGTGTGTGTGTCTCGGTAAACTATTCCCACCCATGTTCATCCGCTGCAATTGGTCATTAGGTGACGCCCCATTCACTGATTCTTGTATAGGAACCCACAGCTCATCACGACCCCTAAGCCGTTAATGACCAATGCCTAAATGCCTGAGGATGCATATTAATTAACGTGCGATGTCCACCTGCCTGTGGCTCCATCCAATCCTCATGAACCAAGGTCCCGGGGCTTCAGGGGGTCGGATTTACTAGTACGGCAGTATACGGTAGTACGGCAACAAGATAAGATTAAATTTGGATTTCCCGCACGTGCGTTCCTCAACAGGTCAAGATCCCTCGATAACGGGCTCCCGCAGGAGACAATCGCGTCGAGCTCGGAGGGTACTCACTAGCCTCGCATGCCTTTGTTATTTTCTGTCGTCCTTCTTTTATAAATGCGGCCCAGATTGAAGTGGAGTGGTGGAAATGGGCAACTGCGACCACGAGCCTGCAAGAGCTTACAAGAAATCAAAAGCTTTCTCCTTTCTATTATTGGTACCAAACGACAGCCTTACAGAACGCCCTGCCTTCTTTCCATTTTCCAATGTCCTCTTTATTATAAAATGTATCTCCTCTTCCGTAATTTCCTGCACGACTGCGGGATTTCCTGATCAAGCAAGCGCACGGTGCACTGTTGCGACATACCAAAGGCCATACAGCAAGCAGGCAGCGACAAATAGCCGAAATACATAATTTACCGTACAGAAAAGTACGGCACATCCGCGCCGCTCGCTTTCCACTCGCTCCTCCCCTCACACGTTACACCACTACCAGAATTGACCTCCGTGTAACCGCCACATGCACATGACTTAGGAGCCTGGCCCTGCGCGCACCATGCACAAGGTCCTCCTATACCTCTACTCCTCCTTTTTCTCCCCTAAACAGTTTTGTGGTTAAACGAGTGCAGCTGGGTGCTGGGCGGCGCATCGTCCTTCTCCTTGCTGCCGGTTAAAAGCACGACACCAAACGGGTTTTGCATTCCATCGTACAACGGTCTTTATTCACTTATTCACTACATCACTCAGCACCATTCCAGACATGCAAGAAAGCAATAACTTCAGAACTCCTCTTTTCTCTCATTTTCGCCTGACGACAACAACAACAACTAATAACTATACAGCAACAATCCCTTCGTCACATCGTCAACATTAACAATCGTATTGCTCCGCGTCACCAAAACAAAACAGAAGAACTGTCAACGGTCAACCGCCTAAACCTGTAAAAGAGAGCAGTCTGCACACCAGCCCAGTCCGATACCAGCCAAAGCCCGGGGTTGCAACATTAGGCTGTGTTGGCGTTAGAGTCCCCCTCATCACCTAGCAGACAGAGGCTGGGTCAAACTTACGTCGCCTACACGCCTGCACCCTCCCTCTGCAAGTAAGCCCTACAGACATGCCTGAACAGGCAACAGGCCTGAAAGAACCTATGCAGGATATCTCAAAAATCAAAAATCCCCAAACCTCACATAAACATCGGCGCACTCCCTTTCAGGTGCACACGCCGCGTTGGTGTTCCCACGCAAGAAACCCTGAATCGTACAACACATGATGTACGGCATACGAGCAGCAGCAGTACGCATGAAAACAACTACCATAATACATGCAAGGCAAGCATCACCACCTTGCTGCCGTGCCACACCAGAACGAAGTGCATGGCAGTGCATTGCATCAGCACTACCAACAATTCCCAGTAATGTACGGCAACAGTGCAGAAGATAACGAAAGAAAGATCTCCTCAAACACGTCTAGGACGTTCTCTGAAGACATAAAAACACATCAACATCCCTCGTTGGGCCTCCATCCCCAAAATGTCTCGTGTCTTCTTCACGCCCCCCTCACGGCCAGCCGCGCAATCCGCTTGTACATCGCCGACTCAGCACTACCAGAGCGCCGCCTACTGCCCTTGCTACTGCTACTGCTACTCCTACCGCCAGCATTCCTGCTGTTGCTACTGCTGTTGCTACTGCTGGGCGTTTGCCCACCCTCCGCTGCCTCCATGCACCGCCGTCGCTGCACCTCCAAGGCCCCCTCCTCCTCGTCCTCCTCCTCCTCCCCCTCCTGCTGCTGCTGCTGCTGCGGCGGCGGCGGCTCCTCCCGATGCTCTTGAAGTCGCCCGCGCGAACAGGACAACGCGGACGAGGGGGACGCGGCGGAGGACGAGCAACCGGCAGCGGCACGACTCTTCAAGGAGGCGGAGGAGGGCGGGGAGGCGGAAGAAGGGGAGGACGTGGAAGAACGAGGTCCCTCGGGCCACCCCATCGAGGAAGTGTTGGTGGTGTTGGTGGCGATGGTGCCCTCGTTGGAACAGTCCTCGGTGGCGGTGTTCGCGCTCCTGGGGGATGCGGGTGATGGAAGCACCAGGTCGGGACTGGCGGAGATGAGGTGCCACCAGCCTGCCGCCACCTCGTCCACCAGCTGCCCCGGCCGCCAGCCACACATCCCCAGCACGAGGGTGAAGTCCTGAGGCCGGAGGACTCCCGCGGTCACCAGCCGAATGGCGTCTGGTAGGCCGCCTGATCGACCGAGCGGGTGGTTGGGGTCGGGACGGGTTTGGGGGTAAGCTGCCGAGTGCACGGGGGGAGTGCGGTTATGAGGGAGCTGGGCGTCCGATGACGTCTTGAGGAGGATCGGGGAAGTGCTGATGAGCTGGAACTCATCATGGGTTTTGGAAGGGGTGGGGAGGGGGGAGGGGAGGGTGGGGGCAGGGGGAAGGGGGAGGGGAGGAGGTAGGGGTGGGGAGGGGGGAGGGGAGGGGAGGAGGTAGGAGAAGTTGCACAAGTGCCCGGAGAGTGTGTGTCCCTCCGGCAAATGATGAGCGAGTTACCTCCGCGCCGTTCCCTTAGGATAGGTGTGGCGGTGTGTAGCGTGGGGGAGTGTGCGTGTGTGTTCGTGTGTATGTGGCGTGTGCGTGTGTGCGTGTGTATGTCTCTCCGTCCTCCCCCCTCTCTCCCTCTCTTACCCATGTACATTCCCTCGGCAATCTTCTGGCTGCCTCTAAGACCCACAAGGCGGTGCAACAGAGCCACTCGGTCGAGGTACAGAGGACCACCCAGCTGCATCCGCTGGCTGCCAAAGGCCTCTTGGAAACCTGAGGGGGGTAGCGGGGGGGTTTTAGGGCTTTTCCCGAAGGATTCTAGGGTTCTGGGGGATAAGAAATCACAAAAAAACCTAAACCCCCATATCGGCCCACCTGCATTTCGGGTCTCCCAGATTCATTCTCCTCGCCTGGCATCCTCTCTCCACACACACAAACACACACACACACACCGCCCGTCGTCCAAACTCTTCCCTCCCCCCTCCGCTGTCACTCACTTACCCGGGACCGATTCCAGCAGTTTCAGCTCCCCTAGGGTGAGGTTGGCGGGCTTGTTGAGAACGTAGCCCACGGAACCGACCCGTGGGTCTGCAGAGGGGAGGGGACCGGGGGAGGGAAGCAAGGGCTGACGTGAGGTAGGTGCCGACACAGATGCGGCCAGCAGACGAGTGGATGTGCTCGCGTGGCTTAAATAGGCATGAATGGTGGGATGCTGAGGCAGGGGGGAGGAGGAGGGGGAAGGAGGAAAAGGAAGGTGGGAAGGAGGGGAAGGTGGGAAAGGAAGAATGGGTTACCAACCTGTAACAAGAGATCTTGCTTTTAGATTATCAGTATGCCCGGGCTTACGAGTTGATTCGGGTATGTGTGCCATTCGCTATAGGGCTTGGGGTCTCAGTTGCGAGTTGCGCTAAAGCGTTTAGGTTGGTATATATCGTGTGCCGTTCCCCTGCCCTGGCATGGCAAGTCTCGGTTTTACATCAGTAAGTGATGAGTCATGGAAAAGCGATATTCATCACCTACTTGATTGATCCACTTACCGTGGGAAGCGATTAAGATTACTGATCCCGTGTACCAGCTCATGTTGTCCTGGCGTGCAAGTAGCAGGCACCCCGCCTCGGGCTCTGCGAGTGGATGGGCCCAGCTCTTTCCGGACACGAGAGGAGGATAAGGAGGCCTCTGCAGCTGGGAAGAGCGCTCCGCTGCACGACGAGCACTATGCTCCCAAGCCACCAAATGCGCGCGAAAAGCTCGCCAGTCCTGCGAGCGTCGTATGTTGATGATGATGCGTGATTCAAGCGACAGAACCGGAAAGCATAACAAGGCGCGAGCTTAAGAACTGGATTCAAGAAAGCCAGAAGGGATTTGTTAAAGAAAAGGCACTGTTTTGCAGCGCCGATCGCGCACCTGACCGGTAATGTCGGGCGTCGGAAAACCCTGTGGTAAGCCGCAAGCTTTAAAGCCCTGTAGGGGAATGAGTTTAAGATAGCAGATTTAACAATGAGCTGGATTGCAATGAGGAAATAGTCCCGAGATACTTACTTCTCGCGAATCGAAGACAGAGCGACACAGCAACCAGCTTGACCGTTGCGTCGACTCATTCGTCGCTCTGCCAGGCATTCCAGGGACTCCACGATTCATCACTTGCCTTCCAACTGAGCGGCTGGTTGACGCCTGGAGTCCGCCGGAGACGCGAGAGTCCATCCTCGCGGCCTTTTCCCCTTGAAACCCCGCAGGATGAGATCAGCGGGTTAAACTGAAAACTTGAAGAGCTTCAGTCGCGGAAGCTCAAGACGCAAGTTTCTCCCTTGTGGTGGTGTTACAAAGCCTTGGCCGTTGCCAGCAAGGTTTGGAAGCCGGCCTCAACACATGGGAATAATAGAGTGCTCTTATAATAGCACGTTGATAGTCACGTCAAAAGTAGCCCTTCACGGGATGATGCCGCATGTTCTTTCGTGGTACTCTGGCATATGCCCTCGTTTTGGAGCGGCAAGGTATACTATTACATTTATGGCATTTTCAAGATACTGTACTTTTATCTATCGATGCTAAGTCTTGTTTTTTTTGGGTGCGTTGCGAGTTGTACCTATGCAGCAACTACCTTCCCGCGCTGATCTTTTAGAATCTCCGGGTGTCGTTAAAGTAAGCAGCTTGTGACTATTTCATCCTAAACTTTTGTTTTCAATGTATGCATATACATTTCCTTTTGAACCAGATGAGTTATAATGTTTGGCATGACAGGAACAACCCTAGAACCAGAAGTGGCCAGAAGCCTATATGGCTTCTTGTCTTTACTTCTTCTAATTCCGGCGAATACGCCAAAGCTAACACATTCGATGATAAGCAAGCTACCTAGTTGCTGAAGCCAAGGAGCATCTGTACGCCGGAGACCATCCGCAAGGATACACCCAACCTACGGAAAAGGTAAAGTGGAGGCGGATAAAAATGAAGTTAGAAGCAAAAAATTATTGATTCAGTGCTTCGGGTAAAGCGAACTTACAATACACTACCGTTAAAATGTGGTTTCCCAGCGGTCTCTCGAAACGGAATGCAACGGAAAACGCCGAAAACGCGCCAGGGTGCCACAGTCCAAACATTATACTGCGGCACGCCCTCATCTACATCCTGATTGCTAGTAAACAATACCGCTGTCTTTATCATTGACATTACACACTTGCCAGCAATGCACCGACGGGTCAAAACAGGGTGCCCTCAACTGCCCGCAATGACAGCTTTGACGGTTTATGACCCAACGCGGCATCATTCACTTCTGGTTCACATACCTGAACTTATGCGCTGTAACGTACACCACACCAGTAAAATACGAAACATTATGCGACTCACGTGGCCCTAGACTGCATTCCGGAATGACCCCACTATTGTGCAACAGGATGGCTTAGAGGGAACATGCCCGAGTGAAAAGAGGCCGCGAGTGAAATTTTGGCGGAAAGGCGTGGCGGTTAGCTGTACGAGTGTACGCTTACACGGCGTTGTCCGACTAATGCTAGACAAAACCTGGCTGGAAGCGTCCCAAGCGTGAGGCGTGAAAGTCTCAGAAATCGCCATCAACTGGTTGTCGGCAGTTCACCAGTAGTGCTCATTTTTTCCTCACGCTGAAACACTCACACCACATGCACGCGTGCCCGCCGTTCGCAAGGTACAGGGTTATACTGCCCAAGGTATGCCTCCAAATATTAATCAGTCAATGCCGCCGTCGTAGTCGGCCCATCATCTGCCTCGTCAAGTACGTTGCCGTACATCGTACGAGCAGGATGGGATTATTCCTAAATGCATCCTAGCAAGGGAGTCGCAAGTACTTCTCAGCGATCCACAAGCCAAGACACAAACCAAAAGATGACAAAAATATCCAAATAAAAATATCCGGATACGTTCAGGAGGTAGTAGTTGGTGGTGATGGTGATGGTGACGGTGATGGTGACATCTCCGTCACCATCACCATCACAATGTCGCCATCACAATGTCCTCAGGCCCCAATACAAGCCAGCTCTACCTCGTTAGCGAGACAGACCGCCATCTCCCTTCCAAGACATGCCCTAGGGCGCCTAGTGCTAAAGAAACGACCGCAAACAAAATCCAGGCATGTCGATATGTCCTAAAATTTACCTAGATATTGTACCTACGTACCTACGGCGACGTCTAGCATCTAAGTACCCTTCTTGCACCGGTTCGGAGTTGTACAATATGACCGTGTATTTCAGGCGAACAGCACCAATACTGCAACTTCGTACTGCTTTACGAATCGTCCGCTCCTGTAAAAGAATCAGCCCCGAATCGGCTTCCGTATTCATACGTACATGTACTGCCGGCCATCATCCTCTGACGCTTCGTAGGTAGGATACCATGCTGTACTTCAATGCCAAGACTTCCCTCCGTATCGATCCATGTTCATCGCATCACGTCACCTCCAGACCAGCACGTCACTTCAAAAACCACTAGCAAGCGCAGGAAGTCGTGGAACGTTATAAGGCCCCTACGACAACCACCACCACCGCCGCCATCATCATCATCATCATCACCATCATCATCATCATCATCATCATCATCATCATCATCATCATCATCATCATCATCATCATCATCGTCCTAGTAAATCCTCCGGACCGTAGATGCCATTATTGCCACCAGGTAATCGCCCCCAGCCACCAGCCACCAGCCATTTCAAGCACTCAACCATCCCAGCCATTACCATCACCTGCACCAGCACCATCGCGGGTCATCGCCTCCCGCCGTCAGAACAATTTCATCATGCTCTATTGCTGCTGCTGCTGCTACTGCCGTAGCGGGCATTACATGCAAGCCTGCCAACTGCCCGTCAACCGTCCCCAGCCAACCGTACGACACAGCATTGCGCTGCGATCTACACCAACGGGCCCGCAAACCGCCCCCAAAGCTGTGCGGATTTCTCCTTTCCTATCTCCCAAGTCCATGTGTCCATGACGTACGACAGCCGGTTATCCAGGTCAAAACATTTTTCTAGATGCCAATGGTCGCCCGCAGAAATCTCCCGCCACCTCCTTGCCAACAGCCTGCAGTACCCGGCGATCCCTGACATGTACGACTCCATAAACGCGGAGGGCCAATGCCCAATCGCTTCAACCCCCATCCCAACCGCTTCAACCCCCATCCCAACCGCTTCCAACCGCACTGGTCACATGTGCCACCCAGCGTGAATCAGTGCGGCATCGCACTCAGCAACTAATGGGACACCGACACGCGACGTGAGCAAGTCCTGCAGCACAGCCGCACCTCCTCATGCCCCGCCAAATCCGCGGCGACAGCTGTGACATTGCGTGACTTGGCACAGGAAGAGGCCGTTGGCCGCATGAAGCTCGGGCGCGACTCAGTACTTGTCGAGGCTCTCGTTCGCACCCCCTGATCGAGCTGTGACGGCCGCTGCGGCCGCATTTCGGAGCACGGAACACGATGCTGCGAAATCTGCTGCTTCTGCGGCAGCTTGTGTGGCTGAGGTAACGGCTTGGGTTGCTTGGTGAGCTGACGTAACGGCGGCTCAGCATGCTGTTGTACCAGCCGCGTCTGCGGCGTCAGCTGCGTCTGCGGCCTGGGCGGCTGCCGCAACGAGGGCAGCGGCGGTTTCAGTTGTGGGTGGTACCGTGTTGGTTGTAGCACTTCCGGTTGCAGCCACCGGGATGGCGGCTGCACCTGAGGCTGCGCGTGCGGCATCCGCGGCGACGGACGCAGCAGGGGTTGTAGCTGCGACGGCGGCGGCTGTAGCGGTGCCTGTAGCGGTCGCGGCGATATTGGCTGCGACGACGGCGGCTGTTGTTCATGTGATGACCATTCAGGTTGTTGTCCTGGGGTTCGCTGGGGGAGCCGTCCTTGGTGCTGTGGCTGAGAAGATCGTTGCCGCTGTGACTGCGGCCGCGTTTGCTGCTGCGGCGGCGATGGCTGTTGGCGGTGTGATATCGCGACTTCGGATCGCAACGTGTGCTGCGACTGTGGTGGCGATGAGTTGGGTTTCTGCCCTTGCGGCAGCAGCGTTTCGAACCGCTGCAGGTGCTGCCGTTGCGGCGAGGGATGCTGCTGCCGCTGTGACGGCGTCTCCAATCGCCGCACTGGCTCCCGTTGCGGCGGCACATGCAGCAGTGTTGATGGCCGCCTCATCGATTCGAGGTGACTCGTTAATGGTCTAGGCGACCGCTTAGGACGAGGTGCCAGGGATGCGGCTTCAGACGGCAAAACCGACCACGACCACGGCGGCGGCCGAGACTGCTCCCGAGACCGACGCAGCGGCGGCGACGGTGACGACGACGGCGGCCCCTGCGTCTGCGCCGTTGAAGGCATTCGTCGCGGCTGTGACGGCGGCGTCAGCGACGGCGGCGCCAACTGCGTCCCCCCGCCCCTTCCCGGCCACTGCGGCGAGTCAATGCGCGGCGACGCAACTGTCCGGGTTGCGCTGCCAGCGCCAATCGAATTTGTGGGAGATGACGCTTCCACTCCGTCCAAGTCCACGTCGAATGCCACTCCCACGTCCACGTCGACATCCATTGGGTCCCCCAAAAGGTTGCCCACGTCGCCGTCGCCTTCCGGCGGGTCAGGGCTAACGAAGGAAACACTGCGGGATGCTGCCGCCATCGGGGTACCTTTGGCAGCGGCGGTAGTGGCGGCAGTGGCAGCGGCCGCAGCAGCAGCGGCCTGGGTGTGCATCTTGCCGTACATAGGAAATAAATCGGCTAGCCAGAAAAACAACTCCTCCTCGTCTTTCTCGGTGTTGTTGTTGTTGTTCCCAAAGCTGTTGCTGACGAAGGCGGCGCTGTTGTCGCCGTCCGGGAGGATGTCGCTGCCGAAGGCCCGCAGAGAGTCGGAGTCGTCAGGTGCTGCAGAGCAGCCGTTGAAACAGCTGGAGGTTCCCTCTAGTGGCGGCAGATGTACCTGATGTCGCTCGTGTTTCTTCTGATCCTGCTGCTCGTGTAGCTGCATTAATTGTAGCAAAAGATGTTGTTGCTGCTGCTGGTGCTGCTGCACCTCTTGTTGCTGCTGCTGCTGTTGCTGTTGCTGCTGCTGCTGCTGCGAGGAAAGGCCCATGTGCAGATAATTAGCATTAGCGGTATTGCCAGTTTTGGCAAAGTCCCAACGGCGACCGTGAAGGCGGTTGAAGTAGTTGGCGTACGGCAAGGTAAGCTCAGCTGCCCAAGGACAAACGTGGTCATGTAAGACTGGCGACCGGTGAAACACATTTGGTGAGGTGTACGGCACAGACAAGTCGCATGGTGAGCCGTACAACATGTCGTTCAGTGATAACGTGGAGATTTCTCGTTCGTACGCGTGCAAGGCCGCAACCTCCTCAATGGCCCAGGAGACTATGTCATGCAGCACGGCGGCTGGGTGGAACTGCAGCGGGAGAGCGAGGGAGCGAAAGACAAGTGAAGAGGAGGGTACGACAAACCACTGGCGAATGAAGCAAATACCAGAGATAGAGAAATGGAGGAAGATGATTTTTCACACCACGGCATGGGTGACGATTCCATTTCTTCCAGGCTCAGACCCCCATTTATTCCCAAAAAAGTTATATATTACCAAAAAAAAACACTGAAGCCAAAACGTTCACCACTCGTTTCATTTACCTCTTGTCGATATCCGTTCTTCTCAACATTCTTTCCATTCACTATCTTTTCACGGTATCGATGAGATAGAGGAAGACTGCATTACTTACTGATTTATGTATTTATTTTCGCTAATAGTAGAAGTTGAATGAAAAACACAACACTCGCACGGGTCATAGGCGTGGACTGGATTGCACCGCACAACAGCGCCTCGATACACCCGCCAACAACGACAATGATGTTACCAGGGTTTTACTATGCAGGCCGCCTTCTCTGCCTTCACTGCCTTCTCTGCCTTTTCCGCCTTTCCTGCCTTCCCAACGACTTCGGACGCGAGAGGTATCCACATATGTAGCATCCAAGACCCTCACACAACGCAATACAGGTCGATAAACTGAAAACTGAAAGCCATGCCTTTCCTGGAGCGCGACCTCCCTTGAAAGAACGCGCCGGCTGTCAGGCATGCCATCCAAGCTTCCCTTAAACCTCAGTGAGGGTTTAGGGTTTTAAGGTTTTTTTAAGGTGTTTCAAACATGCACTCTCCTATCCTCCGAGTGCATATGCACAAACAAGTGCTAATCGAAACTCAGTGGAGCTGCTGGCAGTGTGATCGATATTTAAGGCGCCATAATGACAGCAATTTGCATCTGCTTGCGTTGCATACTGTTGGGTTTCTTTCTCTTCATCAGTGCTTCCGTCTTACCTCCGCCTTCGAGTCCAGATCCAGGATTTCTGCCCACCGGCTTGCCAGGGCTTCCACAACACGACGGCTCCCAGATATGTGCACACGGCCGCCCGCCGGGAAATCAGACCTGCGTGCAGCAAACAGCAGGACCCTGCACATGGGAGCGAGTTTTAGGTAAGATTGAAAGCACGCTAGGCAGACCGCATCTAGATATTGATGCTTATGATGCTCTGCACATGATTTCCACTACTTTATATATGGAGAGAGATCTGGTTATATGTGCACCCTGGTCCAAAAAGGAAATATGGCCTCAACCTACGTAGAATTGCTGCTGTCGATATTCGCTTCGCAGCCGCAATCCCGAGGGCAAGGCGCCACGTTGAAGGGATAATTGTTAGTTGCTGGATAGTCATCGATCTTGATGGAGTATGAAGTCGCTCTGCAGCAGAGTCCGCAAAGGTTTTTCAGGTTAAAAGTCAGGTTTTGTGTCCGCCAGCTTAGCAGCCCGCAGCAGTTCCAGGAGAGGAGACGCCATCGTCATTGGTCAGGTGATTTGTTAATTAGGCGAGAGCTTACTCGGTCGCGAAAGGCATCTCCGACCTTGTCCTCGAAAAGTCAGAATGTTGCTCCATGCTGATTTAGAGACACTGACAAGGCACGAAGGCAAAAGGCGTGGTATTTCATTAGGATTGTCCTGAAATTCAGAAAGGATTGAGCGGTAAAGCCCGGAAAATAGTTTTTCCTTGCAGCATTTGGAAAGAGCGGTTGCGAAGGCGCTCCAAAGCCGCAACCGTAGCGAGCGAGAAATCGCAAAACCGTTATGCCTGCTGTGATTGCTTGGTCAAGCCTGAGAGCTAGGACCCACCACTTGTTACAGGTCTGCTGCTCTGGTGTACTCCTTGCCCGTCAATCGATGTCGGCGGAGTGGTGAAATCGTGCACTAGCCGGTAATCGAGTCGGTGAAGAAGGTTAATGTCGTCGATGTCCTCCTAAACCTTCTCGAATTAGGGCCCAAGTCATATCACCCATGCCTTAATACTTCATAATGTTACATCAGCTCTGCAACCTGATCCCACAGCACAGTTAAAAGGTTCACAAAAGGGGCTTATGGGGCACGGGTGTTGTTTCTGCCAACCCTCACCTTCCATACTCCCCCGCAACTGTCTTTGTCGTATTATCCCCGCTTCCTGTCGACCCCTTGCAACTGCTTTCCACCGACAAGCGGAAAAAGAAACCCCGAAGCTCTTGCAAATTCATGGACGCGGACGTATAAGGTTATAGTTTTAGTTAACGCCAGGTGTGTGGATTTTTCCATGGCTTTGCGTATGCAAAACCTTTTGTTAAACCACAGTTGCGGTTCTGGAGCAAGCACAACAGAACGTACTTGCCTTGCCTTCCAATTGAGACTAAACTAGGAATTTTAAGAGAAAAGGGAAGAGCAGTTGTGATTGTCCTGTCGTAGCTTATATGTAAAAAATTATATGTCGTTTTGGCCAAGAGGTTCCCTTGGGCTTGGATTTACGAATTGCAAGCATTATGAGCCGTAGTAACACTATGGAACGATATCATCTATCGGCATTCAAGTATGTATTGGGGTCTGGCTTCCGGGCGCACGCCTTCTTTTGCTTAACCGCCAGCACAGTAAGCGAAGAACTATCACCCTGAGCTGTTTTATTTTCCCCAGGCTACCATCATCATTCTTTAAATATGATGCTCTATCCACGGTGCTTTCCACCGCGGATGACGCTTTGCTCCTGGCAGCCGGCGCTTGGCAAAACATCAGTGGGATGCTTTGCAATACCGGCCACCGGTGAGCATCGTGATCTAGGCTTCGATGCCGAGAGGCGGATTGTATCCTGAGCTTTGTTGGAATCTCTTGGACGTCCTTTGAAGTGCGCGTCTCGTTGCGTTTCAAAGCTCACCGACGGATGGGGTCATCGGTTCGTAGCATAAACTATAAACCTTGATTATATCAAGGTTTGGGGGATAAATTTTACGTTCACTTGCTCGGTTCCCGTTAGCACTTCGGCTGGGAGATAGAGGGTTTGTAAACTGACAGGGCGTTGCCGGAGCGTGGTAACAGTTCGCAAATAAATTTTTAACCGCGATCCCATATACATGACTCTCGTTCTCCAGGTATCCTTCCGAAGCCGACGACAACGTTGTCATTTCAGAAAGCAATGGTGAAGTAATGGAGTTGGCAAGTTGGTGGGCGAGCATCCGGGCCCTTGATGGCAAGGTGGGTTGGAAAGGTATTAAAGCAGAGCAGCTGTGGACAAGTTTAAAGCGTTGGGACGCCTCGGGAAGTGCTTTAGGCTTGGTCGGAAGATCGATGCTGTGTGCTTAATGCTGTCGAAGTGAAATTGTCTGAAAATTACCGCGGATGACTCGCTTTCCAGATGGAGCACCGCACAGGAAGGGTGCCCTGCTGCCCTCCCTGTTGGGCGCCGACATGTTTGTGCAGCACCGCGCACACAATATAACGGAATCGTGAGTTTCCCGGCGTGGAACTAGCTATGATGCAGCGCGGTTGTGAAATATATTAGAAATGCATTAATGTTACAACTTAACCATAATCATGTAAACGTGCTCCCCTTACGCGTTTACACTTGTTCACATGCCCCACGCCGTGTTACTGCCTTAAGCTGTCGTTTTAGAACCGTGAAATATTGCGGCATTCTTATTTATATCCCCTACCTTTATCGGTCACCTGTTGCTCTATGATGTACAGGGCCAGCTTGCAGCCATGGCCTTGATGTACGACGCGTGGCATGGCTTGTACGACAGCTCGCCAGTTATTCCCGTGGCTGCAAATGCCCCAGGCCAGAACTGCATTTCTCGTGCGAGTACGACTGAACACAACGCCTTTGAAACCGTTGCCGTGTACGACAAAACCGAAGGCGATGCCGATGCAGTTGTCATTTCCACCGGTACGCCATTCTACACTAGCTTTGCAGACCTTGACTTCTCCGCCACGAAGCATCAGGAGCTACAGCCACCATACCATCAGCAGGCCTTAATCAGTGCCCGCGCCTCACTTGGCGAAATTATAGAAGCCGGTTCAGACTGTCTTGTTACTATTGCCAGCGGCGTTGCCATGCCTACGGATGGCGGCGTTGGTGATGGTGCTGCTGCTGCTGCTGGTTCGGTGGTGGCGGCGGTGGTGGACTGGCCCTCACTGGAGCTCATTGTGCCTGCGCTGGATTCCGTGGCGTTAACGGCCGCATTGTGCAGTTTTGACGACGGCGACGGCGCTGAAGAGGACTTTTTTTGGGTCACCCCGGCTTTTGGCGTCGCGAACGGTTCATCAGAGAAGGATGACCCTCGGAGTCCTGAATTTGTCCCCGGCATTGTCAATGCCGGTATCCTTGACGTGGACGCCTCGTTCGATGCTTCTGTCGACGCTTCCACCGCCTGCGCCACCGCGTCGGACGCTTGCTTGTACGACTCGGATTTGGATTCTGACAGTACTGTTGACGCCGACGGATATCTGTTGGCGTCTGGCGGCGATCTGTCTTCTTCGGTCGCCGCCGACTTGGAGTTCATTTCATCTTCAGAGGATGGACTCCCCATGCTGAAACTTTCGCTGTCGCCGTCGCACTCGATGCCGTCGGAAGTAGAGGTGAAGCCAAGCCGTCGCCTTGACTGCTACTTGCAGCGCCTTGCCACCAAGGTCCCTGCGCCGTCCTTGTTGCCTCCGCCGCCATCGCCGGCGCCGGTCATGGCCTCAGCGCCGGTCCCGGCGCGGGATGATGTCGATGAGCTCAAGCCATGCGTCACTCCCGTTTCCGTTGGAAGGAGGAGGAATTGCGCCACGGCAACCTTGGCGCAGCGGCGATTGGAATCTAAATGGCAGGAGTTGCAAGTTCAGTGGCTTGAGTTCGATGTCTACTGGCAGCAGCGTACTCAGTCGCGGCGGTCGCCACGGCCGCCAAAGCCGCAGGAGCCGCAGCCTGCCCAGGTGCTTCCGCACCCTCAACGACGGGGTGACTTGAAGCCCCAGCCCCAGCAGCAACGGCTGTGGCCGCAGTCGAAGTTGCCCCAGTCACCGCGCGCGGCGTCATCTCCCCAGCAGCAACAGCAACAGAGGACAGTTGCTGGCGCAGGCGGCGGCGGCAGCGGCAGCTCGCGGCCGAACTTTATGCGGTCCACGACGGCGTCGGCGTTGATGGCGACGACGAGGTCGCCTTCGTCTCCCTTTGGTCAGCACCAGGCGAGTCGTCAGCACAGCGCCGGTTCTCCACGCATGGGGGCGTGGAGCAGCAGCAGCAGCAGCAGCAACAACAACATTCGGCGTGTGTAGTCGGCATGACCCTGCATGACTTCCTACTTGCTTCATTCTACTGCTTGCCTGACGATATACATACTCGCCCTAGCTAGCGTAGCCAAATTGATTCCACTACTTCAAATTAGTAGAACTGAAAAAAATACTGTCAGAATGCTAACACCAACAATCATTCATTCATGCTTCTGGAGTAACAAGCTTGCTTTTGCTAGAGAATTGATATGGTCTGCTAGTAGCGTCGGCGTAGTCCAGGAGGACAATGGGTTACAAAGGTCCATGTGTAGAAGTGTAGGTGTAGGTTTATAGTCCAGAGCTGTAGGTGATTATAGCGTGGAATGGCGCGAATGTTATTCCAGGCTGTATGTCGGAATGCGTGTCGTATATGCGGTACATGCGGTCGTACATATAAGTCGTACGTTGTCGGCATCCTGCAGTGCTTGTCGGCGTGTCGTCGGCGATGAGGTGAGGGCCGACGCGGAGCTAAGGCTGATGGCAAGTAGAAAGGGCCGACTGGGGCTAAGAAAACATGCAGCACATTGCTTTAGGTATGTCTCAGAACGGTTACTTGGTTTGCAATAAGTCATTTATTCGGCGCCGTTCTTGATCCCGGAAAATATGTTATAGGACAGACCGGAGCTCAGTTATGTTTCCCGTAGGTTGTTACTTTGTAGACGGATGGCCACGCCCATTGATTTATGGTTAGTAAAGTGTACATTCGTACGTTTAAGGTAACATACAAGCTGGCACGCGTACAAAGCCGATATCCAAACTGTCCTTTTAAATGCTGCGACATCGTGAATCTGTAGCCGACCCACTAAGTTTTTGGCTGAGTTTTTCAAACTGCAAGCTTGCCTGCCGGGGTCTGTACGACATATAGTATTTTATTGTAGTGAACTCTCACAATTTAGGCATATTTGTGTTTGCTGTGAAAGGGACTTTGCCGCCGGTGCATGCTGGTAGGTTGTAGGCCGCAATAATAAGTACAGCAGGTGGACACATGCATTTGTACGACCCTAGAGCGGAGGCCAGTTTAGTCGTACAGACAGACTATCGTACCCTGGCGGCTTTCAGTCTGGCATCCCGACTGATTACGTACCGTATCATGGCGGGATGTGCGCCTTATGTAGTTCTGTGTGCACTTATTGGGTTTTAACATGTGCTGTGATGGTTTTATCTATCTGTGAATGCGCATTGGCCTGCACACTGTTCGGCATGTAGGGCTTCGGATCGAATAAGCATGTATAGGCCTTGTTCGACATCCCAAGCCTGTCTTGGATGACCCGACTGTTCAAGACTCTAGGAATCTCGGAAGTTGTTCCTGTGCTGTGTGTACTTGTTTGCGCTATAGCTGGCCATTCGTTTCTGTACTTAATTTTGGTACACTGCCGGGATCTTGAAAGCTTTTCGCAACCTTTCTTGGGTGCAATTCTTCTTACTGGCTCCGCTGGTGGATAACGTGGCTGGCACGTTGCTGGTGTGGGAATTGATAAAGTCCTTGTAAAAAGAATCCTGTCGCTCCTTAAACGTGCACATGGCGGTACCATGGCTCACCATGCTGCGCAGCGTAATGAATTAGTACCGCAAGGATATCTGTGCTTTGGTTGATTTTCGGTTGCTTCTCGCTTGAAGGCGCGGTGCTGTAAGCTCAGCCTCGCCAACTGTTATGGCGGTTTCGAAAGTCCCGAAAAGTACGCCTGACCGAACAGGACCGAACGCGACTTCAGCGCATTCAATGGATTCACGGCAAAAGCTCTTTATAGGTGCATCTCTGTGCTTGCTTGTATAGATACATGCATAGTGTTGTTGCGCTTGTCGGAAATGGGCAGCCGCAATGCGATTGAGGCGGATCAGTTGGCTAAGTGTGATCGAGACATTAACTATCGAATAATGGAATAGCCATCAATTACCGTGGAACTTTCTAAAAATGTCCTATGAAATCTTTCAACGGATCATACTGCACAGAGAGTAAGGATTCATCAATGGCATAATTAATATCGATGTACAGAAAAATAAAAATTTTATAACATTCGCATCACGACCATGAATGCCGCTGGGAATATTCTTGTGACGGGCCACATTAGGACATATTGGGACAGAAGGGAGACCAACCGACCAAGGGAGGCGAGCAATCCTGTATTGCTGGCATGGCTCTGCAGCCCACAGTCACGTCTTCTGTATCTATAAACCGTTAACACCTAGACAGTGGGCGCCTGGGAATACATGCACAGAGCCGCGTGGTGATGTGCCCCAACGCTTGCCTAAGCCAAGTTTTGACAACTGACAAGACCTGCCGACACGTGATCGTTCTCGCCTCCTGAGTCCCGAAGGTAAAAACGTAACAACAAATTATCCTCTAAATCAGCTAGCGAAATCATGATGTCGTTTTTAGCAACCGACGGAATGGATGACACGTTCCGTGCCCGACGCTACTCGGACCTAACCTGAGCCCCCTGCTCTGGATTGGAGGATTCTGAAAGCCTGGCCCTGAGCCTGCTGTGAGATGTGCACCCCCAAGCGACCAGGAGCGATTTTAGCCACTGAGGTTGAATCGCGCCTGTTTTGCACCGCGCCGTTAGCTTGGGTGCGCATTGTTGTGAGTGGTCGTACAGTGGGGAACGTGCAACGCTGTTTGGGGGTCCCGGCAACGGCTGATTGCACGAGTTCAATCTTAATCATGTGGAACAGGACTGTTTTCCAGCGACCTCCACCTTGCAGAGTCAATACGTGGGAGGGAGACGGTGGTCTGTCCGTGTCCGTGTCCGCAGGGACTGTGACAGGAGTTCTGCTCCCGAAATATCATCGGCATTCACCGCATCAAGCATGGACAGCGGTAATGGTAATGTATTTGCGCGTTTCGCGCGTTCTTCCAGCCACCTTCCCTCGCTTGAATTCACGGACAGACGTGATCACGGGGCTGGGCAGTTGGAAGTTGTCCAGGGCTGGCGGCGGTTGTCTCCGCATGCGGGGTGCGCGTTGCGGCTCCGCCGCAGACCCATCGCCGGGAGCCCGGATTCTCAGAAAATGCCAAGGGAAACCCAGAGCGTGTTCGCCGCCTTTACGCTGTTGGCACGCCCGAGGTCCTGAGGGTCGGAGCTATGCGGGCTGGGTTCTTCACTAAATTTTGTATTTTTGTAAGTGACCGGATTGGGTACAGCCATAGTAGTTCTGTATTACCTCTTAATGGATAGTCCATCGCAATATTTAAAACCTAGCTACGCGATCTGTGGTCATACAAGACTATCCCGTGCCGCTGTTCTATCCGAGCACTTACCGCCTCCCCCCTCGCTCGCGAAACTGCCAAGGAAACCTGTTTTTGAAAGTGTTAGGTGAAGAGCTTGCGCTGAGGAAGGCGCAAACGCGTTTCTGATATTGTTACTCGCCCTGGCTATATGTCATTTTCCTTGCCAAATTAAATCAATTTCCCATACTAGTGTCGCACAATTGTGGATTATGATAAGCTTTGCATGAACACCTGAAAGAAAGCGCGTAATCGTACAAAACGTGGAACCGCCGAACCGGTCCGATTTCCAGCAGCGCCGCACAGTGACACGGCTGAGCACCAAAAGCAGGAACATCTTATGAATATTGCCAACCTAATAGACCAAGTAGATTCAACTGTCGCTAATCGAGCTTCGGTTGGGAGTAAGTGGGATTTCACGCTGGCCCTGCACAGGACCTAGCCTCGCAACGACCGACCCATGGATGCGGGAAGCAAGCTGATATTATTACAGCTTGAGCGTTGCCGGCGGTGCTTCGGTGTAGCAGCGAAGAGCACCGGAAATTTGGGCGCGAAGTCATTGCCGTTTGGAGATTTCGTTGGACTGGAAGCACCGGCCAAAGATGCTTGCCAAATGGGAAGCCTGTATGAACTCCAAGCCATTACATTGGCAGCTGGGTTAGAGGCTATTCGGGCTCAGCTGCGTCGGGCACGTCGGGCTGCGGACATGGCCGGGTCGGAACGTCTGGAGACAGCAAACCTGGACAACCTGACAAGTGCAATTTCAGAAGCCACCGAAGCTTTGACTTTTGTAGCAGCAGCTGTGACAACGCCGGGTGGTCAGCTGCTCATCGCAGAGGCCGCAGAAGCCATGACCGTCCTCACGCAGCTGGCGCAGACGTTCGCGCGACACCAGCAACATCAATCTTCTATGGCTTCAGTCGCTGCCATTCATGCAGCTGCGGATGGGAATCCCGCCGTAGCCTTCTCGGCTGGCATTCAAGCGCAAGAAGCTGCGGGCCTGGCCTTGTGGGCTGCACGCATGGGAGGTCTGCAGCTCGCCCATGAAACGGCCGGCTTTCTCGACCTCGCAGCAGTGGCAGAAGCTTTCCAAGCTTGCGGGTTGTGCGTGCCCTTCAACCATGACGTCAGCGCACTCGGCCCCCGACAGGCTGCTCCCGGTGGCGATGTAGGTCAATCGTGCGATGTGGGTCAGCCCCACAATTTGAAATTGCCGTACGGTGTGGGTCAGCTGTACGACCTGGGTCGGCCGTACGATGTGGGTCGGTTGGCAAAGCGGCCGCGCATGAAGCTAGTGATCTGAAGCAGCCGACAGGTTATTCGTCATCTTCCACTTCAAATCAATCGTCTCCCAGTACAGACAATCCCTACTTCCACTCCAATTTCGTCGGTAATAGACATCGGTAATGGGCGTGGAGCAGTCTACGGCAAGCGACAACATTCTTATCCCAGCATCCCCCAGATGAGCGCAACTAATCAGCGGTTGTGCAAGTGGAGGGGAGAGGGTTTCCCCTTGGTTTCCTTATCCTCTTACGCAGTACACAGGTTGGTCCCACGCGTGAAGCTTTTGAGCGTGACGACTTCGAGACAACACGAAACGGTGTCGGTCATGACGTGGGAGCGTTGCGGATAGATCGTGCGGAGGAGGGAAAGGCGTCGTATGGAAAGGCGATGAAAGGGGCTTTTGGGAGAAAGGGCGACGGCACCCCTGCTCCGCCGGCCACCCCTTGGGGACATCGTCGTAGTGCGGCAGGTCGGAGCTCTGGCATGTTAAATCTGCTGCGGGTGCCCGCAGATAAAGCCCTAGTGAAGGTCTTACCGAGCCGATAGCTCCTGGTGATGGATTTTGGTAAATAGGAACAACGTGCATGGTAGCCGGCGAAGAAAGATAATAAACAGAACAGCGTGAATCGCGGCTGTGCTGCCGTACATCCTTGCTTTGTGTCCTTGTCATGCATGCCACCGGTTTGTTCATCTTTTTCTAGGTATAGGCATTCTCATCATCTCGACCATACCACAGGATGTTATCATGATCACATCATCGACATCAGCGCTAGGGAATAGTCGTCCGTTAGAAGGACAAATTAGATGAGTGGGACGCGGGCCGCGTCTCATACCTCTTGTAGCATCTGAGTTTGTTGATGTCTGTGTGCAGATGGAGAGTGTTTGTACTTGAGGGTAGCGTGGTGGTTTAGTTCCCAGGAGGGCAAAAAGTAGATTAGATAGATGGACTCGCAGGCGTGATACGTCACGTACACAGCGTAGGACCTTCTGTAGCAGGTCTGTAGCAGCTTGCAGGTGGGCACAAAGTGCAGCAGCGGTTTGCATTTTAATGCGCGCAGGATGATTTTTTTCCCGCTCGCCTTCCTGCCTCCATTAGCTTATTTCATATTTTCCCCAGACTGCAGACAGCATGCAGCTGAGCGAGATGGAGAGGCGTGTAGAGAGCGAGCAGGGCACCCACGCAGAAATGCGTTGTTATACATTAACGCGCGCAATAGGGTTGATTTCTTAAGCCCGGTGCACGGTGTACGGAATCGCCGTGTTCCGTACACGCGCTCTGTTTTATAGCTACCGAGTGCTGTGCATTATGAGTGGCGGGCATGGAGGCTCGGTTTTTTCGCTGATCACTCGGTATGTGCGAAGCATCGATCAGTTGCTGGAGTGCTATCATAATAGGTGCAGCAGGCACAGGTAGAGCAGAGCATTGAGCTTTTGAACTGGCACGCGAGTGCTCCCACGCGAGTTCCTTTCTTCGCGATGCCTTGAAGGAGCTCGTCATCCCGGTCCTCTCGGAATCCATGCAGGCGAATTACTAGCCTTAGGAACGATTTTTATTACCTTATCTTTTACTGTCTCTCTCGCGCGCGGTTTTTGCCATGGACGTTTTAGTCACGATGGCATGTAGACGGCATGTACTTGTGCATGTGGTGGTCATGTTGGCCGTGCGCACTCCTTGCCAAGCTGCCGACGAGGATGCATCAGTGCTGGCCTGTGACGTAGCTCCAGCTAGAGTTTGCACCACCATCAGATAGACGCGAAGGACGAACCTTACGTCTGTCCAGTTACATTTGCTTGGTCTCGGTCTAGGAAATGGCAATTACGCCTCGCTTACTACGCCAGGGCAGATACATGCCGGGTTCGCCAGGCTCGCGGTTTTTGTGACTGAGTACCGGTGGTGGTCATGATGATGATGATGACATGGTTGAATAAGATGCCGGTTGTTAGCAGGCATGTCCTGCGAGTGCGGTAGGGCGTTGGCTGTTGGGCTTCGACTCCTTCGGTCTCGTCTGCTGTCGTAAGCACACCTTCCCCGTCCCTTGGACGGATGGGCAGTCCCGATAACACTCTGGTGTACGAGGACGCTTCCTCGTGTATTCACTAGGGACTTTTCAGCTGGCGACAAGTCGCAGCGCAAAATCTTGTCGCCCCCTCACATATCCACCCTAAGTGCGTACCCAATAACTTTGCTTGGGTGCGCTCGTGTGTGTGTGTGTGTCTGTGTAAATATATATGCCGAACTGTGGCTCTTGGGCCTCTGGCTCGTATGGGCTCGTATGGTTACACGTCTCTGGGTAACGCAACTGGGGTGTAGCACACACACACACATACACACACATAAGAAATATGCAGCGCCCCCCTGCAGACCATGGTGGGAGGTTTTCGCCATTACTAGCACCTGTGCGGCCCGCGCGCACGGTACACCGACAGCCGGACGTCTTACATATGTCGGCACTCGGCCGTACGTGGATGGATACGTAGATAGGAGTGCAAGAACGAGCTGCACGAGGAGGGTGACAGGTCGCCACCAATAGCCGCCAGTCTTCTTGTTTCCTTCTTTTGCCATTGCCGTCGCATGCAGGAAATAGGCGAACAGATGAATTAAAGCACGGATCCAATCCATGCGTGTAGATGTATAGGAACCCATGGGGGTTTGCACATGCATATGCATGCCGTATGTAGCTGTACCTTCCCTCTCACGGAAGTCGAGGAAGAATGAAAAATTACCTTCTGCGTGATCATTCTGTCGCTCCTTGTGCAATGGCCGGTGGGTGCTGTTATGACTCGTGGGCGTGGCTCGAATCGGCAGATTGGGGGGGGGGGAAATAGTTGGCTGGTTGGTTTTTTGTAATCTTCCTCAACCTCGTTGGCCAGTGGCAACTGGCCGTGCCCGTGCTCGTTATGCCGTAGCTATCGGTTAGCCCCTTTCTTCTTTGTTTAGGTAACCACAATCAATCGTTCAAGATGGTGACGATGGTAATGTACTCACCTGAGGCTGATGTTGTACATGGCTAAAACCCCATGACAAAGCCTCCCTTTTTTGCAGCCGTGAAGAGACCACGTCTTTTAATTTGTCCAGCAGGGGCCCGCTCGTCATGCCTTTCCCCGCGTGCTTATCTTTTCAGCTCGACTCCTACTTAAAAGAAATCGTGCGGCGTTCTAGAGACCGGCACACCCATGGGGTGGGTTCCGTCATACTCGTTTAGGTGGCAGTACATCTCCAACGTGTGATGAAGAGATGCAATATTAGCAAATGGGAAAAGGGGAGATGAAGATGGATGAATGTGCTTTGGGCTGCATGTTAGTGTGTATGGATGCGTAGGTAGCAAACTTAGCTTCAGAAATGGAAAGACTTGGCAGAAAGCTTTTACACAAGCGAACATATGCACGTGTACGAACGACTGTATGCTTGGCCCAGTTTTGTACAATTTATGCACCATGGCAAAGGCAAGGTGAGATGTGCCTCGGCAAATGGTTGGTTGTATCGTCGTGTACGTGTGGTATCAGATGCTGCATGTTTTTTTATTCGCTAAATGTCAGTGCAACAGCGGCTGCATGTCTAGGGGGCGGTTGTGTTCACTCCCGTAGTTGTTTTTCGCTCTGCCCCTCACCTTTCTTTCCCTGTGGCCTGTTCGCATCGTATCTACATCGGCATGGAGGCATATAATGCATAACACTTGAACGGAAGGTTCTTCGCCGCTTCCCAGCCCTGCATTGGATTGCGATGTGGGTTGCGATAGTGGTAAGCGGTGGTTTGAAAGCCTTCACTACGTTGGTGGGCGCACTTGGCTCTGCCTGAGCCTAGCGGCTGATGCTGATACTGGAGGACCAGCGGGTGTGACGGCGGCGGGGTGAAGACGGCCAGAGCCCCTGTGCAGCTACGAGCATAAGACATATGGGATACATGCTGATGCGGGTTGCGAATGGTCCTGCAAGCCCAGGGCAGTGGAGAAATGACTGTGTTGTATCAGACGCAGGCGTGCTGAATAATTGTCAGGTGCCGATATGGCATTGACGTAAGCATACATTATATCTGGAGTTTCCCTAAGAGACGGAGGAGAGCTACAAATATTAGTTCCTTACGCGATTTGTATGTAAATGTTTTTTGGGCGAGGCCCGGGTGCGGTGTGCCTGCACGCGGCGGCGCACGCTGCTGTGCGGCCGCGCGGTTTTCTCGCTCTTTTCTTGGACTTGCTTGGAAAATCTATGGTTCAACTCCGCCACACTCCGCAACCCAAGACCATCCATGCCTACAACTGCTCCAGCACTTCTCTCCTTGCCCTCTGCTGTGTCTCGTGCACATCTCATACATGTCCTATCCTCCAGTTCGGCTGGCAATGGGCTGCGTTCGCGCATACTTCCAGGCGGCTAAATGCTCAGCCGTTCTTGTTGAGATGAAGGCGGCGCGCAATGCACCGTCCATGGATTTGCCTGGGCGCCTTAGCTGCACCAGGGGTTTTAGGGTTTTACTTAGGGTTTTACTTAGGGTTTTACTTAGGGTTTTTTGCTTTAGCTGCACCAGGGGTGTACATGGCTCCTAACGCCGCCGGCCGCCGCACCCGGCCCTCGCAGCTATCCCCATAATCACGCGCGCATAGTTCAGACACAACACCGATCCTCCATTTGCGGCCCAGTGCCGTACAGCCTCCCCTGCGGAATACTGCGGGGTGACTGGCTGCACCGGGGCCGAGCCCTTTTCGGCTTCGGAGAAGCTGACTACCCTAAGTCCATTTGCAACCAGACGCGGCGGCGCAACGCCGGCGGCGCAAACATTCGTCTTATAGCCGGCCACACAACGAGATGGTGTCTCGCCGCAGTGGCTGCTGTAGAGGCAGTGGCGTTAGCAGGGTTAACGACCCGGGAGGACACCATCAAGGGTCCCTGGCTGAGCTACCAGGGCCGTGTTGCCAGGGCGCGGCGAATACGCCAGGATGGTTGCCCTTTGCAGCAGAAGATTCTAATCCTAACTCACATAGTATGACGACCGCCCCTTAGTTCATAGAGACAGATGTACACCTTGTTGAGGTGGTGTCCGGCGCATTTAGGTGCGGTCTGGTGCGGGGGGAGCGTACCACATAGCGCCGCCATGCACGTTTTTTTGCGTACTTATGCGTGCATGCCTACCTGTCTATCTGAATTTTTATCTATCTGCCGGCCCGTACCTCCTGTGTGCATTTGAGACCTGTTCGTTGAACCTACCGAACGCCCTACATTTGCGAATACCTTAAAACAAAAGCGTGCAAAATCATCATGGGACGTTTTAGGTTTAAGTTACGCTTACAGTGGTCGAGAACTATTTCATTTCTCCGGCAACTTCCGGCGCTCTTTTGCGTTGCGACCTTGGGCCGCCGATGTGCAAGCAGACACGTAGACTGACAGATAAGTCATAATATTTGCCATGTTTTGGGTGGCGTGCTTACTTGAACTATGCGGAGGGTGCCATGCTGATAAGAGCGACGCGTACACGCTCAAGGACGAAAAAGATGCAACTGTCGTATTCTCTGTGGAATTTCAAGGGAACATGGTACCATGCCTTTTAAGATGTGCCTCATTATGTTCGCATACCGTAGTGCTACTTATAGTTCGTGCTACAATAATTCGGGGTGCGCCACGAATATGTAGCACGTACAAATTCTAAGGTATCCTAAGGGACCGCAGCCCCGAAATATTGTACGCTCCGAAGCCGGTCGATCAAACTTCGCAAAAACTAGGATTTCAAGGCGGAAATCAGCTCTTAAATGTAAAAAATGTAGTCATAAACGTAGGACATGAACGTCGCTCGAAAACGTGCAAGACAGGCAACCCTGCTTCAATGCGGGATGAAATCGCTAGCACCAAACGCTCCGGTGAGCGACCGAGCTGGATTTGCACCAGTTAGGCTTGATGATGCTGTTGTTGAGGCCCAGCGTGAGCGAATGGAGCACGAGGAGGTTGCTAGGCGCGAGCGCAATGCGGTCAATGCTACGGCAGCCGGCGAGGCGAGGCTTGCGCTCACGCCGCAGCCTGGCATTCGACCTGTTGGACGTCCTCTTCAACAAATGAGCACGTCACGGAGCTGGATGCAAAGTTCAGCATGCTACCAGCGGACAAGGTGGAGGCCATGCGTGCAGCAACGGATTTCCAGAATTATCCAGAATTTGCTAGGGCGTTTCCAAAGTGCGAAAATGGTGAGAGACCATGAGCCTAAGGGTTCCCGGTGGAGGGAGACTGACTGGAAGCTGCAGTTTGAAAAGCCCCGAAACTTTGGAAGGGGCCCCGAAATTTTGTATCATGCCCGCAAAATCTGGTCCGGCCTTCCCCGAAATTCAAAGAGCACGTACAAATTTCAGCAAGTTTTTTGACCCCTCCCCGAACAAAGCGATCACGAACTATAAGTAGCACTACGGTATTGTACAAGTCACAAGCCACAACCATGCAGGTGCTCATAAGAAAGCAGTAGGCTGCTGCGGGGCCGAATCGCTGAGCTCATCACTCAGGCAATCAGGTCTTAGAAATTTGTCTGCAGTGTTAACGAATGCATTGCATCTGATGGAATGCTTAGGCAAACCATTTGTTCTTATGTTCAAACCTGCGGCAGTGGCAGAAGGCGGCCGCAGCTTTACTAACGATAACGGTTTTTAGGGAAAGAAATCGGCAGGCCTTCCAACTTAGAAAGTTGTGCTGGCCATGCAGCATGGCTTATATTTTATGTTTCATCAGGACCAATGATGGCTTACGGAGGTGCCACCAGCGCCCAGCGGTACTGCAGGGGACACCAGTTGTCTCACGACATGGGGCTTCTTTGCATGCTAGTGTAAACCAAAGCGTGGCGCGATGGTCCATATTGTGTTGAAGTTCGTTGCAACGCACAAACCCGGCAAGGTCCACATTTGCGCCTACTGCCGCAACAAATTGCAGATCTCCACACTGCAAGGTATAACCCGTTGGCTCCTTCTTTACCCTTATTGCTCTCTGGCGCTAAATGTGATAAAGCTGCCGGATACACTTCGCCAGCATATGCGACCTTCTGGTTACTGTCTGCTGGACATTAACAGTTAGTTCGATTGTATCGGCTTGGTTGACCGAAAGCTTCAGCACATCCTATATTACTAGCAAAAGCGGGTGTCTTATCTGTAGTTCTAGACCCTAATTTACAGTTTTGAGGAAATGCCCTAAAGGACATTATATAACATTATCGATATGTAAAGGAAGTTTGAGGCACGTTCCATGTTCCAGTCCGAGTTCACCGTCCAAGCTTCCCGCACATGGTTGGCCAGGGCGTCTGCTGTTCTGTTTGCGACAGCGCAAACAAAACTGCTTTGGTATGTCCGGCATGTATCAACAACACCTTGTTGTTCGAGAGGAGGAAAATGCTCCTGGAGCTGAATGAGCGACGCGCATCGCTGCTGGAAAGGCTGAATGGATTGTTAACGCAGCGGGTGAGAACAGAGGCCACACAAGCCGATTATGTCGCTATAATACTTCCTATCGTAAACGATGCGCGAGGTGACCGCGTCATGCCCAGTGTTCCCACGAGCCATCCTCCCTCTTAAACCAACGATTGAAGCCTTCCAATACCTAGTAACATCAATCTTACCCTGAATTCCACCCTCACATCCTAACGCCATTTCAGTAAATCCTTCCCCGCTCCCTCTTCTTTCCTCCCGTTTCTGCTCTTCCCCCTCTCCAGCAGACCCACGTGGAGTTAGAAGTTCGGCGACAGCACCTGGTGGCAGCGGCAGCCCGGGAGCAGGCGCGAGTACAGCAAGCGGCGGCGGCGGTGGAGGAGGGTGAGCCCTGAGCTGCCAAACCTCCTTACACTTAAACATGCACACACACACACACACACACACACACACACACACACACAGGGTGTCCATTTGCTCCCCTGTCAGTCTGTATGCATGTCAATGTGTCACTGGTCCCCCGGGAGCAGTGGCAGCAGCAGCCGTGGCGCCAGTGACGCTGGCGGCGATCGCGGCAGTAGCAGCTAAGACGGCAGCGAATGACAACACCCAGGCACCTACCCACCTCCCACCTGCCTCCCACCTCCCACCTGCCCCCCACCTCCCACCTGCCCCCCACCTCCCACCGCAGCGAGGCGCAAGGCCGCCCGGCTGCGTGCCTCCAACTGCGCGCGCCGCACCTCCGTTGAACGAGCCACCTCAGAACTGATTGCGCGAAGAACTGAACACCTGGCCCATCACCCCACGCTGCTCAGATACCAGGTAGGTACGTACGTATGTACGTGAGTACGTACGTGTGTGTATTCGTACGTGTGTGTGTTAGTACGTATATGTATCCGTATGTACGATTGTTGGAGACCGGGAGGCAGAGCATTGGGAAGGGTGAGGTAGGGGGAGGTAGAGGGGAGGGGAAAAGGAAGAGCAGGGGATTGAACTCTATGGCCCCTAAAAGCTATATCCCGGTGCGGATGGCCTTGAGGTTGAGGTCGCTGCAAACAAAAACACACACGTATACACATAGTTACCCGGCGACCCCTGGGGCCCGCCCGCCCAGCAGCTCCCTCCTCCCCTTCCTTTCTCTCCTCCACCCCCCCAACCTCCTCCCCCTCCTTCCACCTGTTCCCCCTCTACCCTCACTCCGCAGCACTCTTTCCTTGGCAGCAGCTTCACTCGCTCGTGGTTCGTCTTTCCCCCCCTCTACCCTCTACGTCCCTCTGTGGATCAGACTGTCTCCGCGCCCAGCCTTCTTCCTCTCCACCACTAACCCACATCCCCCTCCCACGCCCTATCTTCCTTTCCCTTACCTCCCCCCTCCCCCCCCCAACACACACACACGCCGCAAAAGGCCCTCACCCACAGCCACGTCGCCGCCATGCTGTTGGCCGAGCAACGATCCAAACTTGCCGTACTGCTGGACACGCTACCCCTGCGCGTTGCAGCCATTCGGCCGCCACCGCAACCACCTGCACAACCGCAACTACCAATACAACAACCAACCGCCTTTAACCAACAACAACAGCAACAGCCTCAGGGAGCTTCAGCCGGCGTATTCCCGAAACCCAACCACCCCAACCAACAGCAACCGGGTCTCCAGGGCAGTCCAAGCCTTATCGGGCCTGTGGCTCCAGGGTTGGGCCCCGCGCCGAGTAGTGCGGGGGCGGGGGCCGGGGGCGGGGGTATGGGCGGGGGGGGTAGCGGCCATGGTGGGGTCGCGGGGTCGTCCCCAATCCAGGTGACGTTGTGCAACATGAAGTTGCCGGACGGCGCCACCGTGTCATCGCTCATGGCGGCGCAACCGGAAGTGGGTATGGGGGCGATGGATGGATATACACTTGCTTGTATGTATGTATGTATGTGTCTTACTGTGTGTTTTGAGGCGAGGAAGCCTCCACGAGCGGGAGAGCGGGCGAGGGGGGGGGGAAGAGGGGGGTTGATTTTCTTTTCAGCAACACGCGGCCACCCTCCACTACACCACCAGAATACTCCATTTTGGATTACTACTGCTGTAATAACCACTACTGCTGAGCTGTTTAGTAAATTCAGTCCTCTTTAACTAGGTCTGTTTGTGTAGTGTAGTGTAGTGTAGTGTAGTGTATGTGGACACAGCCCTCCACCGGCTCACCTAGCCATTGTTAGGATAGCACAAAGCCACCCCTCTTCCCACAAAGACCCAAATCGCCTCCCGCCGCATCCCTGCGCACCCTCCCACATCTCTCTCCACCCCCCCGGGCCCCCCCCCACACCCACACACACACACACACCAGTCGACTTCTTCCGCTCTGGGCTACCTGCTGCTGCTGGCGGAGCTGCTCTCCACCTACTTTGGGGGCCCTATACTGCACGAGGGCTCCTTCCAGGGCTCCACCAGCGTGATCTGGCAGCAGCACTCCTTTTGGAATCGGCGACCCTCCACCTCCAACGGCCGCCTGCCTCTCTTCCTGGAGGAGGGAGGAGGCGGGGGCGGGGGAGGAGGCGGGGGAGGGGGAGGGGGAGGAGGCCCGGGTCTGAGTAACCCATTTCCTGGCCTGGCTACCAAGTGAGTTTGGGCGTTTGGGGGGAGTGTTTGCGTGTTTGTATGTCTGTTGTGTGGGGGGAATTCGATAGCGGATGGGGGGAAAGGAGGTCCGGGGGGAATGTGTGGGGGGGGTGGGGGCGAGGAACCTCCGGGAGAGGCTGTTGGTTCTCCTCGACGGAACCTCGTCCGTACGTCGAATATCTTATGCCGTACATCTTGTGTCCGTACAGGGTCCGTGGACCTTCTCCGTGGACATCCCAACCATCTGGCCACCAACATCAATATCAACAAAGCCAAAACCAGCAACCAGGAACTTCGCATTCGCAGCAGCACCAGCAGCCGCAAACCCAGCTACAGCAGCACCACGGCTACAGCCATTTGTCGGCAGGGGGGGCGGCGGCGTCCGCCTTCTCAGCCCTGACTCGCGTCATGTCGGGCGGGATCGCGGCGGCAGCTGGCGGAGCCGGCGGTGGAGGTGTGTCGTACATACCGCAAGTGGAGGAGGCACTTGTACGGCAGCGGCATACGGATCTGCGTTTGGCGTACGACATGCTACTTCGTAGTCTTGCGTGTTTCACGCGGGACAAGGTGGGGGCCGTTGGGAGGTGTGTCTCTCGGTATGTAAGTCTTTTTGAGGTTGGGGTTTGTGTGAGGTGGTTGTCAGGGCGGGAACGTTTACCGCCTGTCTAGAACCGACTAAAGCACACACACACATCCTCCCATCCTCCACCACCACCCCCTCCCACCCGCGACCCGTTCCCAACCTCCTCGCAGATCGTGCCCCTGGGGTTGCAGCTCCCCAACTCCTGGGGGCCTCTTGGCTGGCTTGCCGTACTGTGTGCCTCCGTACGACGGGATCCCGGCACGGATGCGGTGTTGGTTGCGGCCCAACAGGCTTTGGCAGCTCAGCAGGGGGGTCAGATGGCAGTGGGGGGCCTTATGGGACAGGGGGGAGGGGGGGGTTTCACGGCGCGAGATCACTTGCGGCCGGGGTTGGCGGCTGGCGGGCTGGCGGCGGCAGTGGCGGCGGTGGGAGACGGCGGCGGCGGTGGCGGTTTTCAGGACAACGATGGTGGGTCGCTCCTTTGGGAGCTTGGGCTCTGGTTGCTTGTGCTTGTGCTGGTAATGGAGTCGGTGGTAAGAATAACGCGTGTGGGAGTTACACGGCGGGGGAGTTACAGGGGGGAAGCAGCCAGCGTTTGGGATTTGTGGCTTGTGTCCCCTCTTCCCCTCTTCCCTCTTCCCCCATCCTTCT